AGATAACCTTATTCAAAGTTAGCTACATTTTCGGTGCCGAATCGAATGAGAATATAAAATTGGGGGGTTTCCGTTTTCAACATGAAAAATTATTATTTTAATAGCAAAGTCGTATCTGTCTTGAAGCTTTTCAGTTTTCATTGACAATAATTGGTGACGTTGGCAATCAAATGAGTTACAGGATGTTTTCATTAATTAATCTTGAATTCACCATTTTCATGTTCAGATTTTAGTAGTGAATACCATGTTCTGTCTATATCAACTGAACAAGAAGCAATGCTATTGTCTCCGTTCAGAAGAATGCAAGCAGATTCCTTGATTTTTCTCTTCTGGTTGTTATCCTCTTTTCCAATGATTTTAATATTATTCCACTCTGCCAAATGTTGTCCGTCTTCAGTAAGGATATATGTTCAGCTAGTTTCGATTTATCGATGTGTCTTTTCCTTATATTGTACTTATGTTCCTTCGTCCTTACTGAAAGAGGTCTCTTGGTTTCACCTGTATAAAACTTTCCACAAACACAAGGTATACTGTAAATACAATTTTTTTACGATTGTTCTTCATTTTTCGGTCCCGAAACGTCCAAAGATAAGTGAAAATTTGATATTTTTTCTATATACCTACCTCTATTTCTCTTCTCCAAACTTTTTTCAATACAAATTGTCACTGACAGCTAGTGAATTTTCCTTTTAGGCTCTGTGATAAGAAAATTCTTTAAACGCAGTGACATTTTGGGGCAAAGCATCTGAATTGTCCTTACGATACACGTATATTGAAATATCATATTTTTATTTTATTGAAACGAGGAGAGAAAATATCAAAAAATCTGGAATAATGAATGTACCGCACCTCCTCGAATAACCTACAGACAGTTATATAATTGCACATTTATTAAACGCATAATAAATGTTCCAACTCAACTGAAAACTCCTGACGTACCATTTTCGTATTTGAACAAGAGCAGACGAGACGAGAAGTACTTCAATATACATTATTACGAGCATTATTATATCGGCTGAAGCACCACTCCATACGAGAGAAGTTCCAAACTCCAAACCACCCCCACGCCATGATTGATATCGAATCTTTACACAAACATATCAGATTTAACCGTGGAATTCGGAAGCGAGCAGCGTGTGCCGTTTCCTTGGAAACGGGAGGGTTTAGGGGGTGGAGGGTAGAGCCTCCCATACCTCCCGTACCTCCCATCGAAATGTATAATCACGGATAAAATAAATCTGTCCCAATATACAGGGTGTCTGTAAAAGGTTGGGACATGGCTCGGCTGTGGACTCCTAGGATACAAGTTGATCCAGGCCAACTTACCTATATCCAAAATCGTCCCGTTGAGTTGGTACAAGGCGTGAAAGTGTTCACCTTAGGTCCTGAATAGTTATCGCTAAATTTGTACCATGTCCCAACCTTTTACAGACACCCTGTATATGAATATGGACTTGGCAACAATTATTCTCGAATGGGGATCCAATAACTTGGTAGATTTCAATGCAAACAAAACACAAGCATATACCTTTTCTCTAGAAAAGCCGATCTCACTGTGCCCAACATAAACTTGTCAGGTGTAACCATACCTTTGAAGACATCCATTTCGATGCTTGGTATTACTATCAGCAATAACCTTTCTTGGGAAAATCACGTGAGATCATTTGCTGAAAGTGCATCCCAAAAACTTGGTTTTCTGTTTCGGGTCAGGAGCTATTTGACTTCCAGTCAGATGCTTATCATCTATAAGGCACAGATCCAACCTGTCCTGGAATACTGTTCCCATATTTGGAGTGCAGCACCCAATCATACCCTGAAACTGTTGGATTCTGTCCAAAAAAGGGCAATTCGTCTCGTGGTGATGCCTCGCTCACAAATTCACTCACTTCTCTGGAACACCGTAGAAAAGTCGGCGATCTGGCTCTATTTTATAGATATTTTCATGGACGATGCTCTTCTGAAATATCAACAATTGTTTCCCCCTTGGCAGTCCCCGCGAGATTAACCCGTCGAGTTGAGGCTTCGCACCCCTTCGTGGTCACTTTGGAGACCTGCAGAACTCTCTATCCAAAGACTCGTTCATCCAACGAACAGCGAGGCTCTGGAATACATTGCCAAGGGAGGTGTTCCCAGAGGCATAAAACCTCCAGAAATTGAAGAAGAACACCAATTCCTACCTTATTTCCCTTGGTTCTCACGATGTTCTCTGAACATTACAGGATATCCCTTTTTGTGGGAACCAGAACATGAAAAAATATATATACAGGGTGTCCCAAAATTACATAGAAAGATATCAACCACAGATTCTAGGAACCAAAATAGTAAAAAAAAAGCTCATATATATAAACATGAGCACAGAAATGCCCCCCTGGATAGTTTTACCTATACAATGTGTCCGGATATTATGCGCAAAAAATCAAGAGGGTGATTCTGCATGAGAAAACATGAAATTTAGTTCATATACATTCATTTATTGGTGAAAACGGCTCACGTGTACCTTCTCAACTTTTGATTTACTACAACTTTTGTACTTGAAATTTGTTTCTATCTACAATGATGAACTCTTTAGAAACTGTTTAAATATACAGAATGACCAAGTTTACACCTTGAGCCATTTTAGGGTTTAAATTCAATGTATATTATTAAGTTCGATACCACCGTGTATTTTGTTTTGTAGCATAGGAATATTATTTTCAATGAAAATAAATGTAATTTGTATAGGTACAAGTTGTGGGATCGTGGTTGTGGGTACTAGGTGGGTAAAATACAATTTCTGTCAACGTCCTACAGTTCGTTGATATCTACTCCTTCGCCAAAAATTCAAATTATATTCAACATTTTGGCGAAGGCTCTGAATAAAAGCAATAGTGCCACCAAAGAATAGTAGGTTAGTCACAATAATTTTTGAACAACCCTTTTTTGTAAATAAATGATTGAATAGGCAATGATGGCGAATGCAGTAGCAGCCGAAAATAACCAAAACTCAAGTCTGTATCTTCTCCGTCTTTTCTCTGAAAAAGTCCAACTCAGCATACCTGATAGGTACGATGATGCCTCTAGAACCGAAGTCCACAATAAGCTGGAATCACCATTGATAATTTTTCACGGAAAAATCATGTTAGATCCATCGTGTAAGTTGTTCCACAAAAAAGGTGCTTTGAAATTTTACTCATCTTATTTGGACGTTTCGAGAACGAATCTGTTTCGTTATCAACATATAAAAAATGGAAAAATTATTCTTGGCAAATTATGTCCTTGTCTTCGGATTTCTGAATTGAAACTTCTGTGACAGCAGAAGTTGATAAAATCAAATGAGTTACAGGATGTTTTTATTAGGTATTTGATCTCAACTTTACCATTTTCATATAGATTTCAGGAGTGAATATATACCTACCTTGTTTTATCTATATCAACTGAAAAAGAAGCAATGGTATTATCTCTGCAGTTCAGATTAGTTCAGAAGAATGGAAGCGGATTCTTCAATTTTTCTACTTCTTTTTTTGTTATCTTTACCTCTCATATGAGTAATTCAGAATTATGAACAGTTTTTTTCTCAGTAAAATATACTTAAGGTAAATAAAAGAGGTTGGCCTGCTGAATGGATAAGCAACCATGATGTACTGACTATAGGATGACTATAATAGTAAACAGGGTATGTCACGACGACCTTACACTCTATCTTTATATCGAGAATCAGTCGGGAGAAATCCATGAAAATGTGCAGCTCATATTATAGAATACGCTCTCTTCATTTAAAACATTTTTGGCATTGCAGTGTTGCCGCTTCTACTAGAAAATAGTACCTAGCAACATTATTATTTCAAACGGAACACCCTGTATTTTATCGCATTTTTAGATTTTCCCTGAAGAGCTGATTTCATCGATATATCACACTTGGGATCTATCAAAAGAGATTACAGAGATATAGGGTGTTCAAAATATAGATTTTTCAACTTTAGGATTTTTTCGACGATTTTTTTGTGTAGAAACTATTCATTATCGGTCAAAACGGTTCACATGTCTCGATGTCAACTTTGAACAGATACAGGGTGTGGTTCAAGATTCAGAATTCTGATCACCCAATATCAGTAAATAGTAAATCAAAAGTTGAGATAGGGACATGTGAGCCGTTTCGGCCGATGTTTCGACACAAACAAATCCTATAGTTGAAAAGGTTCTATTCCATGACAACGGCAGGTATATTCATGACACTTATGATCTCAAATGTGTAGGTCATTGTGTAGGTACCTATAAAAATAGCCGTTAGGTCGTCGTGCTCAAAATATCGCGCGTGTTTAGAAGACTTCAATATCCAACATCCACATATATATATATATTATTAATAAACTAATAGACAACAGTTTTATAAAAATATAGGAGGTAGGAATGAAATTTATTAGATCACATTCTAGGTTTTTATCACTTCACGACACCATTCACAGCTAAAAGGCACAGTTATTATAATATCAATACACTATCCGGTCGCGATAGAAAATAACACTTCTGAGCGGTTTGTTCTGATCTGTTCTGATGCTATGACCAATAAGCACAAACAAAAAACAAATGTGAACCAATGAAAATGAAGTAAACAGGCCGCTTTGGCAGCTTTCAAGAACTCCGATAGGTGGAGTAAGCTTATTTTCTATCGCGAATTGCCATTTTCGTGACAGCAGACAGAACAAACAGTTTGAAAATGTCATTGTTGCCAACAGGAAACATACCACCCAAGATTGATGAACTAAAAAGGTTGCCTCGGTCCAACCTCGGTCACCATACCTTTCTAGTAGTGTTGTGTAGCAGATAATTGTTTAATCTACCGGAATAGTTTCCTTTTTGCTTGTGATCACATACTTCAGTTCAGTATTGGTTCAGTGGTTATTTTTCATATTTTTGTAGAAGAGCTGGACCAATGACGGCTAAATATCTAGACTGAGAGATATCGTAAATGTCAAATGTCAAGTTTTCCAATTCCTTCTGTTCTGTGAAACAGCTGGGTGAAGGGTAAACACATGTCAAACAGTCAAAAAGAGGGGTTATGGTTTATGTTCATGGGTTCATGTTTTCATTCCACGAAGTTCATCGTTCATCACCAGAGATCCAAAGATGTTATAAACATGTATGTGGGTTATTAGGCCAAAAATCATTTCGCTTATCTTTTAGTGTTGTGTGTGAGTATCAAGACTATCAAGAAAGATATTCGAATAATGGCGTTGAATAGCATCTTGAGGAGATGTGCTTCAATATGCAATAACAATTTAGTTACTAAACATTCTAGGATATTATCTATGGGCCAACCAGCTTTAAATAAAAAAGAGTAGGTGAGTGAAAATTGTGGCACTTTCACTTTTTAATTTTTGAATTTTTAGAGTTGAGGTCATTTTTGTGAAAGCTAATGGGGACCACATCAAAGCTAAAGGAAAAGTTGGTGACTCCTTCTTAGATGTAGTTGTTAACAATGATATTGACTTGGATGGATTTGGAGCTTGTGAAGGTACATTGACTTGTTCAACATGCCATCTGATATTCAAGAAAGATGACTTTGATGCACTCCCTGAAAAGGCAACTGATGAAGAGTTGGATATGCTTGATTTAGCCTATGATTTGACTGATACTTCCAGATTAGGTTGTCAAATAATTCTTAGTGAAAAATTAGATGGAATAGAAGTCAAAGTTCCAGCAACAATCAATGACCAAAGAAGCTAACATCCGTTAGTAATATCTTGAGCAATTGTATAGTAGTTTAATTTTTGTTGAATTATGTGAGGAGATATTAGTATATCTAAATTCAATATTTTCTTTCAAAGCAAATATTGATTGAGTGAAATTACTAGGTCTGAGTATACATGGTATAGTATATTTTTAATTATGAGTATCCTCTGTATATCAAAATAGGTACTTCAGTTGAATTGAGATTTGAATACTAGAAATATATCAACAACCCAGTTTATGAACGAAATATCATCAGCAGTACAAACTATTTAAAAAAAAACTTATAGGAAGAGGTGATATTCAGTTATTATATACCCATATTCAGTCAATGGATCTTGCTGGGCATTTTTTCTATCTTTCTGGAATTCTTAATATCTATCTGTGCAAAAAACAATAAATATATATGTTATCACTTCCTTATATTTTAAGTTTTACTAATGTAGGTACTCAATTTACTTCTTTTATATATTTTATGTATCATTTTCAGATTGATAATCCATAAGTCACCATAATTGACCAAATAGAAACAATATTTATTGTAACAAGAATTATTGTTAATGTTAATGTCTGGGTATGTAACTTCAATATTTTATTAGGTTGGGTTAAGATATGATTGGTATTAATAGTTAAAAATCCGTCTGCTGTAATATACTGTATTTATGATGAAATTTTTCTTGAAATTTTCAATTCTATAGAAGGAATATCTTCATACCTAACCTATATCTACAACAAAGACTCACATAAATACATTTTTGCATTTTTTATTTATTATTTTATGTATACATGGTGATCAGTTCCATGAACAAATCCCACAACATTCTTTTCCTAATGAAATAATTGATGACAAAAAAGTGCTGGCTAAAAGTAGGACATTGTTCAATACACTTCCGAAAAATATGTCCTTCAGATTTTTTAATTCAGAATGAAAAGTGGCATACAAAATATTCCATTACTCAATCTGAAACTGTTTCGGAAATAATGATAAAAAACCATCATCAGGGTAGCCGCTTTAGGAGGCAGAGGTTTCATTAGGAGCATTGAGTATTCAAATCAAGGTTAAGAGTCATTTTCCGGTGTTGATTCATGCTTTTATTTTTTTGAAATCTACCAGTTTTGCACGCTAATTATGGGCTTCCCTATGTAACATAAATCATCAAAAAATCACCGGAACAATGTTTGTGCACTTGTGTTTCAAGTTTCAAAGTTCCCTTTTTATTCATCCAATGAGCACAAAGGAAAAACAAATGTGAACCAATGAAAACAAAGTTTTGATTTGTTGAATCCGCGAATCCGGTCCTCTGTTGGCTCCTGCATAAAAGTCTTCTTCTTCTTAACTTCCTGGCCTCTTGTCATATGACATACAGCCAAATCCAGTTTTCTTGTTAGGCACTTTTTCTGAAGGGTGCACAGTCATCAGACTATGCATCTGGATTCAAACTCCATGCCATTCATTATCAATATAATGATGGTGTAGGATGTGGGTAAAACAGAGGTATTTTTACCCTTCTCGCTCTGTGGTGTGTCCACTGCAGTGGGACTCTGTAACTCAAAGCGAAAGCGAAAGCATGCGTAATCGACTGCATTTACCGTTTCGGTACTCTGTATCAATATTCGGATGAGGTCGGAGACGCCGAACGTGAGTTCGTAAGCGAAGCAGAAGCGAAGGATTTTGGTTGCCGCTTTCTGCGATTCTCAACGATTAAGGTTATAGGTATTGGGTTTTGTTGTTGTTCCTAGTTCGAACTTTGTGTTGATTTGAGAAAAATAATACATTAATAATTCCATCCAAGATTCTAAAATGAACTGTAAGAAAAAGTGCATCTGTATAAATGCACTGTCAACATATAGCTGCCTTGCAGAAGGCGATTCAAGGAATTATATGTGCTTATCATCTTGTTTAATTTGCGATATAGAGAAGCAAGTTCTGATAGGTATTATACATTATAGTATGTAAATAATAATATACTGAGTGTTAGATTATAGAATGATATGTCCATTATAAATATAAGCAGTTACATATCTTACAATATTATTGTTATTCTCAGATCATTTGCCTTTACTAGTTGCATATAAATAGAAAGCTATACCTGAGATATACCTATAGTGAGAATATAAATACCAATTTTTTATATGAACAAAGTAGGTACATATTTTCCAATGAGCTGCTCTGTGCAGAAATTGCAGAATAAGTTCTTGTTTGGCTGATTACTATTTTTGTTGGCCTTGATGTCAATATCATCTGTTTGTAGTCAATACATTCATTCCAATTCATAGAAATAAATCATCTTCATATGTGTTTTTGATGTTTTATTGAATTTCTTTTCTCTCGGAAACTTCTCCAAGTGCTTTATATCTGATTGAAACCAAAAATTAACAATACAATAATTCGTAAATGCCGCTTTTTTGATCCAATGGGATGTTTCCTTTGAATAAATGGGATCCGCAACACTGTTGCCAAATTTAACTCCACCAACTTCGTTCTATTTCGTGTGAAATCGTATGACGATAGCGAAAGCATAACGAACTACATATAGAGTACCGGAAAGCGAAGTCGTATACTTCGCTTCGTTAACTTCGTTTCGCTTTCGCTACGCTTTCGCTATGCGACACAAGTTACAGAGTCCCACTGCAGGTTTTAGGATTGCATTAAACATTAAACGTCTTCTTCTTGTTAATTTTATCTTGCCATGCAAGTTTTGACTTGACGTCTTTCACTTTCATGTAAGAGTGAATTAGGGTCCCTTGATGGAAATTGACGTTAAAGTCATCTTAAAATAAAAGATAGAAGATGAAGATCAACTTTGACATAACCTGAAATATTTAAAAATATTATGACTTCCAAATTCAAAATTTTTCTGTGATAATCTTCAACATCAAAATTACAATGTTCAATGTTCTCACAAGGGTTGTTACAGCGTCTCAACTTGGTAAGTGAATTTTTCTCCTATAATTCAACTGTTTTACACATATTATACCATTTTAGCTGGTTTGAGAAAGTTCTGTATAAAAACTGCAGAATCCAGAGTGAAATCCTCCTACACTAACGCAAAAATCGGCCAACCTACTTTCGAAACCCATTCCCACCTTCTCAGTGAAGGCGAGATTACACCTTTGATAACAAGAAATGAATATCAGTTGAGAAGATCCAATCTTGTTCAGTCCTTACTAACATCAGCTGCCAAAAATGGACAACCACGGAAAAATCACCTTGTAAATCAAACTGACCCACTTGTTATTTGGTACATTTTCTGAGGAATTTATCATTTATAGATAGTTATTCCAGCAGCCAGTAAGCAATACATGTCTGACAAAATACCATATGTCTTCCGGCAAAACACTGATTTCCTGTACCTTGTTGGTTGCCAAGAACCTGACTGCTGCCTTGTGATTACTATATCAGATACAGGGGTCCATGACAGTATATTATTTACTAGAGACAAAGATGAACATGCTGAATTGTGGGATGGACCAAGAACCCATCCAGAAGATGCAGCTGCTTTCTTTAGTGTGGATCAAAGTCTCCCCATGAAGGAATTGGAAAAGTTTTTGCACTCATTTAAAAAGTCACACAAAGATAGTATACTCTGGTAAAGGCAATGAAAATCTTGAATTGTTTTGACTGTCTTGAGATTATTTTGAATCATATTATAGGTATGACTTCATGACTCCCATTCATCAGAACCTTCATAACATAATTGTTGGTTTTATGGCAGAATTTGGTAACAAAAAGTGGGAGAATCCAAAGTCCCTTCTGCATCATTTGAGGCTGTATAAAAGTCCAGCAGAAATTGCATTATTGCAGAAAGCATGTGATATAACTGCACAGGCCTTCATTGAAACTATGTCATGTTCAAAGCCAGGTAAAAATTTTGAATTGAAAAATAAATCACCAATATCAAGTTTCTTCTCTCAGACACAAAGCATATATTATTATAGCATTCTCAAGGTCCAATATGTCAAAAACTTTGACAGCAAGACCTATACAGGGTGGCACACATTTAGTTGTCCCACTATTGAAAAGTTGAGGGTTGTCCTGGATGAATGAAGGGTTGTATTGAAAATCTGATATCACCAGATTGTATAACAGATGGAATAGAAGAAAAAATTATGGAAAAAATGTCAGTGTATTTTTTCTATTTCCCAAAATAAAAGGGCTAGCACCTGAAATTGTCAATTTTGTTTTATTCTTGACTATCTTGGGAACTGATCATGTTATCTTTGTTTTTTTTTTCATATAATCCCCATACCTCCCAAAATGTGCAACTCTTGTTCCATTTAACCAACTTTCTATCCTTAACCCTTCCAGAGATAGCAATAGTTGGACAATGATATGTGAGCCACCCTTTAGACTGTTGCATTTTCCATACTCAATCATGTGATCTAGAAAGGCAATCATTTTCTGTATTATTGAATAGTTATTAAAAAATACCATATTGAGGGGGTTAGTGGAAATACAGGGTGTTGCAAAATTTGACCGACAATGCTCCACAGATGAATAATACATAACCTAACCTACAACTATGCTTAAAACAGCCATACTAGGAATATTTGACCTTGGATAAAATATTTGCTTAGGCAATTTTCACCATTTTTAAAACTATTTTTTTGGGTGGTGAGTTGATTAGTCTTTTTATTTGCCAAAAGAAAAAAATTGAAATAGGTATTATGCCTATCAAGAATCATCTTGAGAACAGTTCATTTCAGCTAAGATGAATAAGGATATGAGTTTTTTCAACAACAAAATTGAACAGGGATTTTGAAAAACTGGCAATATTAAAAATGTCATCACTGGTATAGAAAATGTGGATGAAATGGCTGAAGTTACTATATTCATCATCCCCAAAAGTTGAGGTATCTGGTCAGGAAATGATATAGGTACGAAAATTAATAAGAGATATTTAGCCGCTTTTAGGTTATTCCTAGGGTCCCTTGATGGAAATTGACGTAAAAGTCACCTTAACAGGGTACGGACAGATCATAGCTGCATTCTTTTTTAATGGTCTAGAGACTTTAGTTTTGTCTACTGGCATCCCTGACATTGCTGTCACGTCATAATCAGGGGCGCTACAAAAATCATTCAAAATTTTAATAATAGGTATGTACAGGGTATTTACAAGTATTTACTTGTTGAGGAAGATCAGATGGCGAACGAGTTTTGTAATTATGATCCGATTCTATTCAAAATTAGAAGGTATCTGAGGTTTTCCGGGGTTGGAGATAATGATTGTTTCGTCAAACGTGGAAAATTCAAGATGGGCGGATTCAATATACAGGGTGGGCCACCAGTAACGCCTCGGTCTCTAGAAGGCTAACCACTTATCTTCTTGGAATTCTTCCTCTCTAGGAAGTTGCATGTCAACATAGGCTACCATTTAAAATTATTTCGAAACATACAGGGTGTCCCCAAAAACCATAAAACACTGAAGTTAATCTTTTTTCTATCGAACACCCTTTATATTATTTCATTTTGAGATTCTCCCTGATGAGCTGATTTCAACGACCCATCATACTTGGGGTCTAGCAGTTATAATTACTGAAATATAGGGTGTGAAAAATCGAGATTTTCCAAGTTCAAGCATTTTTTGTGTCGAAACTATTCATCATTGGTCAAAACGGCTTACATGTCCCTATCTCAACTTTTGATTAACTATCTACTGATATTTGATTGGGACATATACCAGGTGATCAAGATTCTGAATTCTGCACCACCCTGTATTTGTTTCAATTAAATGTCAGTAGATAGTTGATCAAAAGTTGAAATAGGGACATGTGAGCCGTTTTGACCAATTATGAATGGTTTAGACACAAAAAATTCTTGAACTTGGAAAATCTCGATTTCTCACACCCTATATCTCAGTAATTATAACTGCTAGACCCCAAGTATGATAAATTGTTGAAATCAGCTCACCAGGGAGAATCTCAAAATGAAATAATATATGGGGTGTTCGGTTGAAAAAAGTTCAACTTCAGTGTTTTGTGATTTTTGGGGGCATCCTGCATGTTTCAAAATAATTTCAAATGGTAGCCTATGTTGACATGCAACTTCCTAGAGAGGAAGAATTCCAAGAAGATAAGTGGTTAGCCTTCTAGAGACCGAGGCGTTACTGGTGGCCCACCCTGTAGAGCGAAATAAATTCCTAATTATCATCTGCTTCTATTTGAGATTGGCATCTGGGGGTTTTCGGGGTAGTAGATAATGATTGTTTCGTCAAAATTCGAAAATTCAAGAAGACGGATCCAATATGACGAAATTCATTAGTTTATATAATTATTACTCTACCACAAATACAAAATATGTAGGATGCAAGAGTGTAAATAATGTGTCTGTAAGTTATACTGCGTATTCCTACTTCTCTGTCACTTTCATCGATAAATTATTCGAAAATTACTCTTTATTCAGGGAAGACAGAAAAATCATATGTATAACATTGGGGTTAAGTATATTGTATCATTTATTTTCCTGCACATTTTACGTATTACTTTTCATCAGCCTTGAGCCTACTTTTCGTCCCAGAAATATTATTCATAGTGTCATATTAGTCACTCCATATAAATTCTTCTCAGAATTGTATTTCCGAAAATATATTTAGCACACATGACATGAATACAGTATTTCAGATACCCACATCGAGGTTTCCACCATTTCTCAATCATAAGGCTCAGCTCATTCAGCTCATAGATAAACTCCTGCTCAGCTTGAAGTCAGAATTCATTAAGTCAATCAGTCATCCCTGATTTACAGTCTAAGAACAGTCTCTTAAATAAATAAATAAATAAATAAATGATACGCCAGTGACCTCAATATAACCTAAAAAACAACGAATGTCAAAAATCTAGTGTTTATCCCCAGAATTGAATAAGGATAGAACTATATAACTGTTTCACAAACACTTTAGAGTGAGAGGAGACGAGGATCTGTCCGTACCCTGTTAAGATGACTTTAATGTCAATTTCCATCAAGGGACCCTAGTTATTCCTAAAAAACAATTTTTATTTCAATACTCTATATCTTTAAAACTAATCATTTGAACACCTTGTTTCCATATCTTTAATTCCTCATTAAATCCCGAGGACTGTCGATCGAATATCGCAACACCTTGTATACAGTGTGTCTCGCTTTACGACATTTTAGTGGTGATTGTATGTTAGAACAATGAAGTATTTAGCAGAGTGAACAGTTTCATTCACCATTGGCGTGCAATGTTGAGGGGTTCAAGAAAAATTCAAAATCCGGCTTTTCATGACCATGCCCCAAAATCTCAGTTTTTAATGATGCGATTTTCTCTAAACTGTGATTGTGATTGTAAGTTATTTTTTTAACATACAATCTCCATCAAAATTTCAAGAAAATCGCATCGTTGATAAGTGAGATTCAAGAGTGTTGTCATGAAAAGCGGGATTTTGAAATATTTTATTTTAGCTCTTGAGATCTTGAAAATATGAATTGGGTTGTTTTTGGGGATGCTGATTATGAATCTGATGAAAAAAGTTATTTAAAATGAGTCCTAATATCATTTTCCCAAATAAATGCCTTTTTTTACCCATATGTATCTACTATTTCTATATATGGTGGTGGAAATGAGAGAAACTTTTCGAATAAGGACGGAAAGTGGAGGATGGAAACAGCCATATTGGTTTGACAAGTTTCGTATTATTTTTTCCCTACGTCGGCATCAACGCCTATTGGTCGATTTCGTTACCTATACCTATACGCTATGCTTCATATATGAGTAGTAGATATATGTTTGTACCCCTCAACATCGCATGCCAATGGTGAATGAAACTGTTCATTCTGCTAAATACTTCCTTATTCTAACATACTATTACGTTATTCGGGTGCAGAAGCGAACACGACACTATTTATTTTCGAACTGATTTATTTACACTAAATTAACACTAATTTATATCGAACTTATAACTGCTATTTATGCAAGGAGATTCATTTCACGCGGTACATGACTGTCTCTCTGACACCCGCTGTTTGACTGACTGACGGCAGTTGTCCGGACGTCCTTATATATGAGATCCCTTGGTAGGCTTTGCTTCTCGAACGTTCTCGAATGATCTTCCGTACCCTTCTTTTTGTTCTATGTAGAAGGTTCGTAGAACAATACCTCTCTCTCTAATTGTTCCAACTATTGTTTCCAGAACATTCCAGAATCTTCTGTCAGGTTATTTGTCGCCGCGACATATATTGAGTGTTCGGAAATGTAGGAATCATTGGGATGCTGGAGAACAATCTGGGATGCGTGTTACAGGATGATCGTTCCTTCCTGATGATGTTTCTAGAGCCCTTCTAAGGGGAATATCATTACAATACAATCACTACAAAAATTTCAAGAGAATCGTAGCATTAATAACTGAGATATCAGGGTGTTGTGATATTATTAGTTTGGACTTCACTTCTCATCTTTTGTCACTCCGTATTGATAAGTGCTGATCGCGTTACCTTCATTCATTCATTGTCAATGTCTGTCTTTCTTGTTAATAAAAACCTAATGTCTGGGGTCTATTCATTCTTAACTTTACAACGGGTGTATTCATGAAAAGCGGGACACACTGTATAGTGATTCGGACTCCTCACTTGGGAAATGCTTTCAGGAATCGGCGAGAACCAACTTTTTGCTAAAGTTGACTATGAATGCCGTATGAGGGGGGCAGATTTTTTGGCATATCCACCAGTAGTTGCTGGAGGAAATAGAGCGACGATTATTCATTACATTAATAACAATCAGCTAGTCCACGAAAATGAGATGGTATTGATGGATGCAGGTATGTCATCTGATATTTGCAATACATAGAGTTAATAGACAGACATTCATTTATTGACTAGTTGTTGATGGCTGTATTTGGAGGGTTCTTTCTTTTTCTCCCAACCTAAACCATTTTTCGTTGGGAAAATCTAGGTATGAAAATTTGATTTTTTGAGGTAATTTCAATCGTGTTTTTCCGAATTGCTTCCCTCATAACGTCGACCTATTTGAGGTATTTCAATCAATAGGGAAAAAGTCCTATTTTGATATTAAAATTAAGCCCCTGAAATCTTGATAATGAATTTTGAATTACCCTGTATACCTGTAACCACAGTAATACATGAGGATAAAATTATTCCGGTGGATATTCAAGTTACAACGCTGTATTGTCATTATCATTGTCTGCTAACTATGGAGAAAAAATCTAGTGATCTGTAGTATCTGGTCTGCTCAGACGAGGGAAATCACCTACAGGTTTCTGTGGCGTGTGGCCGATACAGTAGTGCCGCCATACGGTCAACTCGAGGAAACACTTATTTCAATTGTTTTCCTGTCGAACCTACATAACCTTGAAAATCGTAAATGAGTTGAGCGGTGCTCTCGGTTTGAGTTCAGTCACGGTCACTCAGTCAATCAAAAATTCAAAAAATCATTCCTTCCCAAAATGGTTGCTACAGACACCTAATTTAAATGAGAAGTAGAATCAGTAGTATCGATTATCAGCTTTTGATCAGGGCTCTGATATTATCTTACTTGTAATGAGCTTGTAACACTCAAAGTCGAATGTATCCACTTATGTCGCGAAGAAATATCACTTGGAAACGGTTTCACAAGTTCTGGTAGGCACAATTATTGAGAGAAAGAGTTTGTAACAAATTATCAATCAGAATGAATTACTTTAATACTGGGAGCACAATAACAGAAAACTATAAACGGAAGGAATATTAGAACAACGAAAATTGAAAAAGAAAGATTTTTTCAGGAGAAAATACAATACAAGTCACGATGGCACGACAGCTCTTGACACTGACAACTTACATAACCACACATTTCGAATATTTTCTAGAAAAAGTGTAGATCATTTCGTCCGATACGGTAACATCCTCTGATGGTCATACACTCAAGTGAACTATTCGCGGGAATCAATGTTACCAGGTGGCGCTCGGTTTTCATCGTTCCATGTCAAAGCCACGTCAAAACTGGGGGAAAACAAACTTAATCCTCACTCAATTGACTCAATACCATTAGTGCCATTAGCTTATGTACTGTGTACTGATAAGAGTGATGTTTTTAAATTTCTTGACATTAATTGTCAATATTCGATCGAAAACGCTAATAATGCCTGTTGTAGATGTTCTTTTGGCAGATATTTTGCTCTATTTAGATGGAAAAAGCCGACCAGTAGTGGAAGGAGAAGCAGTTCTCCGTGCTTATCATGTGATTTTGTGTGAGGCAGAAGACTTCAACAAAAGGCACATTTTTGCACTTTTTCTACAAACTTCGGCAATGAAATCTTCCCCACATGAAGTAAAATTGAAGTTGGGGTCCAGATGAACTCCTGTAGAACAATGGATTTGTATTTGTTCGTGCAAAGCAGGACAATCTGGGTATTGTAAACATGTTGTAGCTGTTCTTTTATATGTCAATTGATTTGCTCGTCATAATTAGTTTGAATTGTTTGAACTGTCTCCAATTTTTCACCCGTTCACTGTTCACTAAGCTAATAAAAATGTAATAATGTAAAAAAATTAACCAACTCAACCTTCATCACTACCAACAGTGCCAACACTTTATGTCATTGACAAGTTTGACTACAGCTACAGCAAGCTGAATGCAATGTAGTCTATGCACTTTATCCATAGACAACAGTTTGTTTTCCCCCAGTTTGAAGTTCGTATTATGTAACCTAGATGTCGCCCACTTCGTGAATCTCGCGAATAGAGCAGACCAGTAGTTACAGCTCACTAGATTTTTTCTCCGTATTTAGCAGACAATGGTCATTTTTATCATGTAGGTTGTGAATATCACGGTTATGCTAGTGACGTCACGAGGACCTGGCCCGTAAACGGGAAATTCACTGCTGAACAACGGCAAATCTACGAAGTGGTTTATTGTGTTCATCAAGAACTGATCGAATTATGTGGAAAATTCCCCAGCTTGGATACGCTGTTCGAATCTATGTGTTTCTTATTGGGAAAACGACTGCAGGAGAACGGTCTGTTGGGCATACAGCCATCCAATGCCTATCTAATGAAAGTAAGAGGAAATTATTATTCCACTAAGAGGAAAATATTAGTCCAGTATTTCAGCATTATTTGAGAGAACATTTTTTTCCTTCAAAACTATGTGGTATATGAAATTTTTACAAGTGTTATGAAATGAAGGTAATTGATTAGTCTTCAAGCTCAAAGAATTTCAGATCCGTATTATGAACCCTAAAAAAGTTCTGTAAAAAATGTCAGGGGGTTAGGGTGGTTTTAACCCTTCTACAATTTCTTTTAGGTGTATTTGATTACCAAAAAGAAAGTAATCCTCTGAAATACACTATTGCCAAATTTCATTAAATTCGTTTCACTTATTTCTGACCAGCGTACAAAAATGTGTTTTTTATGTGAACTTTGATCCCTTCTCATGGACAAACGGTACATTTCGGCACATAAATAAATTGGGTCCAATCAACTTATTTTGACCTCCTCTACACGTGGTAGCTCGAGAATTTTTTCATGTTCATAATTTATCTGAGAATATTCCTTTTCAATATACAGGGTGTTCCGGTGATCATGTTACAAACTTCTAGGGTAGATAAAACACACGAAAATAAAAAAAAGTGCATGTGAACATGGGTCCGGAAACGCTTCTTCAGGGAGCTAGGGCCCTTCGAAGATGACCTTCAAAAACTACTTTTCGTTTTATAGCTTCGGTACTACTGCAGCTATCGCAACCAATTTTGGGACATGAAATCTAGTTCGTAGGTTCATCAATATGAGCCTTCCGGATTTTGTCATCTTTAACCAGGGGCGTACAAACCAGGGGGGTATTTGGGTAAATTTGACCCTACTCCTCTTAGGCTTTAATTTCTTACCATTTTTATATCTGATTATGATTCTCCAATGCCTTTTACATAGAAAAGGTACTCTTGTGAAAATCGCTATCTGTCACCGTTTCCTCCGAAAATGGCTAAATCCAATCAATAATAAATTATTGGTCTTGAACCAATTATTACGTTGAAATATGAAAATGAGGTTCAGTACAGATAGTGAGCATTATTAGTTAGTCAAATCTTCCTACGAACTAGATTTCATGTCCCAAAATTGGTTGCGATAGCTGCAGTAGTACCGAAGCTATAAAACGAAAAGTAGTTTTTGCAGGTCATCTTCGAAGGGCCCTAGCTTCCTGAAGAAGCGTTTCCGGACCCATGTCCACATGAACTTTTTTTCTTATTTTCGTGTGTTTTATCTTCCCTAGAAGTGTGTAACATGATCACCGGAACACTCTGTATTATACAGGGTGGGCCACCAGTAACGCCTCGGTCTCTAGAAGGCTAACCACTTATCTTCTTGGAATTCTTCCTCTCTAGGAAGTTGCATGTCAACATAGGCTACCATTTGAAATTATTTTGAAACATACAGGATGTCCCCAAAAATCACAAAACACTGAAGTTGAACTTTTTTCAATCGAACACCCTATATATTATTTCATTTTGAGATTCTCCCTGGTGGGCTGATCTCAACAATCCATCATACTTGGGGTCTAGCAGTTGTATTTACTGAGATATAGGGTGTGAGAAATCGAGATTTTCCAAGTTCAAGAATTTTTTGTGTCGAAACTATTCATTATTGGTCGAAACGGCTCTCATGTCCCTATATCAACTTGTGATTTACTATCTACTGACATTTAATTGAATCAAATACAGGGTGGTGCAGAATTCAGAATCTTGATCACCCGGTATATGTCCCAATTAAATATCAGTAGATAGTTAATCAAAAGTTGAGATAGGGACATGTAAGCCGTTTTGACCAATTATGAATAGTTTCGACACAAAAAATTCTTGAACTTGGAAAATCTCGATTTTTCACACCCTATATTTCAGTAATTATAACTGCTAGACCCCAAGTATGTTGGGTCGTTGAAATCAGCTCATCAGGGAGAATCTCAAAATGAAATAATATATAGGGTGTTCGATCGAAAAACGTTTAACTTCAGTGTTTTATGGTTTCTGGGGACACCCTGTATGTTTCGAAATAATTTTAAATGGTAGCCTATGTTGACATGCAACTTCCTAGAGAGGAAGAATTCCAAGAAGATAAGTGGTTAGCCTTCTAGAGACCGAGGCGTTACTGGTGGCCCACCCTGTATAATTTGGAAAACTTGTGGTATTTTGAAAATTAACTTTTCGCTGCTGATGAAAATTTCCTGCAATAAGTCAAGCACTTGGACTTTATAACATTTTGATATCTCAGTATTTTCGTTCCCTAGAGGAATCCAGTATTTTCAAAGAATGTGTTTTTTAGGCAGCTTATCAGCTGTGCCCTCATCATGTCTCCCATTATTTGGGCATGGACATACATGACACTCCCTCTGTGAGCAGAAGCACCAAAATCGAACCAGGAATGGTGATTACCATAGAACCAGGTTAGCATCTAATCGATATACAGGGTCACGACAAGTTCACACTATCTCTATATCGAGAATCAGTCGGGAGAAATCCATGAAAATATGCATGCTCATATTTCAGAATACGCTCTCTTCATTTCAAATATTTTCAGCAATGCAGTGTTGCCGGTTTTAAGAAAAGTAGCAACTACTTTGTTATTTCAAATAGAATACCCTGTATTTTATTGCATTTTTAGATTCTCCCTGAAGAGCTGATTTCATCGATAAATCACACTTAGGGTCTATCGGAAATGATCACAGAGATATAGGGTGTTCAAAATCGAGATTTTCCAACTTTTGGAATTTTTTTGTGTCGAAACTATTTATTATCGGGCAAAATGGCACACATGTCCCCATTTCAACGTTTGATTTACTATTTACTGATATTGAATCGGGACAGATACAGGGTGATCAGAATTCTGAATCTTGAACCACCCTGAATCTGTTTCGATTAAATATCGGTAAATAGTGAATCAAAAGTTGAGATAGGGACATATAGGCCGTTTTGACCGATAATGAATAGTCTCGACACAAAAAAAAAACCTGAAGTTGAAAAATCTCGATTTTGAACACCCTATATCTCTGTAATCTTTTCTATAGACCCCAAGTGTGATACATCGATAAAATCAGCTCTTCAGGGAGAATCTAAAAATGCGATAAAATACAGGGTGTTCCATTTGAAATATCAATGTTGCTACTACTTTCTAGTAGAAGCGGCAACACTGCATCGCCGAAAATCTTATAAATGAAGAGAACGTATTCCTAAATATAAGCATGCACATTTTCATGGATGTCTCCCGACTGATTCTCGATATAAAGATAGTGTAAGCTCGTCGTGACAGACCCTGTATACACTTTCAACTGTATAATAATGGATTACTCTTCAGGAATTTACGTGAATGCAAAGAGTAAATTGTTGCCCAAAGAATATCGAGGATTGGGTATACGAATCGAGGATGATGTGTTGATTACTGTCAATGGACCTGTTGTACTGAGCAGGAAGTGTCCAAAACACATAGATGAAATCGAAAAAATCGTAAGTGGCGGTTCATTATAGTTTTATGAAGTGTATTGAATTGAGAAACTTTTTATAATTGAGGACGTTTTTATCTTGAATGTACAATAAATTATTTTTCAAATGTTTTTATTCAACTTGTATCATTTCACTTACTTACTACAGGAACATTATAGGAATTTGCTTTCTTGTGCTCCAAGAGATGAAAAAAAATCCAACTATACTCCCGGAAATATCGGCTTCTGATTCTCCTGAACAGATGAAAATTTTCGATTTTACATTCAGCGTTATGGTCCGAGATCAACAACCATCAACTTTGTTCTAGTATTGAATACGGTCCTAAATTTTGTATAAAATTTTCTCAGTATCCGGATTTGAGATACAGAAAATATCAATCGATTTCCTGGAAGTCCTTGAAATTTAGTCTATTTCTAAATGCAAATTTTAGAACCGAATGTCGCTTTTTTTTCAATTCAAACTTTTTCATCTTAAACTTTTGATTTAACAATGGTGGGAAACTGATCTGTTTCACCCTTCAACGCTTCATAATAATTAATTAACTCTTACATTATTAGCACTTGTGAGTCAGTCCATCAGTATCTTGAAGTTGACGCTTTAGAAGGTGCATTAATTATTTTTTCTACTCACATAACTAAAATGGCATTTAGCGTACGGATATGTACCACGCTAAATGATCGATTAATCACGGATGGACGATCTGTGATTTATTAAAAATATTAAACACGTTACCATGGCAACACGATTTCTTAAACACATTACCATGGCAACACAGTTCATTAAACACAGCTTCAGTAATTTGAGACATGTCTGGCCTGTCAATTGTATTAACTGTCAACTGTTATTTTCAAATTTTGTATCAGAATTATTCAAACAATATTCGTTTGTATCAGAATTCTTCATTAAAAATATATGCGAAATGTAGAGAGAAGAGAATGTTCTGGTACTTGCATCTTGCATATCTCCAAGAAGTGTTAAAATGAAGCATCCATCTTTGAGAACAATTTATTTATTCTGCGCTAAGCATGCCAATAAACGTGAAACAAAGGTTAGTAAGCAATGGACTGGACACATTTACCACCAATATCACTTATACGTGTCTCGCTGGTTGCATGCAGTTGCATGTATTATGTTTTCAATTCCCATTCCTTTAGAATTATTTTGTAGGTTAGCAGGAATAGCAGGTATGTTAATTTGATTTTCGGAGTTCGTAGAAAAACCATAGTATGTAACGCGTTTATAAAATCTTCTAGACACTCGTTTATTAAACACTCGCTCCGCTCTGCTCCGCTCGTGCTTAAAATACTCGTTACTAGAAGGACGTTTATTACACTTGTTACATAATATACTATTTCCGTCGACCTCGTATTAACGACTATGTTTAATGTATATGAAATCGTTCATTAATGACCCCTATTAATGGACGATTTGTCTATTAATGCACGATTGTTTTATAGGCAACCAAACATACACCGAGTGCATTCATTGTTTGTGCTATAACTAGCGGAATCTGCATTTAAATCGAAAATATGGATTTCATCGACGATTTTCCGTTAACGGGTTCGCCTTTCCAAGTTTCTGACACGATTTTAATCCCTGTTTGGGTGATTCTTAGTAGTTTCTGGATGAATGATGAATTCGCGATCCAAGTTTGCTTCATTGCAGGAGAAATGAGAAATATAGTCGACGGAAAAATGTTGTAACCAACTCGTATATTAAAAGGCGATTAATGATCTCGGGCATTAACACGCTCGCTTCGCTCGCACGTTAAAATATCTCGATCATTAATCGCCCACATTAATACACTAGTTGGTTAAATAACTATTCTCTAATCATTCAATTAGTTTTCAATCATTGGGGATTTGGGGACATATAAATCGAGTGCGAGAAAAATAAAAAAAATCTTTATTTAAAACACTTTCATGTGAAAGTAAATTAAAAATAATTTAACATCTTAAATAAATAAATAATTCAGTTTATTCTATCTTAATATTTATACCAATTCAAATATTGAATAAGGATTGAATATACAGGGTGTTCCAGAATAGTACGGACAAAAAATAACCACGAATTCCTGAAAATTGAACCAAATTAAACAAACTTTAATAAGGAAAAAACTAAATTGTTTAATTTCTTTGTATAAATGAGGTGGGGTAAGATGGGCATATTTTTACAATATTCATACCTCTGAAACTCAAGTCACAAGAGTGTTTATAGAGAGTGTATCTATAAAATACCGAAAAATTCAAGGGGTAATTTCTTCTGATATTCTAGCAAATAAAGTTCATATAAACATGTGTCCTAGGAATATTAAAAGGAATCATGCCTTGAATTTTCTCTGTGTCATTTAGATAGCATAAATTGAAGTCAACACTCATCTCTGCTTTTTCTGCCCACTTACCCTACCTTTAGCAGGATTTTTCAACAGATTCTGATAGAGCGTCAAAACATGACACTTTTTTGCAGTTTGATCTATCAACTTCGTGAAGGGAAAAGTAAAGATAAACTTCAAACCAAAATCTGTTTGTTGAACTTGAGTAACCCTAGTGATAAACAAAGTTCAGGTATTTGTAGTTATACACTATTTTCATGGGCGTCATTTGGGGACCTATATGTGAATTTTAGGGAATACATAAAAAACATGGGCGAAATGAAGGAACGAATATGAATATAAATTCGAATGAAAGCTTTAGATTTCCAAAATATATATTCGGAATACTGAAAAAATTTCTTCCATTTATGGAAGAGGATTTTTTTTCATTTTTAACTATGCTACAAGTGCAGACCAGGCTCAGAAAAACAATTTTACCAACTGTCATTCGATTGGTTATTTGAACCACTTACAGATTTTCTGATTCTCTAAGACGTAGATGGATAATAAAATAACTTGTCATGTTTTTCGATTTCACTAAAAGGATAGCATTCAACAATAGAATTTTGAGGGATTCGACAAGTCCATCCTTGAATTTCGGAAAATCTATCACATGCCAAAAGTATTGGTTTTAGAGGTTTTGATACCACTTATAGAACCATAGATGGAAGACGTCGGTTGGCTACTTTTATTCTACTACATGTCAAAGTAAATCTCAGTTGAGTTTTTGTAATACAGTTCTCAACACACTAAATGGACCACTCACTTTAAAAACATTTAATTAGTTTCCTTGATGTTGAACTTACTTATTGAATGTTCTTTTGGCTTTTCAGCCGTTACAAATGTTGTTGAATGTGAGGCTGGACTGATTAATTTTTATAACGATCCGATTTTACTGATAAAAATGTTTCTATTGTTAAGATGTTTCTCCACATAACAGGTACTTTTCAATTGTGTCTGAAGATGGCCGTAGAGCCGAAACTATAGTAACACACTGCTTATATATAATTTTGATATTAAATATTGTGGTCGACCGACTTTGAGTTCGTTTTTCTCCTGTTGAAAAAATACCGGACCACTTTGAGAATGGATGGTTTCCATGACTTATTGGAAATCAGTTGATAAGAATCATCAATATCAGGAAACAAGTTCGAATTGGAAATTTTCATCCTGTATTTCAATTAGAGACGAATTTTCGAAAACGTCTCGAGTTAATAGTCTAATATAAATAATGGATATCGAGAAGGCCGTTTCTGAATATACTGAATCGAATGGACCATGGTTTTAGTCACCATTTTTGATTTTTTTACTGAAATGAGATTTTGTCCTATTTTCTTATCATCCTGTATATTCCACAATAGTGCTTCTTTCGTCTTTCATTGTCCTCCACAAAACATGAGAACAGTTCTTCCCAATAGTCAGCTCAAGTGGAGTTCTAGAGAAAAATTTCAAGAAATGCAAGACTTTTGAAAAAAAATCGAATTTTTGTTCCAATGGCCAATTAAGGAGAAATCACGAAAACGTCCCGAGATGAGGTCCCAGAGTGTATCATAATATGGCTGATTTTTGATCAGAAAAAAATTTCTCGAGTTCTGGCAGCATTGGAAATGTAGACCATAATGTAATGGTTCTACTTCACACCCTATGTAATTTTTGTTCTGCGGACTTTTCCAGAGTGTTCTTGCTCTCTTTGAAGCCGATGAAATATCACATCTGATATCAAAAACCGCATAAAGATCAGTTTTTTTTAAAAATACAGGTCCTCGAAATAGAGTTAAATTATGAGTAGTCCATTCAGTGTGTTGAGAACTGTAGTTTCTTTACACAAAATTCAGATGTGTACCAAGAAAAATGTATCCAAATGGCCCCTAAATTCAACTTTTTTTCCAATGACGCCCATGACTGTATCCGCTCGGTTTTTGTACACTCTGTATCGCTTCCGAAACAAATCCAAAATGATCGGTATCATCATCATATTCAAAAATCAACTCTCATATTTCCGTAGTTCCACGCGTTGTCCCTTCGAATAATGCTTCGAGCCATCCATGTTTCGCATTGGCTCTTCCTTCGCTTCGTCCGGCGGTTCACCAATCGTCTGAAGTCGTGTTCGGGACTCCCCCGGGATAAATTCCGGACAAGCAGGCCGTGCAATGTCCCACGTTGGTGTGCGCGTTTTTCGTCTTTATGTCCGATCTGACCGCTTTTATCAGACCTTCGAGGCTCAGGTATTCCAAGCTGTCGGCCCCTGAAATTTTTCAAAGATATAAGACATAAGTATGCATCTACGGTCAAATCAAAATTGGTTAGTACAGGGTGGCTGGAATTCGAGCCTCATCATTGGAATCTCGTAAATCGTGAGAGATACAGGGCGTTACCACCGATACAACAAGACCAGCAGACTCTGACGTAAACAGCTCGTGACGTCGCCAAGTGAGGCCAGTGTTTTATTTTATCGCTTGTCGACTAACGCGTCAGTTCGTGTTAATTCATGGGTGATTCACGCATGTTTTTTAAACGGTCCCGAATTATTTTGTTGTTTATTCATCAAAATAATTGGCGGAAAAATTACTGTTTTGTGAAATATTTTGTGTTGTGATCGGCGAAATAACAATGCCTTTCAAGTGTTGTGTTCCCTTTTGTCGGGGGAATTATGTGGGTGGTTCAAAAGTTCATGCTTTTAGTTTCCCGTTGGACGAGGAGCTATCGAAAATGTGGGTATATGCAATTCACCGCGAGGATTTTACTCCATCTAAGTATCTAAGTTCAGTAGTAAACAGAGCCTAATTTATAATGATGAATTAATAATAGAAGACAATTACTCTCTCATAGAGGAAAAATAGGAAAGCTTTGATTGTGCAGTTAGTTTTGTATTCGTATATTATAGTCAACAAAATCATCTCTGAATTCGAGGAAATTTTCTTGAATGTTCATAATAAACGGGCATTTCTAATTCTCATTCTCAAATTTCTTTATGAAAACGGTCATTTGCCTCGTGGCAATGAATGCAGAATTCATTCCAATGATCAAATTGCAACTATCATATTAACATGAACTACAAACACTCTACTTAAAAAGGTAAAACTGCATTTATCATGAACATATTTGACTGAAAAGTTCCAAATTTCACCTTATTTTTCACCTGTCTTCTGGATGGCATCTAGAACAAATTTCCCTTCTTTTTTCATCATATTGGACAATTTATATATAATTCAACTATAAATATGATTTTCTTGAGATAAATCCATATTTAGTGAAAAGAAGGAAGAATATCATTCAAAATAATGGTGTGTGTAATATCATTCGAAAGCAATCTATTGACATCTAGAATGCTTGTTCACTAAATATGAAAAACTCGCCATTAAAATCATATTTCCTGTTGAATTTTCTATATAAAAATATGCCATTGAAGTACATCATAAGTATATAAAGTGTCCAATGACAAAATAAGAGCAAGTAGCTTCAAATGCCCCCAACACAAGGGGAGAAAGAAGGCGAAATTTCGAACTTTTTCTTGAAATATCTCAATAAATAGTGGTTTGTTCTCATTTTCAAAATTCGGTTTATCAGACAAAAATACGTGAGTATCGAAAAAAATTTTCAAAAAAAAAAACCATCGCATGATAAATGCAGTTTTACCCTTAAAAATTACGGTTTCAAGTGTAACGATTCACTTGGATGAAAAATCCAACAACAGAAAATTGAAAACACTCACTGGTTATTTTTTCAGGTAATAGGAATTATCTAAGATAAATATAGGTGATTGTAACAAACGGCAATCAAAATAAAATACATTTTCCACAATTTTCTTTCGATCAATCTCACGATAAGTTTATGTTCTGCGGGCCCTGTATAAGTAGGTGTGAAGTTTACCTTCACCACAATTTTTGCCAATATATTTAATTCGAATGGGTTGCTGTAGGTAGATATTTGTGTTTTATCCTGGTTTTTGCTTTGAAACTTCGTTTTTCCATAATAAAATCGAATGGGGTGCGAAGAAGGTCTCAGAGTTGACGACTGGCATCCTTTTTTAACCGGAAGCTCTTCAAAAAACAGCAAAATCGGCTCAATGATGATCTAAAACTAAAATCGAAATACGCGGTCGCCTTATAGCGCTATAAGCGCTTGTCGTTTCGAGCCGCTGGTTAGGCCTCACTGAGTGACGTCACCCACGGAGCATGCAGGCCTTGTTGTATCGGTGGTAACGTACAGGGTCGGTTTAATTATGGCAAAGTTGCTCAATTTGATGCCTAACAGTATGCCGTTCTGAAACTTGCAAAAAACCGATTACTTTCGGAGATATCCGAAGAAAATCCAAATTTAAAATCCGACGTTTCGTCTTCCAGAACCCATCATCAAGCTATCACAAATTTCGATTTTCGAATGTTTCGATGACAAAAATTGACATTTTCTTTACTTCATGATCTAAAAGTTTTACAAAATTAAGTGAATATTTCACACACCAGAGTATTTTTCTTACCCTTACCTAAAGCACCAGGCCAAATCGATACAATATCAGTACAAAAGCTAAATTATTGCACAATCGTAGAGCCAAATGCTGCCAGAGACCAGTTCATACGACAAAAGTCAGAATTAAAAGAATATCATTCTGGTAGAAATATCAAAAAAACGGCGCAAAAACGGCCAGAGGCCAACAACAGTGAAAATATTAAAAATACGTTACCAGTAGCGACACCTAGCGTCGTTATGATCTAGTTTATAGTTTGGGAATTGATCCGGTAACGAGATTACTATAAAAGTGCAGCTAGTTTAAGGTACGCGAGGTACAGTTCGTAATTACCAAACGAACAAATGATTAATAATAATGTTGAAAAGGTATATTCTCAGATAAATTATGAACATACAAAAATGGATATATATTTATATAAAGCAATACATTGAGAATTCGCATTCTCTATATGTGATGAGAATATTTACTCTTTTTCAGTTAATTCAATAGAAAACAACTACTTTCCTGGCTATATGCCACGACGAACATTGAATTATATCTATTGAACACATACGATAAGAGTTTGAAAATAAAATATGAAAAAAAAAAAAAAAAAAAAAAATCTGAAATTGAGAATTTGCATTCTCCTTCAGACAAAAATAGGTATATACACATATCATTCTGAATATTCAACAGAAAACAACTACTTTCCTGGCTATTTGCCACGTCGAACATTGAATTATATCTGATGAACATTCAAAAGGGGAATATGAAAAATAAAGAATAAAATCCTCCGAAAATGAGAATTGACATTCTTCTTCAAATCGGATGAATAATATGATGAATAATGATATAGAAATATGACTTACCAATATATTCAGCATTGAAATGAAAATTGGAATGTATAGGAGAAGTATACTGGCAATTTTCATTTCAATGCTGAATATATTGGTAAGTCATATTTCAAGATCATTATTCGTAAGTCATATTTCAAGATCATTATTCATCATATTATTCATCCGATTTGAAGAAGAATGTCAATTCTCAATTTCGGAGGATTTTATTCTTTATTTTTCATATTCCCCTTTTGAATGTTCATCAGATATAATTCAATGTTCGACGTGGCAAATAGCCAGGAAAGTAGTTGTTTTCTGTTGAATATTCAGAATGATATGTGTATATACCTATTTTTGTCTGAAGGAGAATGCAAATTCTCAATTTCAGAATTTTTTTTTTTTTTTTTTTTTTATATTTTATTTTCAAACTCTTATCGTATGTGTTCAATAGATATAATTCAATGTTCGTCGTGGCATATAGCATCGCAGATTCATGATAGAGTCTCAATTCAGAATTCATTTCCACGCCCTGTATGATGAATGTCAATTTATCATACACCCAAAAGCATTAATAATAATGATGGCGAAAATTGCGAGAGATGAAAATCGGACCGCATTGTGTTTCCAAGCACAAGAAAAACAAACCAAATATGAATATTCGGTAGGGTACATAAGGGATAAGGGAGTTTCACTGAGGTCTTGTTTCAACCCCGTCCAACTCACCGACTTGGATGGCCAACTCTTTGGGCGTCATCTTGTTGGCCACCAGCTCCTCCCTCGTCGGTATGTTGATGCCCATGTAGCAGGGGTAGCGCAGGGGCGGACTGGCTACCCTAACGTGCACCTCCGTCGCCCCGGCGTTCTTCAGCAGCTTGATGATGGGACCGATGGTGTTGCCTGTAAGGAAGTTAGCAATGTCAGGTGCTTCAAAGCTTTCTGCAGGGCAATCATTTCGAAAGTAGCCACCTGTATATCTTTCAGAACACACAAATACTTATGCTATCTATAATCGAGCTGACTCATCGTTTTTTTTTACTGGCCAATGATAAAAATAATACTCCTAGTACACTATGCTCTTTAGATGCTCTGTTCATGATTATTTTCAAATTTCAACTGTAACGTCAGGGACTGTTAACTTTTTTTTCAAATATCAAAGTTTTTTTTCTACATTTTTTCTGGTCTGAACTTTTTTCGTTATACAGTGATGTATGACGAGTCGACTTTTGGAGAAAAAATTGTTGAAATAAAAAATAAATGCTCAGGTGACATGAAATAGATATTTTCATTAAATTTTGAGATGTATCATTTCACCAAAATGTCGGTTTTTAAGTGAACTTTGTTGAAAATTGAAATGTTCAAACTGGCTATGGTAATGTTTAACACACTGATTGCTCCATGACATATGACAAGATGATCTCGTCATATTTATTTGCTCAGCATTTCCTTATGAATAAAATGGAATATGAATATCATATTTCCTACGTTTTGAAAGTTGTACTTTTCGCACTTGTTAGGTAAATAATTATTGAATTGAAGTCACTGAGAAGGGTGGCCAGTTTGAACTGTTAATGTTTTCACAGCATACTTCAAAATCACATAATTTTGTCTAAGAATCAACTTGATATACATATTATTATATTCCTAAAAGAAATCTCGAATATAAAAAAATAAAAAACCTAATATGAAATGGCGGAGAAGGGGGGAGAAGTGAAGTGGGTAATTACCCCCCCCCCCAAAAAAAGCCTCCTCTAAATATTGATCGTTACCATTTGTGTTATTCCATATGTCTAATGGAACTAAAGTAGTGCTTTCGAAGAGTACTGAAAATAATAGTTTTAGCCAAACTCTCCATTTCTGGGAAGTCACCTGAGACGTGTCAATTTTTATTTTGAAATTCGTCACATTTATAAGGGATAATTGAATAAACAGGGGGATCCATGTTTGAGTTAAAACGCCCCGATTTTTTTTTCATTAGGAACACACTATATATATTAATTATTAAAATTTTCGAATCTATATATGGAGCTGTTTCCGTACATATTACAATAGGGCTTGTATACAGTGCGTGCGATAAATTGAGTTTTCTCATAAAGCAGTGGATAAACTCATTTTTAGAAAAATTATCCATTTATGAGGAATCTCCTGAGAAAGGTCGAGTTAATCTGAAATTGACACATAAATATAGAAAATAAATATACAGGTTGATCCACGTCTGAGTAATGACGTCCGCGACAATATTTTCAAATGGAACATTATGTATTATTATTCGATTTTTGGAATCTCTATTGTATACAGTGCGTCCGTTAAATTCAGTGCTCTAGTAAAATAGTGAACAAATTCATTGAAAATTAAAGGAATACCAAATTTTTGATTGGAAACCGGCATTATTTCAAATTCAATTTTAATATATTCGTGTATGAGAAACTACGCCATCGTTTGATGGACTCATTGTATACAAACCCTTTGTGTGATTTATTTTTGAAGGCAGCTTTTCGTGAAGATTCTTACCATGAATAATATATAGGGTGTTCCATTTGAAGAAATTGGCCAGGACGTCATAATAAATATGGCAAATTGAAAATAAAGATCGGCCTGTTTCAGATTTTTCAGAAATAGATAGCTAAAAATTAATTCATTCAGTACCTACTTTACGAAAGCACTGTATATTCGTATTTTACTTTTCATATTCATTACCCCCCTAACCATCACCCTGGATCCGCCACTGCACCTAAACCAATAATATTTAAGCCAAATCATCTGATTATTATGGTTCAGAAAATTCCCGATAAACTCCCAAAATATTAAACCAATCAATCGTCCCCATCGCGTCGTTATCATTCAAATACGATTTCCCTACAAATACCTATAATAATTCCCTAAGTTGGGAAAAAAAGATCCCTACAATTCATTTAAAATCAAATGAACCTTGAGATTTATTGGATTTAGCAGAGAAAATTTTTCAAAACACAATTCCACTATGTCCAAATGTAACTGTCACTAGTGTCACTTGTCATAAACAAGTCGAACCTAAGCCACTTATACAAATAATCATGAAATGATAATTATCGACCACTCTCTGAACTGACAGTATGCCTTCGCTTTTTAAATTCGAAGTTATCATACGTTAGATATAGTCCTTGAAGTTGCCAGGCAAGCAGAGCAGTGGAAAAATCCGTACAATTCCGGATTATCGAATAATATGTCCCTACATCCCTACACACCCTAAATTTAGCAAAGTATCCCCACATGTAGGGAATATCCCTACGAGTTGGCATCACTGGTACAGTCAGATATTTTCAACGCATTGACAATTTGGGACGAATCATCGGATTTGATTGAAACACTAAAAATCTTATATGTCCTTTAGACAATAAATATTTATTTTACCTCTGACGATGGAGTCGTCTATCAGTATGACCTTCTTGCCCTTGACGTTGCCTGCGAGGGCGCCGAATTTTTTCGCCACGCTCAGCTGCCTCAGGCGGTTGCTCGGTTGGATGAACGATCGACCGACGTATCTGTTTTTGCACAGGACTTCAGAAAACCTTATTCCGCTCTGAAAAATAGAAGAATTTGAATACAAGTGCTCTTTTCTTCGCCACCTACTGGCTAAAGTGATTCATTTGAGAATATTGAAATACTGTTGATAAATTGAAAATTTTAAAGGCTTCCAAGTTCTAGAAGACCAAATATGACGCTGTGGGTCTGATGTTTTGATAGCTGTTTCCACTACTAATATATTTAAATCAATTTTTTATCGAATAGTAATTTAAGTCTGGAAAATACTGTTTTTTTTTGGACGAGTAGATTAAATTCTAGGCCGATAATACATACCAACTGTTACATTGGAAATTTCGTATGGATTACTTCTAGATTGGTCAGTAGTTTTCCCAACTACTATGCCATACAATAAATGTGGCAGAAGAAATGATGAATATACTGTATGCAGCATCTTAGAGTTGAGAATATCTCATATAGTATTTTAAATAATTATGTATATGAAAAATCTCACTTTTGTAGTAACATGTTTGACGTGTTTATGCCATTTCAAATTTGTGTCCAAGAGGACCCCCAGGTATTTGAATTCAGTAAGAGCATTTATATGTACGTTAGTTAGAATATTGATTTGTTGGAAAGTTGGTGTTCTACTATCAATATATGTGGGAAGGAACGATGTTTTTGTATAGTTTACGGTAAGCAACTTGCAATTAAACCATTTTTGGATATTAATTAGATCTTTTTCTGCCAGTATTTTAAGCTTATCCCAGTTTTCTTCTTCGCAGAAGATGTATCATCAGCATATGCTATGATTTCACCGGCCGTGTGGACACTAAGAAAAGATCATTCAAATACAGGGTGCGGCACCGAAAACGAAACAGAGGCTCTGTAGGTCGGCAAAACCGGATTATCAAAAAAAACTGAAACAGGTCAACTACATTTTCGAGGGGGACATCTTTCTAAAATATTTTCAGCCCTGCGGCGTTGCCGCTTCTAAAGAAAAGAAGCAACAACTTTGTTATTTCAAATGGAACACCTTGTATTTTATTGCATTTTTAGATTCTCCCCGAAGAGCTGATTTCATCAATGCATCACACTTGGGGTCTAGCTGTAATGGTTTCAGGGATATAAAGTGTTCAAAATCGAGATTTTTCAACTTTGACATTTGTTCGTGTCGAAACTATTCATTATTGGTCGAAACGGCTCTCATGTCCCTATCTCAACTTGTGATTTACTATCTACTAACATTTAATTGGAACAGATACAGGGTGATCCGAATTCTGAATCATGAACCACCCTGTATTTGTTTCAAATAAATGTCAGTAGATAGTAAATCACAAGTTGAGATAGGGACATGAGAGCCGTTTCGACCAATAATGAATAGTTTCGACACAAAAAAATGTCAAAGTTGAAAAATCTCGATTTTGAACACTTTATATCCCTGAAACCATTACAGCTAGACCCCAAGTGTGATGCATTGATGAAATCAGCTCTTCGGGGAGAATCTAAAAATGCAATAAAATACAAGGTGTTCCATTTGAAATAACAAAGTTGTTGCTTCTTTTCTTTAGAAGCGGCAACGCCGCAGGGCTGAAAATATTTTAGAAAGATGTCCCCCTCGAAAATGTAGTTGACCTGTTTCAGTTTTTTTTGATAATCCGGTTTTGGCGACCTACAGAGCCTCTGTTTCGTTTTCGGTGCCGCACCCTGTATATATCGAAAAGGATTGGTCCCAGCACAGAGTCTTGTGGTACACCAGAGGTGACTTCTCTTTGCTCGCTTCTAGAGCTATTAATTCGTACAAATTGATGCCTATTTGCAAGGTATGTTTCAAATAGCTGTAATCCAGTGCCTCTAATGAGCTTATATCACAAAAATGTTTTATTTCATAATTCGATAGAACTCACCAAAACTAGCTCACCACCGCAAACCGTTTCTTGCTGTGAGCTCCCTACGTTTTATAAAAAATTATTGAAACCCCTGATTTTTGGGACCTCTGAAAACGAGGCGTCAAAACCCTAATACTGAAACAAGACTATTCCAGACAGAAATAAATGATACATGATTTCTGAAAGAGTGAATCAGCATGAGATCACAGTTAAAAGAATTAATATATCAGTTGCCTCAGTCTCCGTTGGGCGTTTGGTATTTTCTCTTAACTATGGCGAGATGAGGTTTCTACGTCATAAGAGGGTCCGTTTTCAGAAGGTACTATTATTCATGTCCAAAAATAAAACATTCCAGTTGATTTTTCGATCGAATTATATCGTCAATCATCATTTATGTATAAAAGGATCATTATAAACATGGTTTGAGTTAAAAGTTCTTCTGAGGTGTACACGCCCATTCCCACATCTTCCAAAGATTTTAGTAATAGTCAAATCATCTTATCAAGGTGATTGAGAGTTTTGTGGAACATTCATCGTTCGACCAAGTCAATTAAAAAAAAGAGCTCACCTGTCTGGAGAAGCCATGCGCGGCGGCGTTGCCGGATTCGGGCACTGCGCTGACGATGTCCGCCTCTACCGGGTGTTCGATGGCCAGCTGCCGGCCGCACTGCATGCGCACCGAATACACCATCTGGCCCTCGAAGATGCTGTCCGCCCTAGCGAAGTACACGTACTCGAAGATGCAGAAGGCCTGCATCTGGGGGTCAGAAAAGAGACGGATGATGATTCAATCGAGATAAACCGTTTTTTATGATGATTCATGTCAGTTGAGTTACGAATAGATGCGGTTATACACGAAGTGAGCTGGGTTGCGACGATTTGATTCAAATGATTTGAAAACAACTAATTTTTTCTATTCCAATCGTGATACGAATCAAATTATACAGGATCTAATTTGATACTCGAAGGTGCAGAAGGCCTGCATTTTCATTTCAAGACTGATCATGTTGGTAAGTTATATTTATATAGAATAATACATCCTATTATTCCATCCGATTTGAGAAATGATGCCAATTCTCAATTTCAGAGGATTTTCATTTCCATGCTCTCTTTTTGGATGTTCAACAGATATTTCATTCGCTACATCAGAAAATAAACTGTTCCGGACTGGTGTGCCTCAGGGATCTATCTCGGGGCCGGTTCTGTTCCTACTATACATCAATAACATCAATATTGATCTTGGATAAGCAATCTGATATTTCAACACATAAATGCACAGATATCCGGAATTTAACTACTGTATATTTCAACAGACAGGTTATATTTTTCAATGCTAAAAAAACTCAGGTGATTCGTTTTCATAATTATAAGAATAAAACTGAAGCATTTCAACTGAATATTAATAATACCACCTTACAAAGCACCCTCAATACAGTTAAATTCTTAGGTATGCAAACAACTGTTTTCAAAATTGTGCTCACTTATCTATCTCTTTAGGGATCTGATAGTCGTTTCGAATAAAAAGCAACTCATCAGTGTATATTATGATCAGGTTGAGTCTAGGTTTTTATCAAATACATATTGATAGTTTAGAACGAATTCAGAAAAGGTTCTTGAAAACATATTCATATCGCAAGGGTTATCACGTTGCTCATATATAAACTACCCAGATATCTTAATGGAACTTAATCTCCTAACTTTAGAAAATCGTAGATTAGTGTTGGATATGTGTTTCCTATATAAATTGGTAAATAGACCTTAATTAATTTAATTCTCCAGATCTACTTCAATACGTCGGCCAGAACAAGAAATCCTCCTTGATTTTTCTTGACATTTCACTTAACGAATTATGGCATCAATAACCCTATTTCAAGGGTTCAAAGGAATTATGTTGTTCATCAAAATCATTGTGACCTATTCTGTGGCAGTCTAAATAAATTCAAAACCAATGTTGTGCAAATAATTAGGAATACCTAGTTGATATTATGAGATGAGTATAACTCAAGTGCTATTTTTCTATGAGTGTAATTTTCATTGTTCCTATCATTATTCATTTTTTGTAATTATTTCTTTCATAAAAATGGTGTAACCGTTGAAATAAATAAATAAATGAATTATGATGAGTGTTAGTGCAACCCCTTTTTGGTTTTCCATTTTTTTTTGGTGTGAGGTTTTTTCAATTTTTTAACGATTCGGTTATTTATCGATATAATACCTTGCTCTCGGGCCGCTCGATGATGTCGATCGTCCGGATCCCGTGGCGCGTCATCTCTATTATCTCCCCGGGGAACACCTCTCGCACATACTGCGCGCCGATCGACAAGAACCCGCAAGACTCGGACGACACCACCCACCCTTCGGCCTCCCTGCTGTCGTCGATGTCCACGTGGAGAGCTGGAAAATAAGGGAATTTCTGAAATATTTGTTGCTTTTTGAATGTATGATACATAGATATTCATCATACAGGACGTGGAAAGAAATTCTGAATTGAGAAATCCTGATCACGGACTCGAATAAAATGCTGCGGACTTAGAAGAGCAGTTGGAGGAATTAGGGTGGAAATAATTTCCACAAAAACGCAGTTTTCATTTTCTGAAGCCTCATTCGACCATATAGATGCATTCTATCATGGAAAAACGTTTTGATGCAACTTTTCATATTTTAGGTGCCCAAACGGAAATGATTGTTTCATAACTCAACACATGTTCCGCTACCTATGTTAGGATCTTCAGGATGAGATTCAAACGAATTCCATAATCTTCCTAAAAATGATAATATGGTTAACATATCTCAAAATCCTCTTGTCGAGGTGTGAAACAATCATTTCGGTATGTGATTGAAACTATTCTCTGTGATCGTGAATGAAAGGTTCCATTATTTGATATATTATTCCAGGTTATAGTGAATTAAAAGCAGCGATGGAAGATAACAAATGTGTATTATTTTCATCAAGTACTGATGATAGTTCAAATTGTGTTAAATTGACTGCTAAAAGTGTCCAAGGAATTATAAGTGCTAGCAAGTAGCAGCAAGACAAAATAATTGAACTCTTGGAACCAGTGCCTATTCATCCTCTAATTGTTCACGTCGAATGTCGTAGTTTGTACGTAAATCCGAACAAGATGAAGAATGATCTCAGGTTTGAATCAGATCCTAATAGAGAAACATCAACTAGTAGCAGCAGCAGCAGCAACAGAGCTTTGTGATCTGAGCTGGCGACATTCGCATTCAAAGATAATTGCTTGTTTTGTGGCCAATTCATCAAGGAAACTGAGGAAATAATTAAATCTGCAATTTTACCAGTACGAACTATCGCGTTTCGACAAACTATTATTGATGTGTGTGATGCAAGAAACGATTTTTGATCATCAAATGTCCTTCCACGACTTCTTTCCGTTATCGATACTTGCCAGCAGCAGATGTTCTGTATAATCAGAAATGTAGTGTGAATTTTGGAAAAGGCAACTCTATTCCTAAGAAACATCAACATGATATTCCCAATGAACAGACAAAGTTAGCAGGACGTCCTTCTGATAAAAATAAAGAAGATTCCTTTTTACAAATATGCAGTTGGCTCAAGGAAAATAATGAACCAATTTCAGTTCAGGAGTTGCTGGACAAAATAGCAGAGCTGCTGCCAGAAAATATCGAACCTTACACACTGTTCGTCGTATGCATAAAAAATTAGAAGAATCTTTCTGGGATGACATTATGATATTGAGACAAAAAGGCAGATCTAACAAGATCGTAACAGGGAAAACAGTTGCCAATATAATTTCTGATTATCAGCGACAAAAGTGTTCAGAACATCCAGATGCTGAAAAATTTCGGAAAGTTGAAGCAACAGCTAAACTGATTAAGAATTTGATCAAGTTGATGAGATCATCCTTAGAGTTTTATCCTTCACCAGAAGAAATAAGTTCCGAACAGGAAAATAATTAGCTTTTACCCGACATTTTGAAAACATTCTTGGATATAATAATCAACAAAAAATCCTCAAGTTTGGAGGAAAATTCAAATAAACAGGCACTAATGCAAGCTGCAAGGCCACGATCTATCATAAGTTCAAATCGTCTAGGTGTTGGTGTGCAGTATAATCGAGATTTTCGATCTCGGTTACTTGTCGATGAACTTCATGAGCTTGGGTTTTCTGTATTATATGATGACGTACAGAAGTTCTTGCAAAACTGAAGTAGATGAACCTTGATGTGGAACCAGATGTATATGTCGACGATACGGAATTTTTTGCACAGTATTGTGCTTTAATATTCCAATCGAGGAAGTTGAAGATAATGAATGAACTTCTGTTACATGCCAAATATGCCATTTTTATTAGGTATATGATTTATACGTATTAACGAATAAACGAATATTGGAAACACTGTATTTTTATTTGCACACAGGTATCATTCTATATTTTCTCATATGTGTTATTCAATGCATTCTGAACGGAGAAAAGCAAGAAAAAATTTTGTGGGAATTATTTCCACCTCAGACCATTTTTTATCGCATATCTACTACACTAACTGGCTATTTACAGCTAACAAATCGTTGTTTTTATTCCATATCGGAATTCAGCTCATCGAACTACACGATAAAAAGTTTCTGATTTTTTTCACTGACCCCTCTGGGGAGCACTTTACTCCTTTGTTTTTTCAGAGGATTTTGTTTTAAAATTCTCATCGTATTTGTTCAATAGATATAATTCAATATTAGTGGCGTATAGCCAGTAAAGTAGTTGTTTTCTGTTGAAAAAACCGAGAAAGAATTGATATTTTCATCACATATGTTCACATGCCTTTGCTTGTAGTAACTTCTAAGAACGGCTGAAGATGGACTTTTATTTTATAAGTCCGAAACATAATAATAATAATAATAATAATATAAGTTTATTCAAAAACGTTTACAAAATATACATTGGAATAAACATATAGGTAATTTGAATAAACTGGGAAAAACCTTACGAAGTTAACCTTGTAGTAAGGATAAAAAATAAATAAATGTACATAGGTCAATGAATATTTAACAATATCAAATTATCACAAGGGAAAATTGTCTCATTAAGAAATGAGACAAGTATTCAATTCATAATATATAGTGTACTGAGCATTTCATTCAATACGCATTATTATTTATTTCATACATACTTATTCACAATTATTATTAAAATTTATCTAATGATATTATTAAATGTTAATTAAAGAAATAAAATAATTTTTAGGGGAGTTTAATATCCAGTTTTTTATTTTTATTGTATAGGATTGTAGTGATTTTGTTTTTATAATATCATTTGGAATTTTATTATATAGGTAAGGAATTGAAAATTTAAAATTTCTACGTCCAAATGACTTGTTTGTTTTATATTTCAATGTTGTTATTTTTATTTCTTATGTCATAGATATGTTTTTTGAACTGAATGTCCTTTTTATTTTTGAAAATATGAATCAGTAAATTGTAAATATAGAGTTGATTTATATCCATTTTCTTAGATTCCCTTGATTGATTTATATACATCAGTAATAAAGTAGTGGAGATTACTTTGAGCTTTCCTGCTACCTAGTGAAAAAAGTAGATACTCACGTTCATTGATTGGTAACATTTTTCCCAAACACAACGGCCTGTTGCCGTACGGATCTCTGACAGCGTATATCTTGTCCTTCAACATGATAACCAAGGAGTAACTCAAGGGGGCCAAATTCATGAAGTGCTTGATCCTCGCCGGCCAGTCCGGCTCTCCGTTCGGTTCGCCTGCGGGCGGATTCAGACACAGCGCCTGCGTGATGAGTTCGCTGTCCGAATGGGTGGAAAGTCCCACTCCGTGTTCTAATACCTGAAGAAGAAAAAAACAGGTAATTAAGCGAACAAAAATCATGGATAATCTTTGGTAGAAGTCCATATTGCTCAAAGTGGAGTGACATTTTTCAAAGGAAGGCGGGAATGCTCGAAGTCATCTCCATAAATTGTAATGGTGCTGTTACAAAATCAGAAGGAACATGCTTCGGTCTTATGAAAGACCAACTTCAGCCTAACTGAAAGTTCTACAATAAAAAAAGAGTTAAAATCATTGGAAAAAAAGATAACAACCAGAAGAGTAAAATCAAGGAATCTGCTTGCATTCTTCTGAACGGAGACAATAGCATTGCTTCTTGTTCTGTTGAACATTGTACAACAAGGCCAGCAGACTCTGACGTAAACAGCTCGTGACGTCACCAAGAGAGGCCAGTGTTTTATTTTATCGCTTGTCGACTAACGCGTCAGTTCGTGTTAATTCATCGGTGATTCACGTATGTTTTTGAAACGGTCCCGAATTCTTTTGTTGTTTATTCATCAAAATAATTGGCGGAAAAATTACTGTTTTGTGAAATATTTTGTGTTGTGATCGGCGAAATAACAATGCCTTTCAAGTGTTGTGGTCCCTTTTGTCGGGGGAATTATGTGGGTGGTTCAAAAGTTCATGCTTTTAGTTTCCCGTTGGACGAGGAGCAATCGAAAATGTGGGTATATGCAATTCACCGCGAGGATTTTACTCCATCTAAGTTCAGTAGTAAATAGAGCTTAATTTATAATGATGAATTAATAATAGAAGACATTTACTCCCTCATAAAAAGTATAAGTAGAGGAAAAATAGAAAAGCTTTGATTGTGCAGTACAAAATCATCTCTGAATTCGAGGAAATTTTCTTGAATGTTCATAATAAACGGACATTTTTAATTCTCATTCTCAAATTTCTTTCTGAAAACGGTCATTTGCCTCGTGGCAATGAATGCAGAATTCATTCCAATGATCAAATTGCAACTATCATATATTAACATGAACTACAAACACTCTACTTAAAAAGGTAAAACTGCATTTATCATGATATTTATCATGAAGATATTTGACTAAAAAGTTCCAAATTTCACCTTCTTTTTCACCTGTCTTCTGGATGGCATTTAGAACAAATTTCCCTTCTTTTTTCATCATATTGGACAATTTATATATAATTCAACTATAAATATGATTTTCTTGAGATTAATCCATATTTAGTGAAAAGAAGGAAGAATATCATTCAAAATAATGGCGTGTGTAATGTCATTCGAAAGCAATCTATTTACATTTGACATCTCGTATTTTGATAGACTATTGATTAAATGGTCGTCATCTGGAATGCTTGTTCACTAAATATGAAAAACTCGCCATAAAAATCATATTTCCTGTTGAATTTTCTATATAAAAATGTGCCATCGAAGTACATCATGAGTATATAAAGTGTCCAATGACAAAATAAGAGCAAGTAGCTTCAAATGCCCCCAACACAAGGGGAGAAAGAAGGCGAAATTTCGAAAGTTTTCTTAAAAATTACGGTTTCAAGTGTAACGATCCACTTGGGTGAAAAATCCAACAACAGAAAATTGAAAACACTCACAGGTTATTTTTTCAGGTAATAGGAATTCTCCAAGATAAATATAGGTAATTGTAACGAACGGCATGTCAATCAACATAAAATACATTTTCCACAATTTTCTTTCGATCAATCTCACGAGAAGTTTATGTTCTGCGGGCCCTGTATAAGTAGGTGTGAAGTTTACCTTCACCACAATTTTTGCCAATATATTTAATTCGAATGGGTTGCTGTAGGTGGATATTTGTGTTTTATCCTGGTTTTAGCTTTAAAACTTCGTTTTCCATAATAAAATCGAATGGGGTGCGAAGAAGGGATCAGTTGACGACTGGCATCCTTTTTTAACCGGAAGCCCTTCAAAAAACAGCAAAATCGGCTCAATGATGATCTTAAACTAAAATCGAAATACGCGGTCGCCTTATAGCGCTATAAGCGCTTGTCGTTTCGAGCCGCTGGTTAGGCCTCACTAAGTGACGTCACCCACGGAGCATGCAGGCCTTGTTGTATCGGTGGTAACGACAGAACATGGTATTCACGACTAAAATCTGAACATGAAAATGATAAATTCAAGATTAATTGATGAAAACATCCTGTAACTCATTTGATTGCCAACGTCACCAATGGGCTTATATCACAAACAATTTTTATTTCATAATTCGATAGAACTCACCCAAACTAGCTCACCACCGCAAACCGTTTCTTGCTGTGAGCTCCCTACGTTTTATAAAAAATTATTGAAATCTCCGATTTTTCGGACCTCTGAAAACGAGGCGATGATGTGACGTCAAAACCCTAATACTGAAACAAGACTATAACAGACAGCGATGAATGATACATGATTTCTGACAGAGTGAATTAGCGCGAGATCACAGTTGAAAGAATTAATATATCAGTTGCCTCAGTCTCCGTCGGGCGTTTGGTATTTTCTTTTAACTATGGCGAGATGAGGTTTCTACGTCATAAGAGGGTCCGTTTTCAGAAGGTTCTATTATTTATGTCCAAAAATAAAAAATTCCCTTCAATTTTTCGATCGAATTATGTCGTCAATCATTATTTATGTATAAAAGGATCATTATAAACATGGTTTGAGTTAAAAGTTCTACTGAGGTGTACACGCCCATTGTCAATGAAAACTGAAAAGCTTCAAGACAGATACGACTTTGCTATTAAAATAATCATTTCTTATGTTGAAAACGGAAGCAGATTCGGTCCCGAAACGTCCAAAGATAAGTGAAAATTTGATATTTTTTCTATATACCTTTATTTCTCTTCTCCAAACCTTTTTCAATACAAATTGTCACTGACAAGCTAGTGAATTTTTCTTTTAGGCTCTCTGATTGGAAAATTCTTTAAACGCAGTGATATTTTGGGGCAAATCATCTGATTTGCCCTTACTACACGTATATTGAAATAATATTCATATTTTTATTTTATAGAAACGAGGAGAAAATCCCAAAAAATTTGGAATAATGAATTAAAAAAAATTGGTGCGTTGATGAATTATTGGTTCGTTGATGAATTGGATCTTGGATCGATAATGGGCGTGTACACCTCAGTAGAACTTTTAACTCAAACCATGTTTATAATGATCCTTTTATACATAAATAATGATTGACGACATAATTCGATCGAAAAATTAACTGGAATGTTTTATTTTTGGACATAAATAACAGTACCTTCTGAAAACGGGCCCTCTTATGACGTAGAAACCTCATCTCGCCATAGTTAAAAGAAAATACCAAACGCCCGACGGAGACTGAGGCAACTGATATATTAATTCTTTCAACTGTGATCTCGCGCTAATTCACTCTGTCAGAAATCATGTATCATTCATCTCTGTCTGGAATAGTCTTGTTTCAGTATTAGGGTTTTGACGTCACATCATCGCCTCGTTTTCAGAGGTCCGAAAAATCGGGGATTTCAATAATTTTTTATAAAACGTAGGGAGCTCACAGCAAGAAACGGTTTGCGGTGGTGAGCTAGTTTGGGTGAGTTCTATCGAATTATGAAATACATTTTTTTTGTGATATAAGCCCAATGAATTCGAGCAGAAAATGTGACAACCAACCTGTCTTCTTAAGCTATCACAGTTGACTAATTCTCCGTTATGAGCCACCGCTAGCGCCCCATGGGCAGTGTGCACGACGAACGGTTGACAGTTGACTTCTTCCGATGCCGCACTAGTGGAATACCTGGTGTGGCCTATTCCTATGCTTCCCTTCAACCGCCTGATGGCCTCATCGTTGAAGATATTGCTGATCATGCCCATTCCTTTCACTACGTTGAAAGATTTCGAGCATCTGCCCTCGCTGGTCACTATTCCAGCTGATTCTTGACCTCTGAAATAATCAGTGCAATTCAAAATTTAGATTGAGAATCAGATTGAAATAATTTGAAATTATTAGAAAATATCTGCAGGTATTTGGAATAGTGCTTTAGGCGGTCTGTCTGTATTCTTATCGAACCCAATCAATATGCATGTTTAAGTATGCCATGGACAATTTTGTATTTGTATGAAAATCAATTCAACGACACTTCTGTCATCATGGATTTGAATATTGTGTAACTGCATCTAGAAGTTTTGATTAATTTCGTTTCGAATATAAGGTCGAAATGTATGAGATCATTCCCATTGAAAAATAAAAATATTATTTGTTTGATAATCATAGCGATGAAGAGACTGATCTTATTTATCAATGCCAAGGATTTAAGGAATTTAGCTTGTTGCGGTAAAATTAATGAAAAATTAATGGAGAATTATTGAAAAAGTAATGTTGAATCAACATTTAGTTAATGAAAAATTACTGTTAAATTAATGATAAAATGTTGAGTTCGCTGAATTATTTATAAATTAACGCAAAATTCATGAATAATCGATGAAAAATTAAACACTTAACTAATAATAAATTGAAGTTGAATTAACAAATTAACTTGAAATTAATTAAAAATCGAATTTTCATCAGCGTTCTAGTAGTAATATTATATCTAATGGATTTATCTTCAAGATGATAAAAACCGCATCCGAATATATGTGGAATATTTGCGAAATTGTTGTGGTTGAATAAATGAAAAATTGATTTCAAATTCATGCTGAATTAATGAAAAATTACTGTCAAATCAACGCTAAATCAATGAAACATTGACGCTGATTCAATGAAAAATTACATCATCGCTGAATCAATGATGAACTAATGCTGAATTGATGTAAAATTACCGCTAGATCATTGAGAAATTAACGCAAAATCAATGTTGAAATAATGGAAAATTGATGTTAAATTGATGATAAATCAATGATGAACCAATGAAAAATTAACGCTAAATTAATGAAAAATTACTGTCAAATCAACGCTAAATCAATGAAACATCGACGCTGATTCAATGAAAAATTACATCATTGCTAAATTAATCATGAATTAACGCTAAATTAATGGAAAATTACCGCTTGATCATTGAGAAATCAATCAATGTTAAATTAATGATAAATTAATGATAAATTAATGATAAATTAATGATAAATTAATGATAAATTAATGATAAATTAATGATAAATTAATGATAAATTAATGATAAATTAATGATAAATTAATGATAAATTAATGATAAATTAATGATAAATTAATGATAAATTAATGATAAATTAATGATAAATTAATGATAAATTAATGATAAATTAATGATAAATTAATGATAAATTAATGATAAATTAATGATAAATTAATGATAAATTAATGATAAATCAATGATAAATTAATGAAAAATTAACGCTAAATTAACGAAAAATTGAATTAACGCGAATTTAATTAGAATCATTGGGAAAAATTCGCACCGACCTGTGTTGCAGGGCCACCAATCCCCAGCAGATGATCTGCGATATTTCCAATGAGGTGGGCCAATCACCGCACCCTATAGCGCCGAACACTCCGCACTCGTGCGTCAAACCCGAGGGCACTTGCCCTCTGCCCTTCCTCTTGCTGACGCCTACGCTTTCCAGGGCGCACGCCAGATCGTCCTCTTCGCTGGTGTGCTCGAATTTGCAGATTTTCGTTTCAGACATCTTCTGAAAGGGGGAATACCTATAGGTTGATTCATATGCAGGGTGTTTCTTAAGTACATGTAGAAAATTCAGGAGCATGTTGCTGACGTCAAAATAAGAAGAAAAGTTCGTATATAAATATATGTCCGAAAGTTATTCGTTTCTGAGATACAGATTGTAGAATTTGAATTCTTATTTTGTTTTTTGTTAATAAATTTCAGAATGATTGTGATATTCGAATGAAGTTTGGTATCTCGGGGTATTTTTCGATGACAATATCAAATTTTTTGTTAGTTTGTCTCTTTCGTTGGGGTGGCGCCACCTACATCTCTTTTTGAGTCTTTTGAAGTCATAACTTTTTTGTGTATACCTGTATAACGTTTCATAGAAGAAAAATAGATTTCTAGAACACTTTCGTGTACCGAATATATTCCTGGTAGAGGTCGCTGCGAGCAACTGTTTTCGAGTTATTAGGATTCGAAATAATCGAAATAATCGATGCATTTGAAATTTCCATGTGGCTCGTAAGTCGCTTCCGTCGCCTCTAGTGAATACGTGAATATCAGAAAAGATACGCCAGTGCATTTTTATTCTTTCATTCAATATTCTCCTACTCAACATTTGTCTTTGTCAAACTATCTTCAGTTAAAGGACCCCGCACTTTTAGTACGTAAAATGGTTCTCGGTGAAATTTTCTGAATTTTCAGTATGTTGTAGAATTCGATGAACTGATTGAACCTGCAGAATCGTAAAGTTCTTTGATGAAGAGATTCTGAGATACAGGGCGTTGAAGTTACAAATCGGTATTCTTCATTTAATTATTTTCTCGAAATTCAAAGATGCCAAGTACAATTTTTTTCTCTCATATCATCAACGAACCTCCATATTACATAACATAATTCAGATGGTTCTGATAATGTAATTGTTTACAGAGTGAAACATATTAACATTTCAGTGATGTCTAAATATTCGATGTAATAATGAAATATCGAAAAAATAATTTAGGCATGCAGTATACTATTCTCATTGCGTCATGAATCATAATTCATACATTTCATACAGGGTGATTTGAAAAATTGATGACACCTAAGACCGATTTATTCATACACATCCTGTATATTCGAGTTAATTGTTTACCTCCCAAGATAGCTGATACCATATGAACATGATTTCGTTGAGATATATAGGGTGATCATGAAGATTTTCGATGATGAAAATGACAGAAAATCGTGTTTTTTGAAATCACTCTGTTATTCATGATTAACTCGGTGAAATTCCCTAATTATTTTTTAATATATTCATCATTCTCTCCTCAACGCTGTCTTGAAAATTCAGTTTCCTATCATGACGGGTGTCATAGTTATCAATTCAGGAACTTACCATTTGCATGAAGAGTTGAAGAGACCTGTTCACTTACATTCGCATAGTGGCCGATATTTTTCACAAATAGTGAAACGTGAGAATGTGGAGACGAAAATAAGTTTAGTATTCATATACAGGGTGAACATTAGAAATTCAACAACAAAGCAGATATATGATTTTGATAATATTAATATAATGTACAGATAGTTGTTCATTTACATTCGTCAAGTGGCCGAGATTTTTCACAAATAGTGGAACGTGAGAATGTGGAGATCAAGTGTAACATAAATGATCTATGATGGCCCATTTTGGCAGAGCTTGTATACCAACGAAATTCGCCTAACTATCTGTACATTATATTAATATTATTAAATTCATATATCTGCTATTGTTATTGAATTTCTAATGTTCACCCTGTATATGAATACTGAACTCATTTTCGTCTCCACATTCTCACGTTTCACTATTTGGGAAAAATATCGGCCACTATGCGCATGTAAGTGAACAGGTCCCTTCAACTCTTCATGCAAATGGTAAGTTTCTGAATTAATAACTATGACACCCGTCATGATAGGAAACTGAATTTTCAAGACAGCGTTGAGGAGCGAATGATGAATATATTAAAAAATAATTAGGGAATTTCACCGAGTTTATCATGAATAACAGGGTGATTTCAAAAATCACGATTTTTTGTCATTTTCATCATCGAAAATCTTCATGATCACCCTATATATCTCAACGAAATCATGCTCATACGGTATCAGCTATCTTGGGAGGTTAACAATTCACTCGAATATACAGGATGTGTATGAATAAATCGGTCTTAGGTGTCACCAATTCTTCAAATCACCCTGTATGAAATGTATGAATTGTGATTCATGATGGGATGAGAATAGTATATTGCATGCCTGAATTATTTTTTCGATATTTCATTATTACATCGAATTTTCAGACATGACTGAAATGTTTATATGTTTCACTCTGTAAACAATTACATTATCTGAACCATCTGAATTATGTTGAGTAATATGGAGGTTCGTTGATGATATGAGCGAAAAAAATTGTACTTGGCATCTTTGAATTTCGAGAAAATAATTAAATGAAAAATACCGATTCGTAACTTCAACGCCCTGTATCTCAGAATCTGTTCATCAAAGAACTTTACGATTCTGCAGGTTCAATCAGTTCATCGAATTCTACAACATACTGAAAATTCAGAAAATTTCACCGAGAACCATTTTACGTACTAAAAGTGCGGGGTCCTTTCAAATTTAGAAACAAAACAGTCAATGTCTTTGCTATAATATATTACTGTAACTACAATCATTTATATTTTGGACGAGTATCAAGATTTCAACTATTACAAATCTGAACTAGCTTACTCCTGTCACAATTTAGGTAAAATAGATAGAGCGCAATATTTTTGAGATTAATTAAAATAATGATGGGTTGTTGATGTACATTTTGCAGGATCGTAACAGAATATAAACTGTGGTACTATTTGTCGGGAATGAATAACGACTGTAGCTCATTGATACCATAGAGATTTATTTTTGCGGTTTGTCTATGATTGATACTTTGGCAATGTATGTTTTTGTTATGTGAATAAATGGAAAAAAAACATTGGAATGTAGGCAAAATATGATTCTTACTTCTTTGTACCTACTTTTTTGGATTATTCCAATTTGAAAAAATAACAATCAAGTGAGTAGGTACTTGTCACATCTTATTATTATTCCAATCCGTTCTTGTTTACAGTGAAGTTTGTTGTAAGTTGTACTTCTGATCCAAGCTTTTTCAACTAACTGTTTTAGTATCAATTCGGTCTTAAATACTGTTATCGATTATTAGTATTAAATTATAATGAAATGAAATGAAAATTTATTCACCTTGATAAACATACAAAGTTAAAAAGGTAAGTCATAAATAACACCCTATTCCTATTTTTTAATGAAATTGAAGAAAAATAATTTCCCTTACTTAATAAATCAATTTCGAATTCCAACTTCTTGTCATTCCAAATTACTTGCATTGATTATTTCAAATCCCAATAACTCGAAAACACTTGCTCGCAGCGACCTCAACTAGCAATATATTTTTCACACAAAAGTGTTCTAGAAATCTATTATTCTACTATAAAACGTTATACATCAGATACGCACAAAAAAGTTATGACTTCTAAAGACTCAGAAAAACATGTAGGTGGCGCCACCCCCACGAAAGAGACAAACTATAGCTTAAAATTTGATATTGTCATTGAAAATTACCCCTAGCTACCAAATCTCATTCCAATATCATACAATTACTTTGAAATTTATTAACAAAGAACGAAAATAAGAATTCAACTTTGACATCCTGTATCTCACAAACGGATAACTTTCGGACATATGTTTGTACGAGTGTTTATACGAATTTTTCTTCTTATTTTGACGTCAGCAACATGCTCCTGAATTTTCCACACGTACTTAAGAAACACCCATGTATACCAAACATAACTATGTACTGGGTGTCAACGAATCAGTTAGATATAAGAGATACCGCGAAGATAATACATATAGGCTTACGTTATGTGTGTAATATCATGCACACCCCCTGTACACTCGTGTTCAGTCAACATGTCGCAGTTGGACGGCATGGGCGCTTTTACTGCAGCGGTGCTTAAGAGAGCTGACACCGTCCATGTGCGACATGTCCTCTGAAGACGACTGTACCTATATTGAATTTTCAACTTGAAAAAATATCCATCAGCAGCCAGAAAGAAATAATTCTACAAAGAACAACGAAACAGTAAGTAGGTATATTAAGTTATTTCTTCTATACATGAGAACCAATTTGTTTTACTTGATATAGGTACCTATACTTACTGTTTCGTTGTTCTTTGTAGAATTATTTATTTCTGGCTGCTGATCGATGGATACCTTTTGGGTCCGGTGTAACGTACGAAATTGTTCCGTTTCCGAGGTACAGGGTGATGAATTAAAAAAAACTAAAATCAATTTTCGCATTGCCCATCACTGATAACAGCTACTTTTTTTTTTTCAAAATTTAAATATTCCGGTGCGGCATCGAACACTATAAAAATTATTTCTTCAACAAAAAAGTAAAAAACTACGATGAGAAAACAGTTTATGGCCATTCTAAACCATAAGAAGTGCTCTCCAATGGCCACAGTGAAAAAGTTGTACGCACCCAGGTTTCGCACCCCAAAAAGCCCCGGCTACCAATTTTTGAAGTGATACGTTTAAAAAAAAAGTTCATACGTTTTGAAAAAAATTATTTTTATTTCTCAACTATTTGCCACCCTGTATCTCGGAAATGGAGCAATTTCGGACGGAGGTAAGTTGCTTTCAATCGTCTTATTTTTACTTCAGGAATAATAATATGTACTGAGATTTTGTACAGAACTTTTAGGGACAATTATAGGCACAAAAAAGGCTTCAATTAATCGTCACTTCGAAAATAATAACGATCGAAGTTTTATTTAATTTCCGGTTCTAGCGGGAAGTCCTAGAAGCTTTTGAAAATATGTTAATATAGAAAGAGCTTCACCGCCAAACAAAAACTATAATAGTAGATAATAAAAGTTGATCGCACTTACCGCCAAAAAATTCAATTTCATACAACACAAGTCTCACACAAATTAAACGTTCACTATTCCTGTATTATAATTTATCAAGATAATTTGATTCTTCTTCCATTTTATATAACCACGTGTGCATTGAGTTCCCCTTCCCCTCTTCAACGAAATACGATTGCGATATGCTACCAATCAATTTTGCATATCAATAATATTCCATCATTATCAACATCAACCCCGCAATAATTATGAAATACATATAAAATATAGCCAACCAAATATTGTTTGTTTCTATGTTTTCGATTGAATTTGGGCACGAATTTAAAAATCGACGCATGCGTCGTTGAAGAGATTATTCTGTGATTCAATAAAAAGCGAGGTACCTATTTTGCGCCGACTGCTGTCTGGTTACTTTGAGTTTGAAGTATAGTTTTTCATACAATAATAAAATTATAGTACCTATACCTTCAATAGTGATTTGTTTTCAGTAAAACAGATACGTGCTAGTGATTGAAAATATGGCCAGTGTCAAGAAAGGTAAGGAAAATTTATATTCAACAGGTTAATAAATATAACCTTCAAATCCTGAAATCGTTGTGCTTAACATCTCGAACACCGGCAGTGTAAGACTAGAGTCTAGCCATAGCACCATAGCGAGGTAATTTTAATTGCGCCTCGCTCGCTGGGCGCGAGAAACTGAAAACTTCCGGCCGATCTTGAGATGAGAAGAAACATATAATTGAAATAGCGAATCACTATCGGCAAATGCCTCCATAGTGTTTTTTCGATTAATTACTTCGAAAAAAAAAAAGAATAAATAAAAAAAAAGATTAGCTGGAGGCTGGAGTAAGGATTGCACCTCGGTCTTTTCGCTCGGAGGAAGTATTAAAGTACATTTACGTAGGTCTTCAAGTGTTCAGTTATCGAGATACAGGGCGTTAAAGTCAAGAAATAAAAATAGTTGTTTCGCAATATCTCAAGAGTAATTGAATAATTTAATGCATTCAAAGTCGGTATATGGTTTCATCTTTGAATGGGTCATTTTTTGACCAGGAAGCCATTCCGGACATTTTATCCAGTGATACCCTACAGGGGGTTGTGGTAATTTTTCCTCCTATATTTTCTACGCCACTTATTGTTCAATTTTGGTCAAAAAATGTATCGCCTTCAACTTAGCTGAAATGAACAGTTTTCGAGATATTTGACGCAAAATAGAAGATTGCATAGTAAGATTTCGTCATTTTCAACTGAACAAAAATATAGTTATTCCACGCATAAAGAGAAAACAAACTTTTTTGTAATTTTTTACTACTGAGGAAGATGAAAAATTACTATGCAAACTCCTATTTTGGGTCAAATATCTCGATAACTGTTTATTTTAGCTCAGTTGAAGGTTTTGCATTTTTTCAACATAATTGAACAATCAATTCAAGAAATTTCATCAGTGGCGTAGAAAATATGAGAGGAAAAGTTATCACAACCCCCTGTAGCGCACCTCTGGATAAAATTCTCGGAATGTCTTTCTGATCAAAAAATGAACCATTGAACGAGGAAACCATATACCGAATTTGAATGCATTTTATTCAATTTTTCTTGAGATATTGCGAAAAATTTATTTTAATTTTTTAACTTCAACGCCCTGTATCTCGAGAACTGAACAGGCAGAGGTGGCTGGCGTTGGCCAAGGAATGTAGGTGCATATGCGAAGTGTTCGTCGCAGAAGCCTATCTCCTAGGGCTAAGCCTTTAAATATATAGGTACTAGCTGACTCGGCAAACGTTGTTTTGTCATAACATTATCTCTAAAAAAAATGTTTTTACATAAATATTTATTAAAGAACTTTCATTATTTTATTTATACTTCTTTCTAGTTCGGCTATCCATGAAAACGGGATTCTTTAGTATTTCAAACTACTCTACTTATTCTCTACTTCTCTTTAGTTCGGCACTCTATATCTCTTCATTTTTTCATTTATTCACTACTCAGTTCTTTTTAGTTTGGGTATCTATGAAAACGTGTTTCATTAGTTTTTCAAACTACTATTTTTATTTTCTACTTCTTTTTAGTTCGACAATCAATCTCGTTTTTTGAACTATACTATCAATTTTCTACTTCTATGCAGTTTGGCCTCGAGTTTGGCTATCTATAAAAGCATGTTTCATTATAGTTCTCCAAACTACTATTTATTACAAAGCTTTTTCCCCATATTGGATCCGCCATCTTGAATTTCCCAATTTTGAAGAATTAAATCATAATCTCCGACCCCGAAAACCCCCAGATACAGATTTTGAATAGAATCGGATCATAATTACAACACTCGTCCGCCATATTGGATCCTCTCCATCTATAATTTCCTAATTTTGATGAAAGAATCATAATCTCCGTCCCGAAAATCACCCAGATACAAATTTTGAATGGAATCGGATCATAGTTACAAAACTCGTCCGCCATATTGGATCCGCCATCTTGAATTCCCAAAATTTTACGATAGAATCATAATCTTCGACCCCGAAAACCCCCAAATACCAATTTTGGATGAAATCGGATAACAATACTCGTCCGCCATATTGGATCCGCCATCTTGAATTTTCGATTTAAAAAATTGATCACGACCGTTTCTCATACCTACCGAATACGCACAAAAAATTTCATACGAATCGGTCCAGCCGTTTCGGAGGAGTTGGGGGAGACCACTGACTTTTTAAAATGACATTATCGTGAACTCTATACTGCAAAACTACCAGCGAATTAATTCTGAATTCTGTCATTCATGCTAAGACGATAGAAAAAATAAATTAGAATATGTCCATTTCAAAACACACAATTCCTGCGCCATTTGAAATTTTGTCAATTCATTGGTGTGACTGGTGCGACGTCTTATTCCCAACACGCCTATTTTCCTTGAACTGACCAATCACGCTGCAACACTGCAGAATGACGATGTATCAGAGAAAGATAGCTACAGTTCGGGACTAATACGTCACGACTCCATCATCATATTTGGCTGTTTGAAATATCGAATGAAATATGCTGATTTCAAAACGATATAGATTCGATTCCCTTCAACTTTAACTCATAATATTGATTGTTCATCAAACGTAAATCATGATTCTTCGATTGAAAGAGGTTTGCACGGATTTCTCCTCTCAGTGGTCTTCCTCATTGGTGGAGGAGTCGTTCAGACGCTATCAGTGGTGGGAGTTGTGTTTTATGGAGGAAAACTAAAATTCAAAAACAAAAACCTCCTTCTCGTTTAGCTCGGAGGAAGTAACACTATCCTAATGACCACCACGCGTCTGGCAAAACAAACTTCAAAACAATTTTATACGCTCTTGACTTGCCACCATGGCAATATTTCCCTTATAGTGGTGCTATGGCTAGGCTCTAATCAGTGTAAGCACAGATAAACGCATTTCAGACGGAAACATAGGAATCATAAGATTGGACTGCCAACATTTGAAACTGTAATGACATGGTAATGACCATATATGTATATTATGTACTATTTCTATATAATGGCTCATCGCCTATATGATATCTCAACAAAAATGGGACCAAAATGAGAGGTACTTTCTGAACCTACAAGGACAGAGAGTGAAGGATGGAAAATTTGAAATATAAGTATAGCCATATTGTCGTATCATTTTTTCCCTACGTCGACATCAACGCCTATTGGTCGATTTCGTTACCTATAGAAACAGAAGTTGGTCCCGCTTTGAGGACAGCGATGATTCATATATTAGAAGTAGATATATGGTAATGGCGATCTCTATTCATCTATAATTATTATTCTATCTACATATATCTCAAAATTATAGTAGGCTAATAACTCTTCACCCATTATAACAATGGTGAAATTAACAAACAACTTCCTACCTTTGTCAGAAGTCAGCTTTGTTCTCCCCCCCTCAATATTTTATCATGATATGAAAACATATTTTTCTAATTTAAAATAATAGTAGATTGTTTTATTAGGATCAAAAGTGTCACTTTGTTTGACAAGCGAATTTTGCATATGCGAGGTGGAGCGTATAGCGAAGCCGAGCGAAAGCCAAATTTGCGCACTAAAATGTTCGCGGAGAAGTATTTTCCGCACTAGTGCAGGAAAGTGACTCTTTCTGCACTAAAATGAGTGTGGAAAAGTGAAGTTTACCGCACGCTAATAGGAAAAATAGTGTAGCTAACACGTGCGTAAAGTGACTATTCCACAAGCGATTACAGATGGCGGAACGACACTTTTTAGGTAAACTACTATATTTTGCAGGAAACAGGAAATTTGGTGCATCGAACTTGAGTTTTATTTCAGACCTCTGCCCAAATAACAATTATACATGATGTTTCAGATTGTAATCGGGAAAATTGAATATGTTCTGAAAAAAAAAAAGGGTCGTTATTCACAGCTCAAAAACTGTCCTAAGGTTTTCGTTTTACTCAGAAAGTTTCTTAATCATATAAAAATGTATCTACTAGCACCGATATTATTCCAGTGGTGCCCCAGAGGGTTATGGGTACCTGCTGATTGATATTATTTAAGGTTCTTCATTGTTCTTTCTATGTTTCGGATTTTTATTTCGTAATTTGCTCAGTTTAAAAAAAATGAAGACCTGCTTTGAATCCAAAATCTAATGTAGGTTTATGCAAGACACCCATTGAGATCACTCGATATAGTCATAATAAAAGTATTATTTGGAGATTTTGATTAAAATCTGAAACACCCTGTATAACTATTTCCCATCATTCGCATTCCCTCATAGTAGAAAATTGAATGTTTTCAGTCGGAGAATACCAGCTGGGGAATCTGATCATTGAAGGAAAAACAAAGCAAGTCTACGATGTTCCTTCGGTGCCGGGACATTGCATCTTGCTAAGTAAAGATAGAATCACAGCTGGAGATGGTGTCAAAGCTCATGATCTATTGGGAAAATCAGTGATATCGAACAAAACAACATGCAAAGTATTCGAAATTTTGAATTCTGTTGGTATGTATATACACTGTGTTCATATAGGTACCTCCCCCCCCTAGTTCACTTTTGAACTGCTAACATTATCGCTTTTCTGCTCCAATGATTGTTTTCAAGTGCTACATTTCCATACCGATAAAAAATATGTATTTTTCAAAGTGGTGTCACGACGACGAATTTTTCTTTACTACAACCTGATGTGAATTATTTCACGATTTGCCTCTTCCATATATTCTATTACGAAAATATACAGGGTGTCATTGATATGAATACATAGCCCTAAGATGGCTCGAGGACACCTCAATAAAATTGTGGAGGTTGAAAAACTATTATTTCTACAAGCATGCGTGATTGACCCTATACCCTCACGCAATTTAGTTTGAGAAGTGTTATTTTCCCGCAGTAGTGCGGGAAAAGTTTTCCCACACTACTGCGGGAATAGTAATTTACGATGGACGAGTAGACAAAATTCTAGGCCGAGCCGTGGGCGACTCCTGGAAGTCCGCGAGTCAAAAAAAATTGTTTTTGGACGTGTTGCGTAAACAATTTTTTCGACAACCATATGTAGAATAACAATTCAATGGGACACATTTCCATATTATATTTCTTTGTGGTATACAATTTCTACTTTATTATTAATTGTTATTTGTATCAATTACTGAAATTTGAACAGAATACCTATACCTAACTAACTGCTACATTGAAAATTTCGTATGGACATTTTCAAACTCACTATTGAAAGTTTATTGCGATAATTGCAATCAAACTTTCAAAAATCAAAATGTCAACTAATTTCATGTCAAATAGCTGTCAGCCGATATTTCGCTGTTATGGTTAATTATCCTCTGCATTTAACAACAACAACAAATAATAATAATAATAATAATAAGCAGCACAACTTCCAAAGAGAAATATTTTACATTTTCATGTTGAGAACAGGAACAGATTCGGTCCCGTAACGTCAAAAGTTAAGTAAAAATTCGATATTTTTTCAATATATCCATTTTTCTTTCCTGCAAACATTTTTTCAAACAAATTGTCACTGACAAGCTACTGGATTTTTCTTTTAGGCTTCCTGATAGAAATAATTATTTATTATACAAGGGAAAAAAGTGGTAGATTTTAGCTCCAGGTTGTGTTATCTCCCAACGCGTAGCGGTAGGAGACAAAAACCGTGAGCTAAAATGTAATATTTTTCTCGTGTATAATACACTATTTTTTTTCTGTGACCGAAGAAAGGACGAATCAATATTGAGAAGATATTACATTATTTTGAAATCTGAAAATTATCTACGTGAAATTTTAAGTTTTTAACAGTAGGGACACCTGTGTTGTAGGCATCTTCATAATTCTTTTGAAGTAATCGAATATCTGATGTCACTTCTGTCAGTCTAATTCTGTGATTTGATTTAAAAATTGCGAATTTAGTGATTGTTCAGTAATTAATAAATGTAACCGCGAAATCGAATGGAAGATAAAAGTACTCGCAGTTATTTCTCGGAGACGGTATTATTGTCTCATTTTTCGGAACTATAGCACAACAGAAGCCATCAACAGTGTATATACAGGGTGTTTCAGTTTTTTGTAGCAGGACTTTAACAGCTTGAAGAAGACATTTTTTCAAGATGAAAATCTCAAACAAACATATATGCGTGGGAGCTTCGTTTCCGATTTACAGGGTGTCAAAGGTTCAGATTTTCTTAAAGTTTTTTGAATTATCTCCTACAATTTTCGGAATAATTGATTGAAATTTGGTACACCTAAAACACTTCAAAAACTCAATATTTGAGGCTATGGAGCGTTTTTGAATACCTACAAGGTGATAGACTTTCAGGTGTCGTACCCAATTTAACCCTGTAGAACTTTTTTGCGTTCCTCCTCTGCTTCCAATGGGACATAGATTCAGATTGTCTCTGCAATTCGGAAACTTTTTGCCCCCATGTATGTTTTTCGAAAACTGTATGGATTTCGAGATAAATAAAAGTGGAGTCCGAACCACTTCTAAGGGTACCTACTGATAAAATTAGAATTGCCGTTCACCAGATTAAATTATTGAAACTCACAACACCTAAACCGACAGAAGCGACAGTCTAGCGATGTATAGCGCCTAGACCGTGTGTCATACAGTCCCTAATATCGAAATTTTAACCAGTTTCAGTTATACAGGGTGTCCTAGAATTTTCTACAATACAATTTCAGATTTTGCAATCCAGTTAGAGAATTTTTTTTAAATAAAAACATTTTTTCTCTGTTTTTCCTAGTTTTAATTATAATGGTGTTCAAAAAATTCAATCTAATTTTGCAACTGAATTTCATTTGGTATGGAAGCTTTCGGTAATTCTATTTTCCAATAAAATGTTTGAAAAATGTCAAATAAGTGTGTTTTAGAAATAACGGTTTTATAACAAGTAATTTATTTTTGGCATTTATCTCGAGACCTATACAGTTTTCGAAATATTTACATGGGAGCGAAAAGTTTCTAAATTGAAGGGAGAATCTGAATCTATGTCCCATTGAGAGCAGAGACGGCACGCAAAAAAATTCTACAGGGTTAAATTGGGTACGACCCCTGTAGGTATTCAAAAACGCTCAATAGACTCAAATATTGAGTTTACGAAGTGTATCAGGTGTACTGAATTTCAATCAATTATTACGAAAATTGTAGGAGAAAATTGAAAAAACATAAAAAAATCTGAAACTTTGACACCCTGTAAATCGGAAACGAAGCTCCCACGCATATATGTTCGTATGAGATTTTCATTTGAAATGAATGTCTTCTTCAAGCTGTTGAAGTCCTGCTACGAAAAACTGAAACACCCTGTATATGTGATACATATCCGGGAAAAAAGCACTCACTTTTTTCCCACGAGAAAAAAGTAATTTATGAAAAGTGACATTTTATAACCTGCCAACAGAGATGAAATGCCAAACTCTTTTCCCGTCACAGAAAAAAAAATTGTTAAACGCAGTGACATTTTGGAGCAAATCATCTGATTTGTCCCGCTACAAATATAATAAAATAATACGCATATTTTTATTTGATAGAAACGAGGATAGAAAATCCCAAAAAATCAAGTAAAATGAATGTACCACCTCCTTGATTAACCTACAGACAGTAGTTTGCTCAATATTTCATATTGTCAATTAATAACCATATGAAACGTTCAGTGATTTTCAAAATCATTTTGAATTTTATGAATTAAATTATGCACTAGAGGGTTGAGTACGCTTTTTCAAGTTCCACAATTGAAAAAAAGTTCGTCGGTGTCCCGCTTTCGAGTGGGTCACAGGAATCTCAAGTTTCAATATTATCTCATTGAAATTTTCAGGTGTGAAGACCTCATACGTAAAAGTTGCCAGCGAGAACGCCTTCCTTTCAAAAAAATGCGAGATGATCCCCATCGAGTGGGTGACTCGGCGCCTAGCGACCGGATCGTTTCTGAAGCGTCACCCGGGGGTCAAAGAGGGCTATCGCTTCAATCCCCCCAAACACGAGACTTTCTTCAAAGACGACGCTAATCACGATCCCCAGTGGTCCGAGGAGCAGATAATCTCGGCCGAGTTCAAGGTCAACGGAGTGGTTATTGGTATGGTCGTGTTTTTCCTATGTTATCACTTTGGTCCTAAAAATAGTGTCTAACAGTCTAAGTTTTGATATTACTGTTCATTGGGTGATGTTACATCATTATGAATAGGTACCTAATCTTATCATAAAGAATTTTTATTTTCTCTTCTAAATATGTAAATGTGTAACAATATCGATAAATTCGTATTAGTAGTTACATATATTTAACATACAATGTGATCCACTCAAGACTAGAGCAACCTTGAAAAATTTTGAATTGGTTCGTCCATTATTTGATGGAAATCTATACCAAATGTAAAAACTTCACAAACGATGAGATTTCCACAAAATTCTTTCCCTAACACAGTTGCTTCATCAGGTGACATACTGGTACAATGTAATAATCCCAGCGATCACAAACATCCCTGGGATGTTTTGGGATGTTTTGAAAATGTTGGCATGAAGATGTTATTTTGAGACGTAATATGCACTGACCAAAGAGGTCTTTGAAGGATATTAAAGTATTGTTTTTGTTCTTCCGTGGCATTTCTTTGTTTGCCTACTGAGAGGTATACCTGGGATGTTTTGGGATATTTTAGAAATGTAGGCATGAGGATGTTTTTTGAGGCGTAATATGCGTTACCCAAAGAGGTCTTAGAAGGATATTGAAAGTATTGTTTTTGTTCTTTTGTGCCCTTTCTTTGTTTGCCCCACCAGAACGTCTCATGCTTACGTCCCAATAAGATGAATTCTTATTTGTTTTCGATTTTGGTCTTCTTGTTCGCAATTGACATTCGCGTTTGCAGCGTGTCACGCTTACATCACGCTGCTAACGAACAGAAAGGAATTTGGTGAAGTTTATTGTGTTAGAAGACTTATTTAGTTTGTAATAATGACCATCAGATGCAAGATGTGTTGTTCGGTGCCTCAGTGTAATCAATATATAAAAGTACGAATTCATCAATACACAGCTTCTCCGCAAAATTATGCATTGTGGAGAACATTCCAAAAATTGGGAAACCTATTTCCAATTATATGTCTGTGTGTAGTAAGCACTACTCAGAAACCGATTAAGAAGGTAATTTGATATCAAGAAAATATTTTTATGTTCAATCTATTTTTAATGTATTTTTTCATTCAAGGGAAATGGAATCCTAATGCAAAAGTTCATTTTGACAAAAGGCTTCAGAAAAGTACCTCGAAAATGTTTTTTTTTACAGCGATTTAATGTGCGCAAGACGCGTTGAAAATGTTCTGTTGTGTCCATGAAAAGGCTTTAAAAAGAACTAGGGAGAAGGTAGTTTTGTGACATATCAAGGACATCTCGATAATTGCCGCCTGCGGCGGACATTGGCTGTTCTATAATAGTTCTATTCATGTGTGAACAGAACATCGCAGTGGAGGTTCAGTCTCGAAATCTCGTACTTTGTGCTCGCTGGGAAACTAACCTTGGCTTGCCTAAACTCAAATATATCCTACTTTCCCAACCTGAAGGATTAGAATTACCTGTGGAAAGGTTCGATAAACCTTCATTTTCGGAAAATAAGGTGTAACGGATTAACTTGAAAGAGTTGATAGCAAATACAAATTATTACCTACTAAGAAAACAAATTCAACAGTGGTAAACTATTGAGGTCTAGTTGATCGTTAAGTAAGATGTTAGAATTTTTGGTTTGTTGATTTCCAATCATTCAAAATGATTGAGTTTTATTCCTTCATTTTCTATGTGTAAAATTGAAATTATCATCAACACTATGGTTTTCTTCTAATATATGGTTGGCGTATGTTGAATTTGTTTTCTTTTTCAAAAAATTCATCTCATGTTCATGAATGCGCTGATTGAACGAACGTACTGTCTGACCGATATATACCTTAGGACAAGATCCACAGTTGAGTTTGTATACTCCTGATTTTTCCAATTTAGAAGTTTTGTCTTTATTATTTTTGATGAACCTCCCCAACGTGTTATTTGTTCTATACCTATGCTACTTTGAAGTCCTACTTTACGCAAATTTGCAGAATATAATTCCAAAATTGCTGAATAAGTGAATTATTCGACTTCACCACTAGATGCAGGATCATTTGATTAATTAATAGCGAAATTTCATTGACAAATTCTTATTGGCAACAAAAATTATTAACAACATTCATTTGTGTAGTGGGTATATCCATAGGTCGCTGGTTCATATCCGGCTCGAAGGACCAAATGTGCCGTGTACTATCGAATAAGGTTCGCACCAATAATGTCATATGCTCGTGTTGAATATTCAACTTTAATCATGAAACTGAATGTCAATATTAATACATATTTTTCTACTCACATGACTAAAATGGCATTTAGCGTACGGATATGTACCTCGATAAATGCTCGATTAATCACGGATTGACGATATCTGTGATTTATTCAAAATATTAAATACGTTACCATGGCAACACGATTTCTTAAACACATTACCATGGCAACACAGTTCATTAAACACAGCTTCAGTAATTTGAGACATGTCTGGTCTGTCAATTGCATTAACTGTCAACTGTTATTTTCGAATTTTATTGTATCAGAATTCTTCGAACAATTTTTGTTTGTATCAGAATGTTTCATTGAAAATATATGCGAAATAAAGAATAAGAAAGTGAAATCGAAGAGAATGTTCTGGTACTTGCATATCTCCAAGAAGTGTAAAAATGATGCATCCATCTTTGAGAACAATTTATTTATTCTGCGCTAAGCATGACAATAAACGTGAAACAACGGTTAGTAAGCAATGGACTGGACACATATCTACAACCAATATCACTTATACGTGTCTCGCTGGTTGCATGTATTATGTTCTCACTTCTCAATTCCCATTCCTTTCGAATTATTTTGTCGGTTAGCAGGAATTGCAGGTATGTTAATGTAACTTTCGGAGTTCGTAGAAAAATCATAGTATGTAACGCGTTTATAAACTCTTCTAGACACTCGTTTATTGAACACTCGCTCCGCTCTGCTCCGCTCGTGCTTAAACTACTCGTTACTAAAAGGACGTTTATAACACTTGTTACATAATATACTATTATTAGTACGATATTTTTCATTATATATGTCCTACCAACTGAAAACATCATGAAATGTGAATTTACATACCTACTTAATAAATAATTATCTAATCCGGACGGCATGTTATCCATACACATTTACATAAGCTAAAAATAAATGCTTCTGATGATCAATTCAACTCTTTTTTTCTATTTAAAGTATGAATTATTTGGGGAATATCTCAACACACATGTTATTACTGTGATAAGGAGCCAAAAAAAGATTGTATCATTGCATGACTAATTTGACTTTGAAGTAAAACAACTGTATAATAACTTGCTTGATTTTTCCTCAGCTGTTCATTTTTTTTTTTTCAGGTAAACATGAAGTCGACTTGATGACAAAAACATCCATCATAGTATTTGAAATCTTGGAAAAAGTATGGCAAACAAGAAATTGTGCTTTGATTGACATGAAGATTGAGTTTGGAGTTGACAGTACAGGTAATAATTACTCATATTATGTACAGGGTAGGCCAAATTGGTCACTGTTAGAGGGAACGTCATATTCTCCAACTAAACTGCTCAACACATCAAACGTAAAATCGCATTTTTTCTATATATCGAAGACTGGAACCTTTGGCACGATAATACACTACACTGTTTTACCACTAACCAAATCGATTTTTTAACGCCTCGACATGTGTTTCGCTAACTATGTTAGCATCTTCAGGAGAAGATTAAAACTGACGTGTCGAGGCGTTAAAAAATCGGTTTGGTTAGTGGTAAAACAGTGTAGCGCATTTTTTCTATCAAATTTGAATCATCATAACTTTCGATTTTCTCAACCGATTTTCAATTATTTTTCAGTTTCTGAAAGCTCGTTTCATTGACTATCGAACCTATGGATATGACTATTTCATCTTTTCCAGATGAGATTCTACAGGACTCTTTGATCTTTGATCGCCAGAAAACTTCTCAATCGGTTTCCTGCTTCGAAATTTTCTTGCTAGTCAAAACAAGATTTTTTTCATTACTTGAATTGTTGTTTGAGGACCACCCTGTATATAGAGGATTAGGTTGATCATGCATCATTTCAAGAATTTTGACCACCGTTCGAACCAGATTGACAGGAACACAACGCCAATAGAAATTAAAGCATCAAATTATGCATTATCTTGATAGAACATTCATATTTCAGTAACGCGTCTGACAATTCCAGAAATTGTTTCACAGTATCGGAAAAACATATAAAGCAATATGTTTTTGACCCCAAAAAAAAATCCTTTCAAAAGGGAGGCGCTTGAAATTTTTGGAAAAATGCACAGCTTTGATCATCATCCTGTAAAATCTCATCCGGAAAAGATAAAGTAGTCATATACATAGGTTCGATAGTCAATGAAACGAGCTTTCAGAAACTGAAAAATGATTGAAAATCGGTCGAGGAAATCGAAAGTTATGATGATTCAAATTTGATCGAAAAAATGCGATTTTACGTTTCATGTGTTGAGCAGTTTAGATAGAAGATAACTGATGAAGAAAAACGCATATCGATATCTGTCTTCGTTTCGGAGTTACAAGGTGTTCGTCGAAAATGGGTATTTTTGAAAAGTGGCTATACACATATTTTTTTGGCAAAAATTGTATGTTCTCATAAAAATAACTGCAAAGCATTGAGTTTGTGATAACAATAATTCCTGAGGCACTGAAATCCGCCTTCCTATATCTTGTTCAAGAATATAACTTTTTCTTCTTAAAGGAAAAGTTCTATTTCGAAACTAAGTATATGGTGACCGATTCAGTGCCTGAGGATCAATTTTCATGACAAACACAATACTTTGCAAACGTTTTTATGGAAACGAAGAATTTTTGACAAAAAAATGAGTTTCAGCCACCAACATCAGTTTTATTCTATCTAATGATAATAATAATAATACTTTATTTCCACTTCGACAAATAACATTGTATGGGAATTGTCAATATGATATGAATCAGTAGTAGAAAATGAAAAATAGTTAGATAGAGAAGAGAAAATAGTGATAGAATAGAATCGGTAATACCTAAAACTAATCTTATTCTAAAAATTCTGGAATTGTATAAAAACATGCTTCCAATGAATAGTCTTTCAACATCTTTTTGAACATAATGATGTGTTTCACAGACCTCAAATCTTCAGGAAGTTTATTGAATATTTTAGGTCCAATGCAGTCTGGGGCAGATGAACTCACTTTACACCTTGCTAACGACAAATAGAAGTGATTCTTAATTCTTGTGTTATGGTTATGTAGATTCTGATTCATTGTAAAAGTTAATCTATTTTTGAAAACATATACACATAATTCAAAGATATAAAGAGATGTCAATGTCAAAACTTTATATTCCTTGAAGAGACTTCTACATGATTCTCTAGATGAAACATTTGCTATGCACCGTATTAGTACGGAAATAGAACTTTTCCCTTTGTGTCTTTGGCCCACCCTGTATATTTATTTTTTTCGTGTTAACGGTTCTCGCTTTTATAAACTCCTACACACATGTTCAAAAACTATTCAAGATAGTTTGTTAATAAATGTTTTGTTATTGGAAATTTGTTGACATGAAATATGAGCAAATATAAATATGTTTGCTGATTATTGATAAACTAATGGCTATTTTTTTATTGGCATTGCATCATCCAGTTTACGATCTGATGAAATTATTGTTTCAAAGTTGAGTGATACAGCATCAAATGACGTAAATTAATTGTTTAGCCACCATATATCTAAATAGTTCATGAGGTTATTGATATGGATGTTGAAAGTCTGTTTTTTCTGATGCAAGTATATCAGAAGTTTTCCAGGGAATATTTTTCATCAACATCCTCGTTCCAGTATCATTCTTAGAAATATTCAGGTTGATCATAACTGAATAAAAAATACAATGGAAATTGGGAAGAATAGTTTGATTTTCTATTTTTAATCTACTCACCTTGCCAACTTATCATTATCAGGATCAATTGCCTGAAATAATGCAGAAGGAACCTGTAAAAATCCATTAGATTGTTTCTTATAACTTAAAGACTTCTAATGAAGCCTAATATTTTCTTGATGGTTGAATTTTCCGCCTCAACAGGCGTTATCTAGACCTGTTCTAGGGTAGTCAGCCTTTGGCGGACTGGTACATTACATGAACAAAGGTGCTCTGCGGTTTAGTGTCAGTCTCCTCTAGACCCATTTTTTTTTTTTAGTAATAGCTCAGAAGGTAGTGCTTTAGCTCTTGTTTGCTGAGACTCACTAGCCTACGAATTGTTGAAGAACTCTTTCCTTCTCGTTTACCTGGAGTTGCTCAACAGTAGTAGGATTTTTCACTTCATTCTCATTTTCTGGGCTCTGTCAAAAGGTGGCATTTGCTTGTCTCATAGAAAGGTAAAATGTGAGCTCTGCACTTTTTTGCTAGGCGATCAGCTGCCTCATTCCCTTGACGCCTTGGAACCCACAAGAGCGAAAATTGATTCTTAGACTTGTTCATCACAAATTAGGTAATTTTGATAGTTTGAATAGTTTAGTGAATGATGCTCTGTCTCTGAGTAATACGTAAAATATGAATTATCTGCGAAAACCGACGAGAAACGCTATTTTTGAAAAGTACCCAAGTTTGGTCAATATTCAACTGGCTGTATCTCCGCATCCTTCAGTCCTACATTCATGAGCAAGAACAATTTAATCTAGGAAATTTTATATACTTCAACTTTTTATAGGGTGGTCTTTTCGATATAATGTATGATTTCCTAGTTACGGGCAAAAATCCGAAAAAAGTGCGAAAATTTCGCTGTTTTTTTGCTAATATCCCAGAACGCTCCAGGAAATTTTGTTTGCAAACTTCAGATTCGAATTCAGCACCTCCAATAACATATGAAACCACAGAGAAACCGACTACTTGATTTTTTTCCCGAATTGGGTCCTAATCGCTACCGCTTTCTATTATTGCATATCCAAGTATGTGTTGTTGTCAAGAAGTTTATGATTTGGTATAGTAACACTCTGGTAATCTTGAATATTCAGCAATTATCTAGTACCTACTTTTTGGAGCAGATACTGATATGTTTCGAAAACAAGTTCTTGCATAATAATTCGTCAAATTCGACGTGCGTCATGAATATATTACAATAATTATAAATACGTAGGACATGGTTGATAAATAAAATAAACTTAGCTGTCAAAATAATGCGTTGGGCAAGGGTCATCCGAATTACTTTATTATATTGATACTTAATTACTAGTTATCTTTAAAGTAGCCAACTAGGAATCCTCATCGAATTCCTTCGGAGATTATATAAAAAAAGTTACCATTAACAATTTCGGAAAACGAGATTTTTTTTATGTTCTGGTTCTCACGAAAAAGGATATCCTGTAATGTTCAGAGAACGTCGTGAGAACCAAGGGAAATTAGGTAGTAAGTGGTGTTCTTCTTAAATTTTTGGAGGTTATATGCCTCGGGGAACACCTCCCTTGGCAATGTGTTCCAGAGCCTCGCTGTTCGTTGGAGGAACGAACGAGTCTTTGGAAATAGATGTTCTGCAGGTCTCCAAAGTGACCACGAAGGGGTGCGAAGCCTCAACTCGACGGGTTAATCTCGCGGGGACTGCCAAGGGAGGAACAATTGTTGATATTTCAGAAGAGCATGGTCCATGAAAATATCTATAAAATAGAGCCAGATCGCCAACTTTTCTACGGTATTCCAGAGAAGTGAGTGAGTTTGTGAGCGAGGTATCACCCATGAGACGATTGGTCCTTTTTTGGACAGAATCCAACAGTTTCAGGGTATGTTTGGTTGCTGCACTCCAAATATGGAAACATTATTCTAGGACAGGTCGGATCTGTGCCTTATAGATCATAAGCAGCTGACTGGAAGTGAAATAGCTCCTTGCTCGAAACAAGGAGTTGAAGTATATATTTCGAGATATTCTCTAGAAATTACCAGTGAGAGTACAATATCTCGAAAGATATTATAGGGTCACTTAATCTTCGCTTCCTTCTCGATTCTACTGAGGACGGCAACATAGTTGCCGAAATACGTTCTTTGACAATTCTTCAAATATTACAGAAATTTCGAAATTTTTTAAAAAATATCGAAATCTAAAAAATGTAATAAAAAGATAGAATCCGAGTCACATAGGTAAAATTGAAATAGAAACAACTCTTTCAAGTAAACTTTTTCGAACAAATAATAAAAAATGTCACTTTTGACATGTAGCGAAAGTCACGTGACCCCGATTGTAGGCCATTTTTCATCTTTTTTGAAGCAAAACTTAACGTTCAACTCGAATTTCAAAATAAGTCATTAATAAAAGTTTTTCCCATATGATGCCGACCTTATGAATGACATTGTATACCCCCAATAACCTTCTAGTGCTCAGTCCTAATAGTCCAATAAATAAAGGGAAAAAGTTAACATTTTTTACGCACTATTTTCATCTTCCGGTTGGAAGTAGCTTTTGGTACCTCATTAAACTTGAGACAAAGTTTGACTGGCAAACGCGTGCGATGGCGGAGAAAATGGCCCCAAAAGACCAGAAAAATAGGTTTTCAGCCAATATCTCCTAAAATATGGCAGTTAGAGATTTTCGGTTCAGATAAAAATTGAAGTTCAGTTAATTTTCTACAAAAATGGTCCTTATCATTTTTCTCGAAAATTTGCCCGGTTTTGAGAAAAACGGCACGAAGCGCACCTCGAATAATGAGCTTCTGTTGTATGCCGGAGAGCACAGTCCGTGTATTTACACATCGGCGGGGGGACAAATTATTCAATAACTTTGTTGAAAATGCATATTTTCTCATGATTCAAAGTTCATGTGAAAGAGGAATTCTGCTGCTATCATACCCTGTTAATTGAGTCACGCTTGACTCTTTTGGCCATATCGGAACATGGGTCAAAGTTTCTCATCCCGGTCAATTTTGACCTCGCCAGGAATTTGTTCCTATTTTTTTGTATTGCACTAATTTACTCAAAATTCTCTTGATTATGGGTCCTCATAAGGTCCTTTGTCATCCGTGAAATTTCTATACCCTTTTTTTTTAAATTTTCATTTAATCTATGTTTATTGAATCCCAATTTTTGGCAACCATCAATTAAAAATGTATACATGATCCGATTGGTTTCTATGATACATCATTTGAAAGCTAAGAAGGTCTACTTTTCGATTGTACAATTACTTTTTTAGACGAAGTCGTCCATTTTTCAATAAAATTAGAAATAGCAGGGTCAAGGAAAAAACGCACTTTTTTTCGTTTTTTTCTCCGTGCTCTTTATTTCTAACATTTTAACACCTTAACTAGTGTAACGGGGGAAATCCCACCTTTCCATCGATGTATATAAGTCATACCTTTGATATCCCGGGAAAAAACCAGTATATCTAAATTTACACGCTATAATTTATTACTTTCGTTCCTCCGTCGTTCGCCGCGTGTGTGCTCTACGTGGCGCTCGGGTCGTCTGCTACAAACCATGCGGCCACGCAGGGTATGATAGCAGCAGAATTCCTCTTTCACATGAACTTTGAATCATGAGAAAATATGCATTTTTAACAAAGTTATTGAATAATTTGTCCCCACGTCGATGTGTAAATACACGGACTGTGCTCTCCGGCATACAACAGAAGCTCATTATTCGAGGTGCGCTTCGTGCCGTTTTTCTCGAAACCGGGCAAATTTTCGAGAAAAATGATAAGGATCATTTTTGTGGAAAATTAACTGAACTTCAATTTTTATCTGAATCAAAAATCTCTAACTGCCATATTTTAGGAGATATTGGCTGAAAACCTATTTTCCTGGTCTTTTGGGGCCATTTTCTCCGCCATCGCACGCGTTTTCCAGTCAAACTTTGTCTCATGTTCAATGAGTTACCAAAAGCTACTTCCAACCGGAAGATGATAATAGTGCGTAATTAACGTTAACTTTACCTTTTTTTCCTCCTTCATTTATTGGACTATAAAGAGAAGTTTATTCCGATGGTTTCAGGGCAACTGTTGGTAGCCGACGTCATCGACTCTGACAGCTGGCGCTTGTGGCCCTCTGGCGACAAACGACTCATGGTCGACAAGCAGGTGTACCGCAACCTGTCCAGCGTCACGGACAAGGACCTCGACACCGTCAAGCGCAACTTCGAGTGGGTGGCCGACCAGCTCGACCATCTGATACCGCCCAACGACCATCTGGTGGTCATCGTGATGGGCAGCTCGGCGGACAAGGAGCACTGCGTCAAGATCAGGAAGTACTGCGAGGAGGTGATTATTGAATGAATTTGACTCGCATACAGTGTGGCCATTTAGTGCGTGATTCTTCGATATCTCGAAATCCATTATCACTAGAGAAAAACTTTTGAAAACAAATTTCTTTCGTAATTAAAGGTTCCCATTTCAAGAATATTTTCAACAAAACTGGGTGTTTTATAAAAGCGGAACGACTCGGAGACAAGTTTTTTTTAAATAGAACACCCAATATTGTTTATTCGAAATTTATTCCACTAAGGTTTAGCTCTACATCACTGAAAAAAAAAAATGAAATTGGTTGTGGCATTGCCAAGTTATAATTGATAAACCCATTTTTACCACTATTGAAGGATCATGTTGAATTGGGTATGGTATATTCATTTATTCAAATTTTGAGAATATTTTTGGCATAAGGTAGTAGCAAGGTCTCACGTATAGCAATCCTTTAATTTTGCGACATGTTCTTTAACAGGGTGAGCAATTTTGCATTTAGAATTTCGCAAGATTCAGATGACATTCATTAGAATTTTTCAAATGGAACACCCTGTATTTTTATTCACAAATTTATTCCGACATCTTTCGCCTTTTCATCGCTGAAAAAAATCAAAAGTCGGTTGCGGCGTTGTCAAGTTATGAATAATTTCCTTATTTTTACTACTATTTCGGGGTAATTTGTATTTTTTTCGTACCATTTCCATTTATTGCTTCTACATTCTTTATGTTTGAAAATGTGCAACACATTGTACAGTGATGGCGTAGAGGACATGCCGATCTAAGATTCTTTTGAAGTTGAGTTTATGGTTATTGAACATATAAAAATGAAATGTTTTAAAGAAACCCGTTTGACAGGGCATTTTTTTATGTTCCATTGAGGGAGATTAAATGAAGCATAACTAGTGACATGGTTTTGGATTCAAGAGGGATGTTTCAATATATGTATTTATTTAAAACATTGCATTTTTATATGTTCAATAGCCACTAACTCAACTTCAAAAGAATCTTAGATCGGCATGTCCTCGACGCCATCACTGTACAATGTCTTGTACATTTTCAAACATAAAGAATGTAGAAATAATAAATGGAAATGTTACGTAGAAAATACAGATAATAATTAACACAATATTTTTAATGAAAATAAAGAACCTTCATTGTTATACAAACATTTTATTATTATTATTATTATTATTATTATTATTATTATAGGTGGGGCTAAGGACGGAGCTCAGGGTGTCGTCTGCGCACAAGACGACGGAGTATACTTTGGAGTTGATTAGTTTCTACGAGGGGCTAAATATTCCGATTGTTTTCATCGCTGTGGCCGGCAGGTGAATATCTTATTCATTATTATATTCCTTTTTCCCTCAATTTATATGGTATATTGACCATATTTCACTTGGAAAGGGTTGAATATTTTGTTGACAGTTACTGCTGTCAAATTGAGCGTCATATGTCGAACGCATTGTCTTTTGTCAATGTCAGTTATAATTTTTCTGGAAAACGAACCGTTCAAGTAGTTGTTTTTGTTTTATTTTTAGTGATTAACAATACAACAGTTCCTGATCCTGAAGAAATACAATTAATTTAACAGTGGTGCATCATATTCAATCGAAAAATTCAAATATTGAGTACTTCGCAAATTTCGCTAGCTGAACTCAATTTCCACAATGGCCGCGTCATATTTTGTTCCCATTTCTGTAGCTGTTGTATATTATGGGGGAAATAATGGAGAAAATGAAATGATTCTCTTCTATTCTTGCAGTTTTCAACATTAGGTCGCGTGCACGATGACCGACCCTGGAGGCAAAATATTGAAACACAACCTCATTCTTCTGTGAATTATTGAAACACAACCTCACTTTTTTACTTGGTTACAGAGGAATCAAAGGATTGAACTAGTTTTTCACAATATTTTGGCATACGAATCGTGTTTTTTGCGCTATTCATTAATTCGAGCATGCCTTCGCATTGTGCTGTTGTACAATGCACAAAAAATGCAGCAAGAGACTAAAGAATATGATTTTTCAGGTAAATAGTAATCTCACATAGTTATCATTATGAAATGTTGTCATTCCTTATTAAAATTCCTTCTGCCTTCTGTCACTTCTGCAATACAAGCTAATACTGCTACTGCTAATAGATTGAAAATGTCTACAACACACACGATCATCAGCATGTCAGACCAGTCCTCCCGATTGATTGGATGAATCCAATTTTCTGGCATTATTTTAGAAATTTCAGATGTATTTCTATTAGCTTCTATCGCAGAAAGAATTCCGATGAGAAATCAGAGAAATAACCAAATTTCAAAAATGAAAACTATATGTGAGTGACTATAGTAGGTACTTACTTTTGAATCATATTGTACCAACCGGATTACTTCGTCTTCCGCTGCAGTTTTTGTGCATTTCACAACAGCATAATGTGATGGCATGAGCGAATTGATGAATTGCGGAAAAATACGATTCGTACGCCAAAATAATTGTGAAAAACTATTTCAATCACTTTAAACAAATAAGTAAAGTGACGTTTGTGTTTCAATATTTTGCCTCCAGTATCGGTCATCTGACAGTTCTTGCACGCAACCCATTCAATGTCATGCACGTTCATGAACTGTCAGTGCCCGCCAAATTGGTCATGTCATTTAGAATTTTTTAGGGTTATGCCGTTATGCCTTCTGTCACTGCTTGTCATAGTGTCCGTACTCTTATTACAACAAATCTGTCAAATACATACAGGGACTCTAGTTAAGATGACAGTGACGACCAAAGTGACGACTTGAACTCAATTTAAAGACAATACGTAAACGTTATTTTTCGTACGTTAATGTCTACGTGGAGGTCTACGTACAGTGATTACTTCAACTCTCTAATACGTGAGATTACGTACACCCGTAAGCCCACTATCAACGCAAACGTGAGGAATTTGAAAATGCGCATGCGTAGCTTCATTTATATAGAATTTTTGGGATTTCTCTGTTCATTTTTATAAAGTTTAAAATGAGTATTAATGGGGAAGACCACTGAGGGAAGAAATCCGTGCAAACCTCTATCAATCATGATTTACATTTTATGTACAATCAATATTATGAGTTGAAGTTGAAGGGAATCGAATCTATATCGTTTTGAAATCAGCATATTTCATTCGATATTCCAAACAGCCAAATATGATGGTGGAGTCGTGACGTATTAGTCCCGAACTGTAGCTATCTCTCTCTGATACCTCGTCATTCTGCAGTGTTGCAGTGTAATTGGTCAGTTCAAGGACAAAAGGCGTGTTGGGACTAAGACGTCGCACCAGTCACACCAATGAATTGATGAAATTTCAAATGGCGCAGGAATTGTGTGTTTTGAAACGGACATATACTAATTTATTTTTTTCATCGTCTTAGCATGAATGAAAAAATTCAAAATTAATTCACTGGTAGTTTTTCAGTATAGAGTTCACGATAATGTCGTTTTAAAAAATCAGTGGTCTTCCCCATTCAATCAATATATAATAAGTAAGGAGAAATCAGATAATTTTGCCATGGATTGTCACTGAATATCCAAACAATATAGAGAGATAGTGGAAACAAAATCTATAATGAACGTTTACCTATCTATGTAAAAGTGGAAATTTTCAGCCATTGCAAAGGAAAGTTTCGTACAGACCATATAACAACACAATAAACGAACGATACAGACTGATCTGAGCGCTCCGATGTAAATACCGAACTAACCTAATATCAACATCGATCTCAGGTCCAACGGTTTGGGGCCCGTGATATCCGGCAACACGGACTTCCCGGTGATCAACTGCCCTCCGGGCCCCGGCGACGTCCTCTCCAGGGACGTCTGGTCTAGTCTGAACGTCCCGTCGGGGTTAGGGTGCGCCACAGTCGTCTATCCGGAGACGGCCGCCCTGATGGCAGCGCAGAGCCTGGCGCTCAACAACTACATCATTTGGAGCAAATTGAGAGTGAGGCGGCTGGGGTTCTTCGATAGCTTGCCGAGGGCCGATAAAGAGTTCAGGAATTAAGTTGGGAGTTGCCTATGTGCCGCTTGGGCTCTTATATTCAGTTTAGTGTTCTGTTTTTATAACTGTTTTATTAATAAAAGTTGATTTTCTCCAGCCTCTGTCAACTTTTTTTTACGGACACAAGTTGTCAGTATTGTTTTTACAATGAATGCTGGCCTTTATTCACGATAGACTGTGTTAACTTTTTTTTATGACCACTACTGTGATTTTTCATTATTGTACTGATAATCATAATAATAATAATAAATCGTCTTTATTCATCTTGCAACAATATCAGTTCATTAAAGGACCCCGCACCATTTACATTGAAATCTTGTCTACGGTGAAATTTTGAAAAATATAGGATTGGATAGATCAAATCATGCTGAACAAGAAATGTCCTTTGGTCCAAGGTCTGTTATGCCCGTTATAAAATTATAAGCTCTTGAAGCCAAACGAGATAACCTCTACCAGAACAGCACAGCCTGTCTAAAATATGGCTTTGGCTTATATGATATTTTTGAGTTGTTAGATAATGGTCATTCATATTATGTCAGTGAAAGTCATTGAGCAAAACCGTAGAGGGCGTTGTTGATGTCAAAGCTGATATAGTTTCGGGTATCGTCGGCATAGTGATGAATATGACAGTGCTGAAATGTCTCATGAAAGTCACAAATATATAAATAAAACAGTAATGCCCAAGGATGGATCCTTGAGGTACCCCAAATCGAGGAAAGCTTGAATTTATTCGCGATAGGAAATGAGCATACAACCTGGCGAGTTTTTTTCTTCATTTCACATAATCAGATCCACAAAACAATAAAGAGCTGGTAGTAATTACCCAGCGAGCACAAACATCCCTGGGATGTTTTGAAAATGTTGGCATGAAGATGTTATTTTGAGTTATTGCAAAAATTGCAAAATTCCTGTAAATTGTGAGAATTCCTGAAAATTGCAAAATCTGCAAAACTGCCTGAAAATTGCAAAAATTGCTCAAAATTCCTGAAAATTGCAAAAATTGCAAAAATTCCTGAAAATTGCAAAAATTGCAAAAATTCCTGAAAATTGTAAAAATTGCAAAAATTCCTGAAAATTGCAAAAATTCCTGAAAATTGCGAAAATTACTGAAATTGCAAAAATCGCAAAAATTCCTGAAAATTGTAAAAATTGCAAAAATCGCAAAAATGCCTGAAAATTGCAAAAATCGCTAAAATGCTTGAAAATTGCAAAAATTCCTGAAAATTGCAAAATTTCCTGAAAGTTGCAAAAATTGCAAAAATTCCAGAAAATTTCGAAAAATACTGAAAATTGTAAAAATTGCAAAAATTCCTGAAAATTGCAAAAAATTTTGAAAATTGCAAAAATTCATGAAAGGTGCAAAAGTTGCAAAAATTCCTGAAAATTGTAAAAATTGCAAAAATTCCTGAAAATTGCAAAAATTTCTGAAAACTGCGAAAATAACTGATAATTGCAAAAATGCCTGAAAATTGCAAAAAATCGCGAAAATGCCTGAAAATTGCAAAAATTGCAAAAATTCATGAAAATTGGAAAAATTCCTGAAAATTGCAGAAGATGCAAAAATTCATGAAAATTGTAAAAAATTCCTGGAAAATGCAAAAATCGCAAAAATTCCTGAAATATGCGAAAATTGCAAGAATTTGTGAAAATTGCAAATATCGCAAAAATTGCTGAAAATCGCAGACACTGCAAAAATTGCAAAAATTCCTGAAAATTGTGAAAATTCCTGAGAATTGCAAAAATCGCAAAAATTCCTGAAAATTGTAAAAATTGCAAAAATTACTGAAAATTGCAAAAATTCCTGAAAATTGCGAAAATTACTGAAAATTGCAAAAATCGCAAAAATTCCTGAAAATTGTGAAAATTGCAAAAATTCCTGAAAATTGTAAAAATTGCAAAAATTCCTGAAAATTGCAAAAATTCCTGAAAATTGCGAAAATTCCTGAAAATTGCAAAAATCGCAAAAATTGACGAAAATCGCAGAAATTGCAAAAATTCCTGAAAATTGCAAGAATTCCTGAAAATTGCAAAAATTGCAAAAAATTTTGAAAATTGCAAAAATTCATGAAAGTTACAAAAATTGCAAAAATTCCTGAAGATTGTAAAAATTACAAAAATTCCTGAAAATTGCAAAAATTCCTGAAAACTGCAGAAATTCCTGAAAATGCGAAAATTACTGAAAATTGCAAAAATTCCTGAAAATTGCAAAAATCGCAAAAATTCCTGAAATATGCAAAATTGCAAGAATTCCTGAAAATTGCAAAATCGCAAAAATTGCTGAAAATCGCAGAAATTGCAAAAATTGCAAAAATTCCTGAAAATTGCAAAATCTGCAAAAATGTCTGAAAATTGCAAAAATTCCTGAAAATTGCAAAAAATTTTGAAAATTGCAAAAAATTCATGAAAGGTGCAAAAGTTGCAAAAATTCCTGAAAATTGTAAAAATTGCAAAAATTCCTGAAAATTGCAAAAATTTCTGAAACTGCGAAAATAACTGATAATTGCAAAAATGCCTGAAAATTGCAAAATCGCGAAAATGCCTGAAAATTGCAAAAATTGCAAAAATTCATGAAAATTGGAAAAATTCCTGAAAATTGCAGAAGATGCAAAATTCATGAAAATTGTAAAAATTCCTGGAAAATGCAAAAATCGCAAAAATTCCTGAAATATGCGAAAATTGCAAGAATTTGTGAAAATTGCAAATATCGCAAAAATTGCTGAAAATCGCAGACATTGCAAAAATTGCAAAAATTCCTGAAAATTGTGAAAATTCCTGAGAATTGCAAAAATCGCAAAAATTCCTGAAGATTGTAAAATTTGCAAAAAATCCTGAAAATTGCAAAAATTCCTGAAAATAGCGAAAAATACTGAAAATTGCAAAAATCGCAAAAATTCCTGAAAATTGTGAAAATTGCAAAAATTCCTGAAAATTGTTAAAATTGCAAAAATTCCTGAAAATTGCAAAAATTCCTGAAAATTGCAAAAATCGCAAAAATTTGCTGAAAATCGCAGAAATTGCAAAAATTCCTGAAAATTGCAAGAATTCCTGAAAATTGCAAAAAATTTTGAAAATTGCAAAAATTCATGAGTTACAAAAATTGCAAAAATTCCTGAAGATTGTAAAAATTACAAAAATTCCTGAAAATTGCAAAAATTCCTGAAAACTGCAGAAATTCCTGAAAATTGCGAAAATTACTGAAAATTGCAAAAATTCCTGAAAATTGCAAAAATCGCAAAAATTCCTGAAATATGCAAAATTGCAAGAATCCTGAAAATTGCAAAAATCGCAAAAATTGCTGAAAATCGCAGAAATTGCAAAAATTGCAAAAATTCCTGAAAATTGCAAAATCTGCAAAAATGTCTGAAAATTGCAAAAATTCCTGAAAATTGCAGAAGATGCAAAAATTCATGAAAATTGTAAAAATTCCTGGAAAATGCAAAAATCGCAAAAATTCCTGAAATATGCGAAAATCGCAAGAATTCCTGAAAATTGCAAATATCGCAAAAATTGCTGAAAATCGCAGAAATTGCAAAAACTGCAAAATTCCTGAAAATTGTGAAAATTCCTGAAAATTGCAAAAAATCGCAAAATTGCCTGAAAATTGCAAAAATTTGCAAAAAATCCTGAAAATTGCAAAAATTCCTGAAAATTGTGAAAATTACTGAAAATTGCAAAAATCGCAAAAATTCCTGAAAATTGTAAAAATTGCAAAAATTCCTGAAAATTGTAAAAATTGCAAAAATTCCTGAAAATTGCAAAAACTCCTGAAAATTGCGAAAATTCCTGAAAATTGCAAAAATCGCAAAAATTTGCTGAAATCGCAGAAATTGCAAAAATTCCTGAAAATTGCAAAAATTCCTGAAAATTGCAAAAATTCCTGAAAATTGCAAGAATTCCTGAAAATTGCAAGAATTCCTGAAAATTGCAAAAATTTTGAAAATTGCAAAAATTCTTGAAAGTTGCAAAAATTGCAAAAATTCCTGAAAATTGTAAAAATTGCAAAAATTCCTGAAAATTGCGAAAATTCCTGAAAATTGCGAAAATTCCTGAAAATTGCAAAAATCGCAAAAATTCCTGAAATATGCAAAAATTGCAAGAATTCCTGAAAATTGCAAAAATCGCAAAAATTGCTGAAAATCGCAGAAATTGCAAAAATTGCAAAAATTGCAAAAATTCCTGAAAATTGCAGTCTGCAAAAAAACCTGAAAATTGCAAAAATTCCTGAAAATTGCAGAAATTGCGAAAATTCCTGAAAATTTCAAAAATCGCAAAAATTCCTGAAATATGCAAGAATTCCTTAAAAATTGCAAATTCGCAAAAATTGCTGAAAATCGCAGAAATTGCAAAAATTGCAATAATTCCTGAAAATTGCAGAAATTGCAAAAATTCCTGAAAATTGTGAAAATTCCTGAAAATTGCAAAAATTGCAAAAATGCCTGAAAATTGCAAAAATCGCAAAAATGCCCTGAAAATTGCAAAAATTGCAAAAACTCCTGAAAATTGTGAAAATTCCTGAAAATTATATAGAGGGTGTCCCGAAATTACATGAAAAGATTTCAACCACAAACCACAGTTAACACAAAGTTATAGCCATCTGAAGAGGGTCCAAAATGATGGTTTTTTTGTAAATACCTATTTCTCAACCCCTCTGTGTACTACTGAATATTTTGCTCCTGTCAAAGGATATCATCAAATGGACACCTATTAAAATCAGGTGAATTTGCAAGAATTTATGTTTTTATAGGAACAAGAATTACTAATGAAAGCTGAACTTAACAATTTATCTTATTTATTTTCATAATACCCAAATCTTCTATGCCTAGCATACAATCATGATGTAATAAATATTTTATGTTTATCATTTTAAATGCTTCAAATTTCATGTATGGGAAACTGCCACTATACTTATTTGTTTCAACAAGAGTTTTTAAATAAATTAAACATTAACAACAAAATCAAATATCTATAAACAATTGTAAAGTAAATTGTGCAACTATAAGTGGGAAATGCTTGCATTGCAATACCTCATGAGCAAGAATTCAATATAGTAATTTGTTTTCTTTCAATCCCAATGCATCAAAATGTTATTGCTAATAGAATAAGTGAACAAGTTATTATATGAATCACCACCCCAACCAAGGTGGTTGATTCATTTTGTGTACTGGTGTAAAAGTTAAATTAACTGGCAAATTTATAATGGCATATGTTTTCTTTAGTCTTTGCAGGGTATTCAAAATCATCAACCCATTTTTACCCATCAGATATCCAGCAGGAATATTCACTTCTTCCACAGAATTGTCATCAATCATCTCTATGAAATATTCTTCATTTGATAAGTCAATATCACTAATTATAACTGCTCTAGCTCCAGCTCTCTCAGCAATAAGGGCCTTTGTCTTGAAGGAACAATGACTAAAAAGTGTGAATATAAGCAGATTGGTAGGGTAGGTATCAGTAGGAGTAGATTGAGTTCTCAAATTTTTTTTTAAATATAATATATCTACAAGTGAAAAGAAATCTATAAATATTTTTTTTTGTTCCTGACTGACTATGCCTAGAGTTGTGCAATGTTGTACACATTCCACAAATAATAAAATAATTATAGGACCCTGTCATCTTGACCAACAAGGTCCCAGGTGAGAAGCTGCTATCATATACTGTTATCTTGATTTAATAAACTAAATTAAAATTAAGTAGGTATAACTCACCCCCTCTCTATTAGAGCAACATTGCCCTCTATATCATCAAAGTTGTCAGGTGGTTTACATCCATATAGTGGTAAAATGGGAACCAGAGGAACATTTTTAATGTGAAAAGATGTATTCTGGAATATTCAATTATTCATCAACATGAAAATCTGAACGAAAATCAAACTTACAAATGGGGCCCCAAAGTCTTTTGCAGGGCGAATTCTATAAGTATACTCCAACTCTGCTGGATCCACTATCTCAAAGAATACATCCCCATTTATAACTTCTGCAGTAGAAGTTCCTATAAGGTGGAGGTTATTACCTGAAAACGATATAAAGTTTACTACAATGAGATTTTACAATACAGTCCGTATTTTACCACCGCAATTTATAACAATAACATAAAGGGATAACTGCAAGGTGAGTAGAAATTGTTGAAATACTAGTGTTTTTGGCATGTCTAATGAAATTATTTTCCTTTTCTGTTCATCCTGATTTCTGCCTTCAACCATCAACAAATTCAACACTGTTTTTTAGGTTATCTTCTTCTTTCTTCTTCTTCATCATTTTTAAAGATATATCTCTCGTATTCGTGCTCTTGTAGTAGACCACAAACCACAAGTCCGTATCTTAATTATGGCTGCAGATTTTTCGTGCCACATTCAGGTTCTTAACAATTTCTCAACACTCAACAGTCTACACTTTCACACATTTTTTCGAAACATTGGTATTTCTAATTTCTATGCATTTCTAACTCTCATATTTACATAAAAAAGTACTCTTTAATTTCTGTTTAGGTATTTCAATTTCAATAAAACAGAGACATTATACATTGGTAGACATCAAAGTACAAGGTATTTAACTGCATTTGAAAAGAGAGTTAAATGTTAAATATCCTTGCATATGCACAAACCACACTACAAAAAATGCAAAAGTGAAAATCCATATCAATATAATATAAAAAACCTTGAATGAATTAATAACACTTTAAAACCTCTCAATATAAAAGAAAGGGAATATTGCTTCATAATCCTAATCTTCATCCCAGTTCTCATGTTCAAGATTGAAAGCCCTGATTTTATCTATATGATAGCAGACTTCCTGTTTAATATCATCATTTACTTCATCCATAATATATGCCTTTGATCTAGAATCACACTGGAGCATGTGATCTGCAAGAAGGTCCTTATTTCGAAATCTATGCAAAGCATTATAAGGGCACACAACAAAATTTGGATAATTGACCATACACCTTATTATGTGCCGTTGCAGAGAGCTAGGGCTCATTACATGTTGTGGATTGAATGGACATTTCACCATTCTTTCTGACCTAGAAAAATCAATAATTCAGAAAATGAATTCAAGTAGATACAACAAGTGCTGATTAAGGATTTCTACTGATGCTAATACCATCGTCCAATAATCTGATACTAACATATTATTATGGTAGCAATCCTGTTTTTCTGCAATTAGAGAAGCTCTGGTTTCTCGATTTTTCAGAATGGTGACTCAGTCTTCTTCCAACTAACTCCTAGACTATGCCAGGCCAAACAACCGAATCTATGGACTGAATAGAATGGTTTTATTCACTCCCAATATATTATTATATTCACAATATTCACATACAGTTCACAACTTTGAACTTACAATACGATGAATAATGAATTAAACATTAAACTTGAACCATAAGCTGAGTCTGAGTGCCTCAGGCCTTGAGAGTTTGAGACTTTGAGAGTGTGCCTTGACGGCTGAGCGCTGAGAGTCAGGACAATGACGGCTAAATGGACTGTCTGACGGGTACTACATGACTGTCCAATCACTCAGTTCAGTGTATTCTCCACCAGAGGGGTTTACTTGCCGTCCTTTCCGGAGAAGTCATTTGTTTAGCTCTTATTTGGTTGTTTTCCAATAACATAGGTTATATTGAATTATCATTATTTTATCAAGTGTCAAAACTGTGTCACTGTCAGGTCCCTGATGTGTTCTGTTGAATATCGATAAATTCCTTTACTTTTTCGGATTCTCATTCAATCAAGCATTCTTCTTTGTGTTTAGTTCTGGTAGTTTATTAATTCAGGTTTGCTAGTTGTGTCTTCATCATGTATTTACAGCTTTCTAGCGTATGAAATGAAATGTAGTGCTCATACCCAGTGATAAACTCCACAGCAAGAATGGTCGAATTTTATTTTGGAAGGCATTGGTAAGAATATGATTTTTCATGTACACTTTTCTGATGATTTTCAATTTCAGCGTCGATTCCACCATTAGAACACTGGTGTTAATTCTGGTGTTGAAGTTTGTGTCAATGATTTTGGAAGACACTATAGAGTGATGATCAATATAGCACTACATATGGCGACTTATCAGGATGGGGACATACATTCAGAAAAGATCGCTTACCATAATTTTCAAGGTATGTTCAGTCTGCATTGTTGTTGCATAGCTATGTAGGGTAGGAGTAGTATTGTTGAAAACTGTTTCATGTGAGCCTGATGGTCCAAGCCATCAATGCAACGTATTCAAACTTAAATTGCCATATTATACCTACAGGATGGGCATCCCAAAAAGCAACACCAAGAATGAAAGAGGAATGGAATTTAAGGTATGCTCTTTGAATCCCAGAGAATTATCAGTCTAGGCCAACATCTGGAGTTTTTTCGAGTGCCACAACTACAATTTGAGGTATTTTGTGTTCCTGCTTCCTGGCAAATATCACAGAATAATGATACTATCAGAGATTTTCAAAAATGTCTTTCACTGCTGTGATGATTTTGTCACAAAAAATTTAAATTAATTATTTGGCCTAAGTTTATGTATTATGTATGCCCATCTATCAATGAGATCCTGTATAGCTTTCTTGTTTTCTTGATAGAAGTATGAGATGGTATGTGAAATAAGATAAAATGTTGTCACTGATACTAGCCCACTAACTATAGCTTCCCCAAGTAGATCTAAAAAGATGAAGAGAGTGCAAACTCAACTTTTGAAATGCATATAACTATTTCTGTCTCCACAAAGTTTTGAAAATGGTTGAAAAATATGGATTGATAGATAGATAGATGATATGTATAGAAAGCATTTATTCAATTAATGTAATAATTTTATTCCATAGACAGTCACCATAATAAACAATTTCCTTTTCCATTAAATTAGCTGATGATGAGTTTATATTTGAACTCAAAACATGCTTCTTCTCTGCTGATTTTTGAACAGATGATAGATATTGTGGGATACACAATAATATATCATCTTCCTCTTTTATTTCCAGTGTCCAAAGGATCTCCAGGTAACCTAGCTGCATCCTCCAAAGTCAAGATCCCATATCCAAGCCGTTTTATATCCACTGTGTTGCCATCCCCAGAACCTATAAAGAAATGTTGCTATAGAACATTTAATGATTTTGAAGCTGGCATAGTTCTATCAATTTTGCAATACAATTTATCTGTATATCTGATATAAAATATATAAGTATGAAATGATAAATTGATATTTAATTTGCTATTCATGGAGATACCTGATATTGTAGTTAGAATGCCTGGTTATTTTTCTGAACCCTCACATAATTAAACAATTGTTCACAAAGCTCACCTTATAGAGTGAATATTCTGGTTATGCATAGATAGCATCATCAGAATTGAATGTTTCCAGTCATCATGCAATCAAACCTCATGAAGAGCTGCTTCAACATTGTGTTGAGAAAATTCAGTATCTTCCTGAAAATACAAATTAAGAAATATCACTTGAGATCACAGATTTTGTGAAACAATATGAAATGTTGCAGTACATTTCACTTTCAGAATACAGCAGTATCTGGTTATTAGGGCTACCATGGCTCTTATTAGGCAGTTAAAAATTCAATCAATGAAATAATTGAACATGTCCTTACCTATTCACGAATTGACGAAGATGATTTCCACTTGAATGGCATTATTATTTATGCATATAATATCGTTATTTGGCATGAACACTCCTAACCACTTCATTTTGTTGGCCTTTTCACAGTTTTACTTGGTATCTCCAACAAAGCTCTCCAATCTCGAGTGACAATGAGTGACAGGCTGACAGTAAGAAAATTTGTCAACAAATAATGCAGGTTATGTTGAATAGCTCATTTGACACAGGAAATAGATGACGCCACTTGCCGTCCCTTCAAAATTTCATTACAGGGCGATTTGGCGATTTTCGCTGAATGAACAGTCATGTATAACCCGTCAGACAGTCCATTTAGCCGTCATTGGTCAGGAGTCAGCTAAAAAGTGATGAGTGGAGTCACAGTACAGTAGAGACTAGATTATAGATTTAGATGGTCGTCAAAGTGGGAATGAGTGGGACCAACTTGAAATCGACCAATAGGCGTTGATGCCGACGTAGGGAAAAAATAACACGACTCTTAGAGAAAATGACATTTGACATAGGTATGCGATAAGTCTGTGCGATTGACAATTTTGACATCTTACATACATTTCATTGGATATGAGATAATTGAGATCTTTGAGATCTGGAGATGAGAAATCAGAGAAATCTCAAGATACCAAAAATGTTCAATCAAGCTCAAGAAGACGAGACATACACATAATTCTGAAGGAAGTTTCTTTCAAAATACAATATTTTGATTTCGTCAAAGGAATGCTTTGACTGTTGCGTTGAAATGTCATTGTAATACAGTCGTGAAGAAAAGTGATCTCAAATTGTCGAGTGGAAGTGGAGCCCAAGGTGCCGGCGCTCAAACGTTTTGTTTTATCTATCACATGCGAACATCAGACTCTTCCCAACTTTTTATCTTGAAGTATTTGGGCATAATTCTTCAAAGATGTTGGTTCATGTCTGTTGAAAAAAGTAGCACACAACGTCGTTTGTGTACAATTTTTTATTAGTTCTTTTTTCATTTCAAGCCTTCAAGGACATGTAGGTACCTATATAGTGGAATCTGTGGATTGTCAATAATAGGATATTCTTTTTTGTGAACTGAAAAATGGAAGGTGAACAATTTTCGTTGTGCTGGAATAATTTCCATACAAATTTAAGTACTGGATTTCATTCCCTGCTAAAAGATGAGGATTTAGTTGATGTCACCTTAGCAGCTGAAGGAAAGTTTTTAAAAGCCCATAAAACAGTTCTATCAGTATGCAGTCCCTTTTTCAAAGAACTCTTCATAGTCAATCCCTGCAAACATCCCATAGTAATTCTTCCAGAAGTAAACTATAGTGCACTATGCAGTTTGTTACATTTCATGTATCAAGGGGAAGTGAGTGTTAGCCAAGAAGAAATTCCCACTTTCATGAGGGTAGCAGAAATGTTGAAAGTGAAAGGATTGACTGATAATAATGCACCATCTCCCACAGTGAGTAACCAGTAGACATATAATTTTGTTTGAAGATTAATGGGAGAAGTATTATTCAATTACAGGATACTAATGGGTATTCAAGTTCCAATAGAAACACATTTGGTTTTCCTGACCAAAGACAGAACATCATGAAAAGACCCAAACCTGTAAAGAAATTAATTCGTCCCATTCAGCATTTGAGACCTATTGAAAGTCCAAAATCATCACCATCTCCTCAGCCTCATCAACAAGTAAGAATACTATCATCAACTTCACACTTGGTCTGTAATCCTTTTTTTTTTTTCAGTCACCCACATTCTCACATCCTCCTCCAAGTAAAAAAACCCATATTGAAAATGACATACTGCAGATACCCACCTCAACTATACCACAATCTGTTCTACAACAAAAGCTAGAGAACAATCAAGAGTCTCTTATCATGCCCAAAGAGGAACCTTTAGACCATCAAGATGAAGCCATCACATCTCCATCTCACTCTGGTAAGTAACATGTTTCAATGGCAAATATTTTTACCATACAGGTTTTGTAACAGAATCTTGTAATGGAATCTTCAAATGTGATTTCGACCTTGATACTCCACACACTTATCAAGGACAGATGACAAAAGCAATATCTGATAGTTATGATTCATTATCCCTAGCAGGATCTTCAGGTTGGTATCTAGGTTTTGTAACAGAATCTTGTAATGGAATCTTCAAACGTGATTTTGACCTTGAAACTCCATACATAGGACAGAAGACAAGATCAATATTTAATAGTTATGATCCATTATCCTGATCAGGATCTCCAGGAGGAGCATTTTTTTACATCCAGAGGCAGGGCAGTGTCTTGCACCAAGTACCGGTATATTTTTATCCAGATTTTAATTAATTTACACCTGCATTACTATGATTATTAAATAGAAGAGTGAACCTTTCAAACTGAGCTGCAGCTTGAGTGAAAGTTGCACTGTTTACAGTGTGTCCCAGCTAACACTGTATGTCTGTTTCATTCCACCCAATACATTGAGGCAATATAATAATGTGTGGATCTTAGTACACAGAGTGACATTGAAATAAATACAAATGGCAGCAATAATTCCAATAAAAATATAGGAATCAAAATAGAATTTGGGGTGGGACCCTTTTTCCATCCAAAGTTCTACTTAATAACTAATCCTTTATTCATATATACCGGGTGTCAACGAATCTATTAGACAAGTCATAACTTCTAGACCATCAGGTGTATCAAAATGAGATTTGGTATAGGTAAATGGTATGTGAAGAGGAGAGTTTTCACATATTTTTCACATTCCGGTCACTTCTGGTTTCACCGGAAATGGCTCCGGTTCAAAATTTTTGAATGAAACACCCTGTATATTCTAACATTTTTGGATTTCTGAGACAATTCTAGATCAGAATGTGTCATTTTTCAAAGTTTTTATGTCTACTTGAAATTACATCTAGGTGACCATGATCGGAAGTGAACTAATCTAAGGACCTCAGGTGTTATCAGAAAATTATAATCGTGAAGTTTTAGTGACAAGTATGATAGATATAAATAAGACAAGTTGGCAAAATTACATTTTTGTGTCTATTATTTTTCAAATGGCGACCATTTTTTGACAAAATTTTACCTTTGCTCTTGAAGCTTATGTCACTGTCATAACCTAAGTGCGTGTTTTGTTCTCCCAGAAATAACTGCAGAATATTATGCTTCATGCCTATCCTCGGCACACTTGACAAATGTAAATAAATTATTATGAACGAGATTATGAAGTATTTTCATCAATAATATTTAATTCATTTTCTTATTTGTAATCCAATCGCAAATAAATTAGTATCGTTAGATTCGTCAAAATATCCTTTTTTCGGAAAGTGCTTGTCAAAAAATGGTCGCCATTTGAAAAATAATAGTTAGACACCAAAATGTAATTTTGCCAACTTGTCTTACTCATATCTATCATACTTGTCACTAAAACTTCGCGATTGTAATTTTCTAATATCACCTGAGGTCCTTAGATTAGTTTACTTCCGATCATGGCCACCTAGATGTTATTTCAAAAGTGACTCCGAAAAAATTAAATAGGCATAAAAACTTTCGAAAATGTCACATTCTGATCTAGAATTGTCTCAGGTATCCAAAAATGCTACAATATACAGGGTGTTCCATTTGAAAATTTAGAACCGGAGTCATTTCCGGTGAAACCAGAAGTGACCGGAAAGTGAAAAATATGTGGAAACTCTCCTCTTCACATACCATTTACCTATACCAAATCTCATTTTGATACACCCAATGGTCTAGAAGTTATGACTTGTCTAATAGATTCGTTGACACCCGGTATACATACATATACATTACATTTATGTGTGTGAAATAACAATTTCATCAGTGCATATTTTACAATAATGCAACTAGGTGAGTGAACACCTGTGTGTGCAAAAATACCAAGTATGTTAAATCTAAAAAAGACCTATTAGTATGTGATAATTAGTATTTCAGTCAGAGGAAATTGATGGTTGTAATATTAATAATAAAATATTAGTTGTAACAGTAAATACATTGGTAATAAGGCTACATTATATTCAACTAATCAATGAATTCATTTAATTACCTACACCTTTCACAGCATCTTGTGTATCACTATAAATATAAATGAAGTATTTGCATTTATTTACAAAGTGTTTATATTTTTTTATCATTTTAATTTCATTTGGTGGGATGTTATAAATTTTGCTACACTGTAGCAATTCTGACGTCACCTCTGTTCAAATTTGTGCACGATTTTTTTTTCCATTTTTGATCAATTTTCAGGATGAAGCTTGAACATTCATTCAATCCAATATACTGGGTGATTCAAATTTCGATGTATACAGTGTCATGAGGTTGGCATCATATGGGAAAAACTTTTTCATATGATTTTACTTTTCCGCATTATTTTTACTGTTTTGCAGGATATAGCTATAAACTGACAGTAGTGACAGTCAACAAATAAGCATTTCAAACGTCATTTTTCCGTGTACGTAATTCCAATTAAAAATGGACAACTCAGGAAACTTTCATTTCAAGATTCCGCCCCCCCCCCCTCCCCAGAAATAATTGATGCAAACACTGACAAATCAAATTCAAATATGAAACGACCTTCTTCAAGATGTTGCATATTACAGCATGCAACAAACACAAATTGCACTTTCAATTTCAATATTTACCATCCTTAATGTTTTAATTATTGTTATTTAAATGTTCTTCAAATAAGTTTCCTATTATATCAATAAAAAAAATCTATATCATTATTATTATTTAGGGCTAACTAAATGATCCAAGTATTGTTTATTAAAATTTTGTCTTTGTGAATGACATACTGAAATATGTAAGTAGCAGGATTCCTAATCAGAAAGTTTTGAAATATTGCGGGCCCCTGTCCGGCCCTGGACGCCCGGATTAAATATTCTGATACTGTACATTTCTTTATTTTGTCTTTCTGAATGACATACTGAAATATGTAAGTGGCAGGATCCCTAATAAGAAAGTTGTAAAATATTGCTGGTTCCTGTCCGGCCCTGGATTAAATATTTCGGTACTGTTCATTTCGTTGTTTTGTCTTGTCTTTCTGAAATGAATATTTCACAAATCAATTAAGTGCATTTCTCATCTAAATTTTCTAGAACCAACAGAAAATTTATATAAACCTAAAAAATTTCTTTTGCCAGGAATAAATTTAAAATATCAAACTTACCTCTTAAAGAAGTCAATACAGTCCATAGTTATGGGACTTATAGCAGAATGCTTATTATGTATTATATACACTATGAGCTTAAGGCCGTGTGGACCGTTTCCTAGGTGTTTCACTGATATTCAAAAATGGATTACAAGCCGCTTGGAACAGGTTTGGCTGGAAATTGGTTGGACAGCTCACTGATGTAAGATAACATTTTCCACTCCTACCTTTTTCAATATTGTGTTTACCATCCTGCTCATGCTGAATCCTGGTCCTGTCTGTCGACGCTGTTAATGAAATAGCGCTGCTTGCTCCTCGTAAGACTCGCATCAGTCTTCCCAGCTTTTCTGTCTATGTTTCGTGCCCAGTGATTATCCTTGCAAAATGGGTCATTCGTAGTATCATCATCTTCTAATGTTTTCCTGATAGCTCTACCCTGAAGCCGCGTGTTGTAATGATGAGTTGCTCCTTCCTTTGCTTGTTCCATCACTTTGGTGGCCCCACGTTGGGCGCCAAGTTGTAACGTAGTGGAATAGGTTATATAGAAATGGATCTCAGGGGCGTCAATAAGAAGTCTATTCCAACTAGTTTTTTCCTCTTATATTTCTTACGAGAACATTCACAATTCTGAAACATTAGTTTGCTGAATAATATAATATAAATTCGAGGACTCACATCACTCACCTGAAAGAAGGTAGAGAGTTTATCTCAATGAACAAACCCTGCTTCACCAGAAAGCCTTCAGCAAAGGAAATTCAAGTATAAAATATTGTGAATAAGAATATTTTGATCTAACAACAAATGAATTGTTTTCCCAACACCTAGGAAACGGTCCACACGGCCTTAAGCTCATAGTGTATATAATACATAATAAGCATTCTGTTACAGACTAGACAATTGAATTACTTGATAGCAATTCAAGTCAAACATTGCAAACAATCTGTATTTCATAATGGAATAATTTTATACAATTCATTACCGAATGAATTGAAAAATATACATGATGTGAGAAGATTCATAGTCAATCTCCAACAATACCTGGTCAGGACTAGAGTCCCTGTATATACCTTAGGAACTCTAGTCAGGACAATTTGAAAAATATTTGGCATGATTGGATTACTCAGAATTTAAATGTTATAACTTTCATCTTATAAAAAGTATGAATTTGTTTCCACTGAGTAATAAAAACAATCAATCATTCCATCAGTTTCTAATGTTTTTACAGGTGAAGAACCTAACATGGACATATCCCACATGCTGGATACAACGTTAGGAGAACCGTCACCTTCTCACTCCTTTCCTGCATGGCCCCCAATCGAATTTCCATTGCCACCTCCACAGGATTCTTCTTCACCAGGTCAGTTGATCCATGTATTTGCATTATCGTATGTAGAATATTGTAGTGCTTTTGAAACAGTATTGAACGTATGGCAACAAATCATTTCTGGTATGTTTGGGTCCCATCAACATTTAAATTTTGATAAAAAAATATGTGGGTATTGAATAACAAATCTAAGAAATAAAAGAAAATCTCACAAAGCCCGGATTGGTGTAGAATTATTATTATGTATGTTCTGAAAAAATAACCGCAGAAAAGCAGCCGGAAAAACTTACACATTGTTACCAACAGTAAATATTTTAGCACTGATTTATTTTCGTTTTAATCAGTAATATACCAAGAATATCAATAATCAACATAATTTTGTGATTGTTCTCGAAAGACAGATATCTCTGTTTCCTTTAAATGCTTGAGAAACATAATTATTGAGCATTATTTGATGATGGTGGTGGAATAACTCGTGCCATGATTTTTCCTTAATTTTTGACTCACCCTGTGTGTTAATTGAGTAATGGCATAGAAAGTGCTTACACCCTATATGAAAGAGGCTTCTTTTGCAAGCATTTTGTTTTTTTATTCATTGATTTATCTCTAAAATTATAAATTGGGATGACTGCTTAATACCGTGTATTGCCTCCTCTAGCAACTCTAAGAACTTCTAATCTACGGGGCATACTGGAAATTAAGTTGCTTATCGTTTTCCATTGGTATACGATCCCATTCTTCCACTAACGCATCTGCCATTTCTGCGAGACTTTCCGGAGACCTCTCGCGCGAACGTACCCTTCTCCCTAATTCATCCCACAAATGATCTATAGGATTCATATCGGGGCTTCTCGCAGGCAATTGTAATGTGGTAATACCAGTAGCTTCTAAGAAGTTTCGCACTATTGCTGCGGTGTGTGATCGGGCATTATCCTGCATCAATATAAAATTATTGCCCACTAACTCTGCATAAGGTAAGACATACTGCTCTAAAATGTCAATGTCAATTTGGGCATTCATCGACTGACTCACCAGAAAAACATAAAGGGGTGTCTTTCCATTCATTGAAATCCCTCCCCACACCATAACGGACCCACCATAAAAACTTTCACATTTTGTTATTAAATTTTAATTAAATCGTTCACCAGTTTTTCTCCACACTCTTTTTCTTCCATCCATCATGTTGAGGCAAAACCTTGACTCATCCGTAAACAAGACATTCGACTATTCAGGAATATTCCACTGTCCATAATTTTCAACAAAATTTCTTCTAGCAGCACGATGTTCGGGAAATAATTTAGGACCTTTTGCAAGTCTCCTAGCTTTTATATCAACTTCTTTTAGACGTCTACATACCGTCTGCTGACTTTTTGCAACATCACGAATTTGGCGAAGATCTTGCTGAACATTTACCGCAGTATTTGATCGATTCCGTAAAATCCCCAAACTCAAGAAGCGATCATCTCTTGGAGAAGTTTTTCGGGGGCGACCAGAATCGACCCTCCGAGCAGTGCTTCCTGTTTGTTCGTACATGCGGATTGCTCTACGAGCAGTTGCTTCATGAACTCCCACTGCACGAGCGGCGTAACGTTTACTACGCCCATCGTTTACTAACGCAACTAATCTTGCTACTTGTTCAGGATTTATTTGAGGCATTTTATGTAATTTTAGTCAATAAAAAAAGACACTTGATTAATGACACAACGACAAATGGTCAAATATGGAGGCATACAAAAAATTAGTTGCTATGGCAACGGCATTTGTTTTTTTAAAGACAATTTGATCCTACCAGAGTACAACCCAATCAATTTTGAGTACTCTGATCCTTCAATAAATTAAATTTGTGGGATAAGCGTAAGGTATCAGCAAAAAAGCTGTAATTCGGAAAATTTCAAAGATAAATCAATGAATAAAAAAACAAAATGCTCGCAAAAGAAGCCTCTTTCGTATAGGGTGCAAGCACTTTGTATACCATTACTCAATTAACACACAGGGTGAGTCAAAAATTAAGAATAAATCATGGTTCGAGTTATTCCACCACCATCAAGGAGGCTTTGAAAAAATTTTCACCTCTTTATTTTTTTTAAAGACAAATGCATTACCTACCAAAAAATAAAAATAAAATGAAAATCGGCCTACTATTTTTTTTTCTTTTTAAGAAGATAGGTCAAATATCAAGTGCGTCACTTTTTTTGGAACTGAGTGTATTTCCTGAAATATTTAAAATGGTGTGAATTTTCTTTTGAAATTCTTGAAAGAATAAAAATTCCGTATGTTCATCATAATGACAGCTGTCAAGACAGGGAGATTTCCACTTATCATTCTCGCAGTATAAATATCTTATGAGCATAGCAACATGTCAAAATGCAAACATCTGATTGGCTGAAATTAACAGGTGTACAATTTTCATAATCTATGAATTATGATGATATAATATGATGGATTTAAAGTTTTAAGCTAGACATTTTTATGGTATGTTTCACGATGTGTCATTCATTAGCATTATGTATGATATGATTTCTTTCACCATATTCAGTGTTATACAGTGTTATCCATAAAGTCCCTAAGTTAGAGTATCGAAACATTTTTTCTCGGGGCTCAATTATGCATGAACGAAAAACTAAAAATCAATTTTGACATATGTCACGTGATCATTGGTATGATGATAAATTGAAAAAAAAGGAGAGAAAAAATAGATCTCTGTAACGAGATCGAAAAATATTCTACAAAAATAGCTATTTTCATTTTTTTTCTTCAATTGCTTGAAATTCTGTATGTGAGTCTAAAATTGAATCATAAGCAACTTTTCCATAAAGTTTTTCTCGCTATCTTGCCATCTAACCCCAGTTTTTGCCTTTTAATAGTCATTTTCTCCTTTTACCGCCATACCAGTGATCACGTGGCTTGTGAAAATCAATTTTTAGGTTATCTTTTATGCATAATTGAAAGATTAAAAAGAAAAAAATGTTACCCCATATTTCACTGACTTCATGGATAACACTGTATATTGTATATAGGCTTCCATATTTCAGGATTATATTGAAATTTTGTTTATCTATATTGTATATACCGGGTGTCCCAGATATAACATTTCAAATAAGAGGCTCCATTGCTCACTATTTTTCAATACTGCTAGGAAAACCAAATATCAATCTAAATATGATTCTCCTTTTGAAAAGGTCAAAACACAAATTGAAACACTTTTTCAATAAAAATTGAAGATGCCTCAAAGTACCTGATCAATTTGAGCTTCAGCAATACAGGGCAAGGGAAGGTAGTTGATGCTTCAAAATGCTGGACTTTTGTTGGGACACCCGGTATTTTTGGAATTATGTTATTGCATCCCGATAATTTCCTTTAACATTAAACTTGCATTAGTGGATCCTTTAGAGGGAACCTTTATTAAATAATACATGAACTAACTATAAATACACATCTTAAATAATTATTATTGAATGTTGATCTGAAAAGTAATGTTAATGCTCAGCCATGGAAAATCATTATCAACTCACATTTGGAATCTCGTTCAGAATCAGAATTACAAAAAACAATCGAAATGGGAAACAAAAAAGATAGGGCCAATATTATACAGGGTGTTCCAGATTTTAATCACCAAAAAGGCTCAAGTTTCGTTTAGCTGAAATCAGTTATGGAAAAACTGTTGCCATGGCAACGATCATCATGGTAACGAGTAAACAAAAATCCGATTTCCGTGGTGAGGAAATGCGTGGTTGCCAAGTTGTATCGGGTTTAGTTTGGCTGAAATCAGTTATGGAAAAACTATTGACATGGCAACGATCGTCATGGTAACGAGTAAACAAAAATCCGATTTCCGTGGTGAGGAAATGCGTGGTTGCCAAGTTGTATCGGAGAAATATTGCTTAATTCATTAATTTCGAAAATACTCTTCAATGCAACCATCCTCCGCGTGCCAAGCTATTCGACAAAATCAAAAAGAAACAGAGCCATTTTGGAATATTTATTACGAGGTATCGCGCAGGATATGAGAAAAGAGACTACAGGTACTGGTTGTCTAATACAGATGGAAACATCACGTTAGGCTCAAATTTCCATCTACCTACATTTCCATTTGCCTTCATTTCGATTCACCCATACCATTCTTCACCATTTTTGATCCAGCCACAGTCTTCAAACACACACGAACGATGCCTTGCTACCAAATCTGATAGATGTTGAGAAATATATTTTTTCTAAGAAGAAGGTTCATTTAAGCCGAGTTAGGTTAGATTTTTTAGAAAAAGTAGTATTTATGCAGGAGGGCTGTTTTCCTTCCTCCCTGAAAAGAGTACCTTCTGTCTTCTTAGGAAGAAGGTTAATTTAGGTCGAGTGAGGTTAGATGGTTCAAAAAGTTGTGTTTATGCAGAAGGGCTATTTCCCTTCCTCCTTGAAAAAAGGACTGTGGAGGCATTTACTGCTAAGAAATGTTTTGACAAAATTATTTTCGAGAGTTTTGGATTAGTTAGATGGTGTTGTTTTAAAGAATGGTGCATGATTTTAGGTCAGATTAGGTCAAGTTAGCAGATTCAAATAACCTATGAATATCAACTACCGAATAAGAAATATGTATTGGGACACAAAATACTTACTTGGATTCTTTCTGAGGAGACAAGTTGCTATTTTCAATCCATGCACCTTCCACCAACCACTGGAAGAAAATCTTGTCTACATTTTCAAGATTCAGGACAATGGTATATCTCCAAATCCGTTTCTCTAAAATAATAATGGGAAAAATGGCTCAACCGGATTCTTGTGTTTCTTGGATTTGGACTTGCAATGAGGTCTTGCTGGCACCAAACCCGAGACCAAACCTTGACTCAGAAGAAAATTCATAACTGTCCTGCTGATTCCTCAAATGTTGTAAATTTTTGAAATTGAATATAAAATAGAAAACTTGGCAACCTCGCATTTACTCACCACAGGAATCTGGTTTTGGTTTACTCGTTACCATGACGATCATTGCCATAGCAACAGTTTTTACATAGCTGATTTCAGCTAAACTAAGCACGATACAGCTTGGCAACCACGCATTTCCTCACCATAGGATTTGGATTTTTGTTTACCTGTTACCATGACAACGTATGCCATGGCATTATTTTTTCCACAACTGATTTCAGCTATGCTAAACCCGATACAACTTGGCAACCACGCATTTCCTCACCCCGGTTTTTTTTTTCTGTTTACTCGTAACCGACAACGGTCACCATAGCAACAAATTTTCCATAACTGATTTCAGCTGAACGAAACTTGAACCTTTATATTTTTATTTTTATTCAAAATAATGAAATGCACTTTTTCACTGAATCAGACCCATTACAAAAATCGACAGTCTAGGACTTTTTCAAGACAAACCTAATAAGGAAGATGAATTTGAATGGATGGAAATTGCTCGCAACATGATAAGTTTTTAGTTCAATTCAGATTCTCAAGAGGTTTTACATGTCAAGATATTGATTACCCTCATTGGCTGATACGTACATTCATAAAACACAAAGTACTTTAGTTTTTATTGCAACATTTCATTTTATTGATAATGCTTTCGTTTTTTCACATGATTAGTTAGTTTGTAACTTGCTTTGTATTTAGCTGATGCATGTATAAAATTTCCATTTCAAGGTAGATGTATTTAATGTTAGTAGGCTCACAACTTATATCATACATACAATATACAGTGTGATCCACTTGAAAACCGTAGCACCCTTATGGAATCCACATTTTCCTAAAAATATCAGGACATGGTTGGATGTTATTGTTGCAATCTATTATACAGGGTGTTTCATAATTGAATGCTGATCCTAAAGGGCGATAATCCTTGGATGAATTTTAAGAAAAATTCTTCATGTGAACATAGGTCCCTAACAGCTTCGTTTCTGAGATACAGGATGTTGAAATTTAACAAAAAAATCAGTTATTCCCCAATATCTCTGAAACCGCTCTGGCTTTTTTCGTCAATTTTCGACCATGCCAAGTATGAATAGAAATACATTTTTTCCATAATAAAGAATTCCTTAATTTCCATCAGTGGCGTCCCTGTTAACATACCCTGTCATATTTTTCATCAAAATAATGATACGCCACTGTCTTTTTTCCAAATAAATATCATTTTTGTAATTATCCTCTATCTTCTCATAAAAATGGTCTCCTGTCTTTTTTTCGTTCGGCGAACGGTTTTTGAGTTAGAAAATAAAATGCATTCATTTGCTTGTCCCTATTCGATTTTTACTCTTAGTCATAATTTCACAATTGTGGTAATCAAAAGATCTAAGCAATATTTTTTTAATTTTATGGTAACTATTTTCAAGTTTTTGTAATGAAGAAAAAGCCAGAGCGGTTTCAGAGATATTGGGGAATAACTGATTTTTTTGTTAAATTTCAACATCCTGTATCTCAGAAACGAAGCTGTTACGGACCTATGTTCACATGAAGAATTTTTCTTAAAATCATCCAAGGATTATCGCCCTTTAGGATCAGCATTCAATTATGAAACACCCTGTATAGTCTGAAATCCGACTGCAAGATTACTACGTTCATCAATTATTTAATGAAAATATAATTTTAACATATGTCTACAGGGTACCCGTTTTTCGATCTCCACCATGGGTATCTCAGTTATTATAAGAGATACGAGGTCGGTTATAATATAAATTTTCGTTTTCTTCCAATAATTCGAAAACTAAAAATGACTCATCAAATTTTCTTGTAGGTAAATGTTGAGCATGAAAATGTGCAACTTTGCTCTAATTTAACCGACCCCGTATCTCTGATAATAACTGTGATCTCCTTAGTGGAGCTCGAAAAACGGATACCCTGTGAGGGCGATTAATGATCTACAGTGTGTCCCACTTACCATGCTCACCATGGGTATCTTTTTAACGGTGAGAGATACGAGGTCGGTTAAATGACACCAAATGTGGAGTTTGTCAAGGCCAACTATAATGTGAAAAAATATTTTGATAAAATCTATTCGTTTTTGATCATTTTCATGTCTCCTCCGTAACTTCTTCATTTATGAAAATATTCAAATAGGAATTTCACATTCTCATGGCAGTTTTTCAAAGTGATTTCGAAAAAAATATGAAATTTATACCAACTCTTCTAGAATTTGAGATATCAGCACCAACTTTAGTTTTTCAAATGTAGGTCATAGCTCACTATGACTTAGTTACAAATAATTTTTTTTTCTCTTACAGATGATATGTCGCAGTAATAGTTTTGTGCTGATAACAACGGAGTTATCGTCATTAATACAAAAACAAAAAATTATTTGGAAGCCGCCATCTTGAATTTATACATTTTAACAAAAAAATCATGATCTCCGATCTCAAAAACCCCCACTTAACAATTTTGAATGGAATCGGACCAAATTTTGTCCGCCTTCTTGGGGCAGCCATTTTTTTTAATTTCAACATAAATTCCATAATGTATTGTCACCGAAATTATGAACACCTGACAAATTTCAAGTTAATCGGAGTTATGGAATTTTTGTTGAAATTAAAAAAAATGGCTGCTCCAAGATGGCGGACAAGATTTGGTCCAATTCCATTAAAAATTGGTAAGTGGGGGTTTTTGAGGACGGAGATCATGATTTTTTTGTTTAAATTCATAAATTCAAGATGGCGGCTTCCAAATAATTTTTTGTTTTTGTATAAATGACGATAACTCCGTTGTTATCAACACAAAACTATTACTGCGACACATCATCTTCAAGACAAAAAAAAGCTATTTGTAACTAAGTCATAGTGAGCTATGACCTACATTTGAAAAACTAAAGTTGGTGCTGATATCTCAAATTCTACAGGAGTTGGTATAAATTTCATATTATTTTCGAAATCACTTCGAAAAACTGCAATGAGAATGAGATTTTCATAAATAAATAAGTTAAGGAGGAGACATGAAAATGATCAAAATCTGTTTTTTGCGTATAAAACAGAAACGAATAGATTTTATCAAAATATTTTTTCACATTATAGTTGGCCTTGACAAACTCCACATTTGGTGTCATTCAACCGACCTCGTATCTCTCACCGTTAAAAAGATACCCATGGTGAGCATGGTAAGTGGGACACACTGTATATATTTTAACGTCCGAGCAAAGCGAATTTATCTTGAGATTAAATTTTCATTGAATTCTTTATGAACGTAGTAATCTTCCAGTCGGATACTCTAGGATACACTTTTGAAATTCTCGTTTTTGACATGAAAAAAAGTTATTGCATGCCCCGAAACTTGGAATTCCTTTTTGCAAAAGTATGCTAACCTAGATAAATCTATGCTCTTTCTGTTTGGAAACTTTTTGTAAAAAAATGTGGATTTCATATGTGTGCTCCAGCCTTGAGTGGTTCACACTGTAGATTATCACTGTTTTCATTTTGCTGTCGTGAAATAAAGATTTCAATAAGCATGCACAAGTAGCCTAACTATCATGTATTATTTTAATGCAGGTACCCTCCAGTGTATCCTGAGTAAAAGAGGTAATCCCAGATTGATATTAGACGGCTTTGCTTTTTATAAAAAAAGCGTGTACAAAGGAAAAGCCTTCTGGTATTGCAAAAACAGTCGCACGCCGGAAAAATGTCCCTCGGTGTGTTGGACGATGAACGGCAACATTGTAAAATGGCCGTGTCCGCACACACATCCCGCCATTCCAGACATTTTCAACCCCGAAGAAGATGCAGAAGTTCCTATTGAAAATTTACAAGAAGTTTTGTGGCAAACGTCATTGAACTGAGACTGTTGACTGTTTGTTTTCGAAATTATCGACGTTTTTATGAGGATGCACCCCCACTTTTGATCTTGTTTATTCCATGGGTGAATTGATGATGTAAAATAAGGAAGGTCTCTTCTACAAGGATCTTTTTCTGTCGACTCTTCTTCAGATCTCTCAAATTTCCTTTATTGCGTCTGAACTTCTCGAATATTCCGAGAGGGAAGTGGACGCTCTCGAAACCGAAGCGCATATTCTCTACACGCAGCGGTTGCAGTAAAACTGCATTTATCATGCGATAATTTTTTTCGAAAAGTGTTTCAGGTACTTACATATTTTTGTCTGAAAAACACGAATTTGATAATGAAAATGTGAAAAAACCACTATTTATCGAGATATTTCAATTAAAAGTTCGAAATTTCGCCTTCTTTTTCCCCTTGTGTTGGATGCATTTACAGGTAAAGGGCTTTCACGCTGGGTTGATAGTGACGTCAATATGTCAACACAAACAGTGTTGCCAGTTGAAAGGAAATGACTGAATGACCAACTGCCCGAATATGGATATGTCTAGTGTTACGATCGTCGGACGTTATAATGTTTTTTTGGAACCAACTCAAAAGCCGTCCATTTATGTTTCAAAATCAGCACAAGTTGATAAAAGAACTTCAATATTTTTTTGTATGTAATGAACCATGCACCTAAACAATATACTGATTATGAAATTTAATGATGATGAAATTCTTATAAGAAAGAATAACTTGAAGAATGATTCATTGTATAACTTATTTTTTTACCAATACACAATTATGTCTTGAATTATTTTTTTTAATGAAACTGATCAGTATTCTATTCACATTGACTGAGTGAAAATAATAAAAACTTCGAATTCAATTTTGAGGTTATCTAATCGTTTTGGATGTTTTTCAATTAGTATAAATTGGTGAAATGAAATAGAAATTCGATCAATTGATTTTATTTCGTGGGAAAATAAATAGTGGTGCATCTACTTATATTGGAAATTATGAAATAGGCAACAAGAGTTGTTCCTACTTCAATATTCTCAATATAATTCATAAGGAAAACCCACAAAAACTTATGAAACCACTATGTCATAACAATAAACTAACACAAATCATATTGGATCATTCGGACAACACAAAATATTATTAATACCATCATTCAACTTACATCTCTCACAGCAGTCATTGGAAGTAATGGACCATCTTCTGCGCCTACGCACTCAATGGTTTAGGCATTTTGAATAAATCGAATTTCATCTATGATCCACAAATAAATCACAAACAATTCCTTGAAAGTACAAATTGTCAGTATCGGTGTACAGTTTTGCCAACTTAAATCGATAACGCGGTTCGCCCATTTCGAAAGTTACTAGTATTTTTCGATGTGCAGTTTTGGCACGACATTGTAACCAAGTATTGCGCAACTATCGACCCAGCGTGAAAGCCCTATACTTTGCTCGTTTTATTTTGTCATTGGACACTTTATGTACTCATGATTTAATGCAATGACACATTTTTACATACAGGGTGTTTCGATATTCGACCAACAACGCTTGACAGGTGATAGCCCTCGTGATTTCATAATCACTGAGATAGGATCATAGGGTCTTCAAGTGTTCAGTTCTCGAGATACAGGGCGTTGAAGTTAAGGAGTTAAAATAGTTTTTTCGCAATATCTATACAAATTTCAGGGATGACAAAGGACCTTATGAGGACCCATAATCAAGAGAATTTTGAGTAAATTAGTGCAATACAAAAAAATAGGAACAAATTCCTGGCGAGGTCAAAATTGACCGGGTGCAGAAAGTTTGACCCATGTTCCGATATGGCCAAAAGAGTCAAGCGTGACTCAATTCACAGGGTATGATAGCAGCAGAATTCCTCTTTCACATGAACTTTGAATCATGAGAAAATATGCATTTTTAACAAAGTTATTGAATAATTTGTCCCCCCGCCGATGTGTAAATACACGGACTGTGCTCTCCGGCATACAACACAGAAGCTCATTATTCGAGGTGCGCTTCGTGCCGTTTTTCTCGAAACCGGGCAAATTTTCGAGAAAAATGATAAGGACCATTTTTGTAGAAAATTAACTGAACTTCAATTTTTATCAGAACCGAAAATCTCTAACTGCCATATTTTAGGAGATATTGGCTGAAAACCTATTTTTCTAGTCTTTTGGGGCCATTTTCTCCGCCATCGCACGCGTTTTCCAGTCAAACTTTGTCTCATGTTAAAAGCTACTTCCAACCGGAAGATGAAAATAGTGCGTAATTAACGTTAACTTTGCCTTTTTTTCCTCCTTCATTTATTGGACTAATATGCCTTTTCTTTGAATCCTCCGTTTTAATCAAAACTGTTGAATTCTAAAACTTGTGGAGTGGATCATTATAGGCACAATGAGAAAGTATAATATGTGATTTTCTATTAGTAATATGCCTTTTCTTTGAATCCTCCGTTTTAATCAAAACTGTTGAATTCTAAAACTTGTGGAGTGGATCATTATAGGCACAATGAGAAAGTATAATATGTGATTTTCTATTAGTTTCAACCCGAATATTTTGCTGATGTATTTACCAATTCTCTCCATTTGGTCACTTCACTATGTTCTGAGTTCATTTGCATTTGATGGAAAGCTGACAAATTCAAATTTGCCATCCAACTGATTGATACAGCCTAACGCAGCACATTTTACCATCCTTCCAAAACAGAATTGAATAATTATGAAATTATAATTTTGTAAGATCTCTTTTAACGCCTATGAATGTGACGTGACAGTAATGTCATGTCAGGGACGCCAATACACGAAACCAAAGTCACTAGATGATTAAAAGAGGAAGGAGCTATGATCTGTCCGTCCCCTGTTAGATGACAATACGTCAGTTTGCATCAAGGGACCCTAGAAGAAACGACCAAAATAATTTGGTATTATACACACTGGGAATTAACAAGATGAAAAGTTTGTTGGTACCTATCAACATTATAATATACATATACATATTATATTAATAAATTCCATTATACAATTTTAATCCAGTCATTTTGATGATTTTTTTTTCTAAAAACGTTAATCTGATCATTTTTGTGATAATATGAAACAACAAATTAGGGCATTTTTTGAACGTATCATAAAAAGTTGAGTAGGTTTCTATCTCGGGTGATTTTCCAACCCCTATAACTTTTATTATTGGAGGCTCCAAAACCAAATTTGGGGCCTGTGGATTATAGTTTCGATTTTCACATGGGATACCCTCCCTGAATTTTATTCCATAATCGGTTACAGATTTTATTATAACTAACTCAATGATACCGGGTTGGATAGTTATTTCAGACGATTACGAAGATTTTTTCCACAGAAAAAACAGTAAAACACAAGGTCGGTCGACCACAAAAAAATATATTAACAAATCATGTTTGTGACTAGTTTCGGTTCAACGGCCATCTTCAGAAACATAAAAATACCTGTAAAGATTAAAAATTACAAATAGACAATGAACTACTGAGAAAGAAACATACCTAAGGAGACATGTGGAGATAAGTTTAACTAAAAGCTAGGTCAAAAACCGGTGAATCAGGCATGTAATGAAGTATACAGGGTGATCCACGGTGGATGATCATTAGAAGTATCTCGAGAAAGAAAAGACAAAACATTCTGAAAATTGGGATGCTTTGATAATTGAACATTCTCTATCCGTCTAAAATATTTTCATCGATACAGTGTTGCCACTTCTATCAGAAACAAATAGCAACTTCGTAATTTTAAATAGAGGATCCTGTATTTTGTTGCATTTTCAGATTCTTCCTGAAGAGCTGATTTCATCAATGCATCACACTTGGGGTCTAGCAGGAATGATTACAGGGATACATGGGTGTTCAAAATCGAGATTTCTCAATTTTAGTATTTTTTTGTGTCGAAACTATTCATTATCGATCAAAACGGCTCACTTGTCCCTGTCTTAACTTTCGATTCACTATCTACTGACATTTAATTGGAACAGATACAGGGTGATCAGAATTCTGTGATAGTGAATCGAAAGTTAAGATAGGGACATGTGAGCCGTTTTGACCAATAATGAATAGTTTCGACACAAAAAAAATCCTTAAATTGAAAAATCTCGATTTTGAACACATTAGCTTTATCTCTGTAATCATTCCTGCTAGACCCCAAGTGTGATGCATTGATGAAATCAGCTCTCCAGGAAGAATCTAAAAATGCAATAAAATATAGGGTGTTTTGTTTGAAATAACAAAGTTGCTAGTTGTTTCTGATAGAAGTAGCAACACTGTATCGATGAAAATATTTTAGACGGATAGAGAATGTTCAATTACCAAAGCATCCCAATTTTCAGAATGTTCTGTCTTTTCGTTCTTCAGATACTTCTAATAGGTCATCCACCGTGGATCACCCTGTATTGTTCTTTAAATCGACTAAATAGCCAAAAGAACAACTCAATTTAATTGTTCTTTTCGTCAATTTGAATTTCATTACCTGCCTGATCCCCGGATTGTGTTTTTCTTTTTTTTTATATATTGGACCACTTTGAGAAGGATGGATATGGTTTGCATTCGAAGTTTCTATATGACCAAAGGGTGTGACGTCTCAATATCGAAACTTTTTTCTCTGTCACACTCATTGAGCTTATGGAAATTTTGAATGCAAATACCTTCGTAATTGTTCGGAATAACCCTATCAAACCTGGTATCGTTGAATTCGTTATAATAATCCCTTACCGATTATGGAATGAAATACAGGAGGTCCCATTAAAATTCGAAAGTTGGGGTCATTTCTCGTCTAACCTAAAGTACTGCAAAGCAAGTTGATAAGGTCAAATAATGTCAATTGAACGATCATTTACAACCCCCGAATTTCGTTATACTACCTCCAATAATGAGAAAGTTATAGGGGTGAGCCTCCTTGGAAAATCACCCGGTATATTTTGTTTGTGTTTCAGTAACTGATTTTTTTTCAGAAGATTTTTTTCTTCTATCAATTTGAAAGTATTTGTGTACAATGTTTTTAATTTTATACAATGTATTATAATTCCCCCTATATAAATCTCTGTTAGCTGAGTTATACTCAGATATGCAGAAAAATAATAATAATTACTGCATTTTATGTTTACATAATGTAATTTCTTTGGAAAATGAGTCTCAGGAAGCACTAATGTCAAGTACTATAATAATTATGTCTGTAGAACACTCAACAATCCCCAACATTGATTTTTTTGCATTCTGTTTTTATTCTGAAATATTTAATCATTCATATTCATTTATTATGATCGCCAGCTTTATTTTTCATTATTTTTTTAAGATTGTATAGTATTATTAAATAGTAATTACGTAGTTATTTTTTGAACTGATT